CTTCAGATTGATCGCCTGGACACCAAAGCCGCCATCAGTACTGCCCTGGCCAACAGCTGATTCCTTCACGTCCTTGGTGCTGCTGCAACTGGGAGTACCAACCTAAATGAATAAAGCAATTATCAGATCCACCAGATCTGAAACTGACAGGGGCGAATCCAAAAATTTAACTGAAATATTTGTGCTGCTGCTGCTGCAATGCAGATTATTATTCTTACTACTGTTGTTATTACGTTTGTTAGCTATATTATGTTGATGAACCTTTGTTTTCTTTCTTCCTATGTATGAGCATTGTTTATGCTCTCTCATTGCAATAACTGCTCACGATCTTCTGAGCTTGTGTATTACCTTTGGTGTTTCTATTTACCTCTTGTAGGCCTTGTGGCTTGTGGCCAAATGTTCGTTCGAATGTTTCATTATTCTACTTTTGTGTTTTGGTTTTCTGTTGTTAGTGCTTTTGTGTTTTTGTTTTATAGGTATCTCTAATACATCAAGTTAGATATACGGTCATACATCATTATTTATATCTAACCCAATTAAAATGAAACTAATTATATACATACTAAATTGAATGGATTTTGTAAATAATTTTTAGGTGCAGATTGGATGACAACTCAAAGATATTTGCAAATATACACAAATCCATAAAACTATTAGAGGAAATCGAATCAAAGTGAATCGAGAAGGAAAAAAGAATGAACACAACATATCACCCTCATTTTTATCTCATGCTCATTGTAAATAAGTAGCAAAAAAACATAGGAAAGGTTGGATTTGAAATATATGGAAACACAAATACGTAAAACTATTAGAGGAAATCGAATCAAAACGAATCGAGAAGGAGAAAAGAATTAACACAACATATCACCCTCATTTTTATCTCATGCTCATTGTAAATAAGTAGCAAAAAAACATAGAAAATGTTGGATTTGAAATATATGGAAACACATTGCGAGTTCAAATTTGTCATCTTTAACAGTATTGTTGTTCAGATAACAAAATTTTGGAGCTTCAAAATGTATAATTTCCTCAAATTATGGTGGCGTATGGTTCCATTTTTTGAAATGAGGGGCAGTTGCACTACATGGAGGATGCGAAGGCAAATTTTCAACCAAGCGACCACAACACCCCGACTTTTCTGGACAATAAGTTCTACTTCCTGGATAAGAAGAGAAAACTAGGTGTTTTTAGTTGTCGTCGTGACGTTGATGGGCTATACGAATGGGAACGCGACGTGTACCCGTGGAAGCTCCTACCCCATCATGCCGAGAGCATTATCGTGGATTCTCATGAGGACCGTAAATTTAAGAGAGAGTATCTAGTGGAATGTGGAGGTGAAATCATGTCTATACTAGTGGGTGATCTCGGCAAGTCGATTCTAGTTTACCGGTTTGATCGACAGAAGAAGGGTTGGTGGAGAGTCAAGAGCTTGGGATCGAACATGGTGTTTCTGAGCAACACTTCACGTTTCTCGACTATGGCAAAAATTCGAGGAATGGAAAACAAAATATACTTCCCTAGACGTTCAGCCAAAAAGGAAGCATTGTGTTTTATTCGCTAGATACGCGTAAATATCACACGTTCGACTACGATGATGAAGCAATGGAAGACTTCCTACCTACTAGTGAAGTGCACATTTGTGGTTGGATAGAACATAAAGGCCATGAGTGAAAGAAGTAGTGATTGTTGAAGATTTAGTATTATAATAACATATTTTGGTTTATTGTTTTCCCTACATTATATGTCATTTTTATACACATATGGCACCGTTGCACTCTTGTTCCTATGATAATTCAGTGAAATAAATTATTAATTTTGGATTTTTTTAAATGGTCCGATAATACATCATGTTTATTATTTTAAAGGATTTATTGTAAGATTGATCACTGTGATTATTGAAAGGAGATTGCTAATTGTCGCACTAAGTTTATTATAATCGCCCTATATTAAAAATTAAAATCACCTTTTTATCCTTATATCATTTTTATTTTTAGGATATATTTTATTCAAACACCATATATAAGTGTTTGGAAGACGGAAAAAAACCCCATATATAAGTAAGAGGTTCTGATTGTTGTGATATGTCTTAAACAATCTTCTCGTTGAGAAACTGCTCGGCGAAGAGCGTCCACGTTACCATGGGAACCCCGACGCAGATCACCTCCACGGTGGATTTCCACCAGTGAGTCAAGAGCCCGCCGACGACCACGTGGGAAAGGATCAAAACCTGCGGGGCCCACCCTTTGAGGACCAGCCCCCGTCCATTTTTTTTTTTTGCCAATCGATCACTCTTGAAAAGATGAAACCGAACGATCCAAGATTACAATAAACCTATCTACGGTTGAACCACGAAACATAGTCAAACCCCCTTTGATAGCGGGGCGACAGAGACAGAGCATGACGGGCCACAGAATGAGCCACCCTGTTCCTATTGCGACCAACGAACACCACCTTAGCATCACCAAGATCAGCAAGAAGCAACATAATTTCCTGAAGAAGAGCCACAATCCTGGCGTCCGAAGTGTCTTTGTTACAGCACTTGTCAATAACTACTTTAGCATCCCCTCCAATGATCACATTCCGGAGTTGGCGATTCAAGCATTCAGTCAAGCAATCACGTAAAGCTAAAGTTTCAAGCACGGAGGGATCCCAAATGCCGACATACTGATGGGCCTTAGCCATGCGTAAATCACCCGAATCATCCATCAAAACAAAGGCAGCAACCCCTGTAGAATCGAACTTAGTTGCCGCATCAAACATAGCATGACAGCGAACAAGGGAACCTGCAGAAGAGGGCGAATATGCTGCTGCCTGAGAAGATCGACGAGGCTGAAGAAGTGCCATGTCCGCCTCTTTAACTTGATGATGCCATTGTGCCGCCAAAGTAGATAGAAGAACTTGGTGATGCTCAAAATGACCAGCCCCCATCCTTTGACTCGCTCCTCGAATCCAGAGCCCACCAGCCAGTTGTCCAGCTGGGCGGGCCGGCGGTCGGTCTTTGCGGCCCATACGAATACCTTACCCGAGGCTTACAGGCCCAGACCCAATTCTATCAATTAGGACGCCATCAGAGAGATGAGTCTTATGGCTCGTATCTTCAAAGCACTCAACAAGGAGAAACAAGACATCCCGTGAAACACAATGCTCTGGGAGTGGGAAGAGTGTTCGAGTGGGTTTCTAGTAAGGATGGGAAGTAAATTGATTCACTCACGATCTGGTCCAATAAATTACGATTTTGATCATATTAGACCAACAACTTAAAACATTCCATAATACAAATCACGCTCAAAATCAAATCATATTTAACGATCTAGGGTCTGGATTGTATGATATGGTTTTATGCACAATGAATATGATAGCCTTAAATCATAAAATCCCCCATCATCCGTCACTCCAATACAACGCGACCAAACATATACTTCAAATGACATTGTTCCGGTAAATACTACAAGAGTAACCATAATTATACCACTAAAATTTCATTTCACCAATTTGCCTACCATAATCCCCCTGCAACGAGGAAACAAGGATTTAGAGTGAGGATGAGATAGTCAATTGAAATTGAACTCCTGGTCTTAAATGTAATAGACTAATAGTCAATCGTCATATCGTTTTTCAATGCTCGATTACCATAAGATCTACATTTTGTAACCTCAACAATCAACATCACTTCGGCACTTCCCACCCATGAGATACACGTAACAACTCTACAAGTGATGATATTGGCAACTTAGGGGGTGAAATCTCATTATTAGAAAGCCACATAGTCATCACTTCACCACCATCGTTCGTGTTTCATTCTGAGTAAGCAAACTGTCCGACAAAACTGATAAGAAGACTAGATCAACAGCCTGTCTCTGTTCCCACATATCCCACCGAGCTGGAGATCAGAATGTGATAAATTGGGTAGATGCAGAAACCTAAATGGTTCACTGGCAGGCATAGTTTTCTGTTGGAATAATTGGGTGGTTGGGATATAGGATAAGCCGATAAGATCATCATATATACGTTTACATGCATTACACAGAGCCGATAATAGCAACCATACATCCCAAGATTTCTATATCCGTCACTCGTTATAGTGGCTACTTTAATGGGCAACGAATTAAGTCTGCATTATTGAAGTGTGCAACTATTGCTTCCATCAGCTTGTCGTGTCGTCGGCGATTCCCTCCAATCATGCATTGCGTTTCTGCTGCTTTTACATGATTCTTCTCCAGACAGCTCGGGCCTCGCGATCCAAGCTCGGCCCTCATGATCCCACCAACTGTTTCCACATTGTTCTCATTTCGCTCCTCATCTTGAGAAGCAGTTGGTGCCCATCGTACTTTGTGAACATCGAGAATCGTGAGGATTCGAATACGCGGATTTTATGTCTGGAATATATAATAACTCAAATTGTTGAGACGTGTGTTATCATTAATTGTGTTATCAAGAAAGGAGAACAAATGTGCGGATTGAGTTGCAAAAGAAGCTGCAAAAGGGTCACTTCACCAGGAGTGGATTCAAGTTCTTAACATCATTTACCCTATGTTGTAATATGATTAGTTTGTACTACAATCACCGTTGAAATGAAGGGAATTCTATCTTTGTCAAAAAAAAAAAAAAATTGTGTTATCATTCCTCACATTGTTTAAACATGGATTCAATTTTGGGAAGTTGGAAAGCTATTGTACATTTTTTTTTTTTACCTCATGCCACTTTAAATTCTACGTTCATCATTGCTATGCATGAAGGTCAGACTCGACTCTGATTGTAGAACTTTTTTATCAGGAAATCAAATCATAGACAATACTCCTTTAGCAAAATGATTAGATTTACATTTTAGTTTCACAAATATAGTAAAATTTACACATTATAACATCCGATCTTGAAACGAAGTTTTACATAAGATCATCAAACGGCCTATGATTATATGCTTTCCAATCAAGCAGGATAGCCACATTTTACCCAACGATCGCCATTATTATAATTACAGTGACGATATAATCAACGTCCTTTCACAGCGATCCATTAGTACTCGCACCAAACTTCGCCACGTCCTCAATCAACATCCCGACGCCGGCAAACGACGAGCCTCCTTCCGCCACCGCAACCCTCGCCATCTCCATCAGCTCCGCCGCCTTCCTCCTCCTCTCCACACTCCCATCTCCGCCGCCCATCAGCTCCTCCACCGCCGCCGCAATCCTCTCCTTCCCCACCTGAACCCCGTGCTTCTCCTCCTCCCCCAAGTGGACCACCACCTCCGCCCCGACCCGGACCCCGATCCCCAGCACCTGGACCACCAGCTTCTCGTTGTAGAACTGCTCCGCGAACTGCGGCCACGTCGCCATCGGCACCCCGGCGGCGATCCCTTCCAGCGTCGAGTTCCACCCGCAGTGCGTCAGAAACCCGCCGATCGCCGGGTGAGACAGAATCAAAACCTGTGGGGCCCAGCCTTGAATCAGAAAACCTCTGCCCCCGACTCTGTTTTCAAATCCGGTCTCGGAAATCCAATTCTCGATCTCTTCCTTCTTGTAGCCGCCTCGAATCACCCAAATAAACGGCCGATTCGTCGATTCGAGTCCGGATCCGAGTTCCGCCGCCTGCGGCGGCGTGATCCGATTCAAACTCCCGAGGCAGGCGTAGATTACAGACTTCTCCGGCCAGGAATCCAGCCACCGGAGGCAGAGTGACTCGTCCCCGCCGCCGCCGTTATTAACAACCGTTTTCCCTCTTTCCGCCCTGTCCACGTCATCCGTGTTGCATAGCGACGCGGGGCCCACGCACCAGATCTTTCTCGTGCCTCCCCGAGTTTTACGGCACTCCGCCACGTACTCATTCTCCAGCTCCTCGAATGTGTTCAGAACGACGCCGTACGCTCGGTCCACGGACTCCCTTATCTTTTCCCGGATCTCGCTGACGTCTAAGTGGGCCCCCGGGTTGAACAGGCCCGATAGCTGGGCCCGGGTGAACTCGACCCGATGGGGCAGCCCGGGGACGACGAACCGCTCCGACTCCGGGATCCCCTCGTGGATTTTGGACGTCTGGAGGCTGTGAGAGCAGCAGAGGGTGAAGCAGCTGGTCCCGTCGAAGATCAGCCGCGGGATCCGCCGCCGGTCGGCGACCTCGGTGGCCCAGTGCATGGCCTGGGAAGCGATGATGCAGCTCGGAGGCGGGTCGACCCGGTCGAGGAGCTCGGATGCGGGCTGCTCCAGGGTCCGGACTGCATCGGAGAAGTTGCGGAATAGGTTGAAGGAAGGGAGGACGTCGCGGTTCTCGCAGCCGGCCGGGAGGCCGAACCGGGCGGCCGGGAATTCGAGGGTGAGGACGCGGATGGGGAGCCCGCAGGCGGCGACGGCGCGGTCGACGATGGGGGCGAATCGGGCGGCATTGACGGGTGTGGTGATTATGGTGACGATGGTGCCCCGACCCGCGAGGATTTTGGCCAGGTCGATGGTGGGAATCAGCTGGCCTTGGCTGAGGTAGGGGATCAGAATGAAGTGAGGCTGCTGATTGGTGGAAGCCATTTTTTTTAAGTTTTGTTTTGGGGTTTTAAAGGAGAAGTGGAGAGTTGAGATTTTGGGATCATAATAAGGATGGAAGTGCTTAAATTGTGTTTATATATATAAGGCAAAGGCCAGGTGAATCTGAATTGTGGGAATCTTATCTTGTAATATTTGGGGGGGTGGGGGGAGTTTCTTCTTCTTAGGTTTGTGTCATTTGTTCAATCATTGTTTTGGGTTTTTTTTTGTCTTTGGGATGGGCATGTATTATGTTGGTTTTGTGTCATTTCCAAATGGTTTGAGTACATACATTGGATGAAACTATCCAACTTCTAAAGTCTGACCCAAATATATCGAGATAAGCGTATTTCGATTGGTCGCAAAGAAGTTCACGAAAGATACACTTCCTTCTATGTGACATATCAACTATAAACAACCAAAAGTAACTTGATGGTTCCTTGACAATCAAATTCATGCTAGTAGAGACTTTTTAGTATTATCATGTCACTGCCCTAATTGTCAAACTCGTTAAAACCATTCGTCATGTTCATGTCATATCATAAATAAGTCATATAACTAAGCAATCTACTCCTGTTCCGTGGGATGAATTGTCTTCCAACGGTCTATATGCCAACCTTCATATATGTGCTGATAAGACTCGAAAGTAGATTTTCATCTACAAACATTGATTCGAGATTAATACCAAAGATTGCAGGCAATCTCGAGAATCATTTGCTTAGAGTACATCGAATCTGATTTTGATATTGTACCATATCGTTGTGTCTTATTCTCTCATATTAGCTCAACCAGTAGGGGACCGGGAGATGTGATTTTCTTCTTGTTGCATTTTCCCTGTTCTCCTAGTAGCATCTAGCAACCTTGTTTGGTCGTATATGGTGAGCAGAGAAACAGAGCAAAGGACGGACAAGTATCCGTTAGTTCCTCTGCCTGCCTCCTCCAATACTATTTGGCGTCCTTTCTTCTCCACTTTCCATGGTTGGAGAGTGAAGAAGGATTGTCTTTATTGGATAATTGGGATGGTCACTTTCCTTTCTCTTGTCCCGTTGTTTCGTGATGGGTTCTTCTCTTTCACTTGGTTTGGCAACTAGTAAATTAATTACTATGCATCCAACGACAAATGTTCACGACGTCGTCGTATGTTCATCATGAATGTTCGAAGGATTATGAAGTTTTTGGCATGCAAGTGCATAGAATACGTTTGAAGCTTAGTCTGTTGCGGGCCTAGACGTTAAGGTTTCATAAGGGATGAAGACGACAAGGTTATTAAATGTGATATATAGTACTAAGTACGTTGCATGAGAATAGATAAAAGGGACAAAAATGATGAAGGAAGAAGTTGATCCATTGGTGGTAGGATGGCTTTGGAAGGGTTCCTCGTCGAAGAGGGAACTCAATAGTATCCGATGTTTTGGAAACTCTACTATTAGATAGAAAGGAACAAAAGTGACAATAAAAAAAACAAGATGTTTTTTTAATTACTTTTTCTAGATGATTGGAAGTCTGCAATAATGTTACAATGATGAAGGTATATACCAGAAGCTCGTTCTAAATATTGATAAGATCGGAATGATTTATTTAAGATTCGTTAAAAGGTCTTTCACTTTGCTGTGTATGAATGAAACTTGCAAGCAAATGATGTGAGCAGTGTTGATTTATATGGAGAGCAATTCGAATTCCCAAGGAGAGGGTGGCTGGACGATGAAATATAGAATTTTACTAGACCCTTATGTTGTCGAGAAGTCTTGTGTTTAAATCTTAGTGATCCGTAAATGTGAAACATACAATATTCATGTATTCAGGATTTGTGAAAACGAAAGTCTATATTAGTTGACTGACTTTCTTTTGAGGGAATGTGTAAGTGTCATCCATTATTGAACATCTTCCAAAGTCTCGAGTTATTAAGACTAATTGGTTCTTAACAGCCTATCAACGTCCTTTTCTCGATTTCAATTTCTTGATTTTCCCTATTGAAAAGAGGCATTCATCATTCATATAGAAAATGCCAATTATGTAGATGATTAGATTACATGAAAAAAGGTCCAATTATTTGTTGAATTTGTGAAGATAAGGCAAAACATCCTCGATGCTAACCAAAAGACATACCAAGATATTTTCCTGGGCCTCGTAATGGCAGAGCAGGTTTTCGTGTTGGCCCGGACCCCTGCAGAAAAGGCCGTACTTGATTGGATCCAAACTTGGCCCACAATCAACCTCACTCACTTCTCTGATCGCAACAAAGTTTGGGGGCCCAGAAAGCAACCCTAAAGTACACTCACACGAACGTTCCGGTCGAGTCAGTAGTTAACGACTTGGGTGCGGATGTCTCGCAGTACAAGATTCACGTGGATTACCCAACAGAAAGAAAATGGCTAATAAATTTGACGGATGATGATGAAGATAATAAGCCAAGAGGTTCTGATCTGATGTACACAAAGACGTACCAAGATATTTTCCTTGGGGCAGCAGGCAGCAGCAGGTTTCGTATTGGCCAGGCAGGCCCTCCTGCAGAAAGGCAGTTTGGGCTTTTCTATTCGTACGGACTTGAGTTATTATCCGGTGCAGATATTATATGGGCTTTAAGCTAAACAAGCCCATTCACCCCACCAGCTAAAACGAAACAAACGGAAGAACCAACAGAAACAAACAGAAGAAGAAGACGGAATGCTTTTATCGCGATCACACGAAGTAGCAGAAATCCAGAACAACAGAAACAACAACAAATGACGGGATGTGATAGAATCACCACGAAGTAGCAGAAATCCACGGATCACGAATCCCCGGCCTTTGATCCTCTGCTCGAAACCACTCTCTTCCATCCATTGCATCAAATCCTCTGAGGCATCTCCCTCCCTGACAACCCACATGATCAATGGCTGGTTTGATGCTTCTAGCCCCAACCCGAGCTCTATCAGCTGTTGGGTCACAACATTGCATATACTTCCTAAGCAAACATAAATAACCGAACCGGGTTGTTGGCTTGTTGCAAGTCGAGCCATTCCAAGTATTATGGATTCGTCTGCTACAATTCGATTACCCCTTTGAGACCGGTCCAACCGACCTTTGTTACACAACGAGACAGGGCCGATGTTTCCACATTGCGGACGCACAACAGGGCAAGGCACGAGAAACCATTGAAGCTAATTCTAGGAATGCCATGTTTCTTGGCGAGAAAGCTAGTGTAAGGGAAAGACATGTCGGAGATGATGCAGTCGGGCTTGGGCTCGAGCCCAACGAAGAGCTAGCTGCTCCACGGCCCGCTCGAAAAACAGGTCGCTCTTGTTCATGAAGGAGACCGCCAGGCCCAACGAAGGCAGCTGGTCCGAGCTCTCGCATTGTTTGTAGGGGTGTTCAAATGGTTACCATGGTTATAACCAAATTAAATAAGGCTAAATTCCATTAACTATGGAATACAATACCATAACCAAACCGTCCAAACTAATACAGCAATCAAATTAACCAAACTAAAGTTTAATCGGTTTGCTTAATTGGTTAACCAGATTAACCAATATAAAATCACATTGTCATTGACGATGAAAATTTTCCGGTTAATGCAACAATTCGCAATTTATATAATAAATAAAACATAACAATCAACACGTAGTTATAGTTGACCCTTAACAAAAATACATGCAACTAAGACAATTATCTTACGATTACTATAAAAGTATTCACCTAACAAAAATTTATGACAATGGTATGGGTTAATGAATTGTTGTGTTTCTGTAAATTGACTTAGTCTCTTAGCAATTATCATAGGCTGGAAATGACCTTCCTTTCAAGTTTTCATCCATCATAATGTATGAAATTTATCTAAATTAGGCGTCCATATGTTGTGGTCTACATTTTACACATACAAATATACACTATATGAGCAATATTGAGCTTTATATTTTATGAGTCTAAAAGGGATGAACGTTAACTCTTAAGTGGTTATGCAAAGTATTAAGTATGTGTATATAATATATGTTAGATATATGACTAATTACTTAACTGGTTAATTTGGTTTGACTGGTTAGGAGTGTCTGAAACCAAACCAAACCACCTAAACCAAAAAAGCTAAAAACTTTAACCAAACCAAACCAATTATCCAAATTAACCAAACCAAACTATCCAAATAGTAACGGTTAAAACGGTTACCATGGTAACCAAACCGTTTGAACACTCCTAATTGCTTGGACAGCCCGACTTCTCCACACGGCACCTCGTCTTCCTCCACACGTATCTCAATGCCAGGTGCCTCCACGGCACGTGCCAGCGAGGACCAGACCCGATTCGCGTTGACCAGGGTGGTGATGAGGGTCACGGCGACGCCGTTTTGGGCTAGTAGTTTTGCTATGTCAATCATGGGGATCAAGTGGCCTTGCGCCATGAAAGGAGTCAGCACGAAATGAAGCTTGCTTTTGGCTTCGAACTCATCGAGAGCCATGGCTGTATGGGAAAAAGAGAAGGGTTTGAAGGATTAGTACTATAAGATTGGCTAAGTGAGGGCGTGGAAGGGATTCACATCCAGCTGTTGTTTACTGTGATAGTCAGCTGCAATACACATTGCAAGGAACCCAGTGTTTCATGAATGAACCAAACATATAGAAGTTGACTGTCGCATGATCAGGGAGCGCTTACAAAGTGGTTTGATTGATTTACACCATATTTCTACTAATCATCAATTGGCAGATGTGTTTACCAAGAGCCTAGACATTGACAGGTTCAATTTTCTCATGAGCAAGCTGGGAGTATCAGGACGATACTCGCCAGCTTGTGGGCGCATAATGGAGAACTTGATCAATCCAGATGGAGCAGCAACAGCCTGCACAAGCAATGCCCTGAAGAACAAGGAGCTGCTGCTGTAAAGGGAAAGGCAAGTCCACTCTCAGATCATTGATGTGCATATGAGAATGAAACGGTGGCGTTCTGCTTTCAACAAAGAGCGAGTTCAAAACGACACCGTTTCCCTTGATATGTTCGCAATGAAGAAAGAAGGAATGACGACGTTTAGCTAGGCCATAACTCAAACAGTGTAATTAGTTGATTGAGAACACGTGGTCAGCTAGGAGTGGATGGTTTGATTAGTTAGTTAACCTTTACTGTTTATTAGCCGTTGCTTAGTTTGCTTAATGTAACTCTGTACATATATAAATAGGAAATCCAGAAAAGAAGATTTCAAGACTTTTGAGCTTTCTTCACCAAAAACCCTAGCAGATCTATTTTCTTTTTAGAGCTCGAGCCCATCCAAGAGCTTCTTCACGGCCCGCTCTAACATCAGGTCGCTCTTGTCTTGTTCGTGAAGGAGACCACTAGGCCCAACGAAATTAGCTAGTCCAAACTCTCGCATTGAAGTTTGTTTGTATAGACTATCGACTCATCATACCATATAATTAAATCAACCGGTAATGTCGTTTTTAATTCAAGATCAGAGCACAAGACCTCTCTGTGAATAACTTCTTACCATACACAAACCATACCTTCTTGAAAGAAGGCATATAATGAAAATATCGAAATTAGACCCAATCAGTGGCAGAGCTGGGTTAAAACTAGGAGGGGCTATAGCCCTTCTCGACTTTGTAATATAATAAAATTACATACAAAATTCGTAACAAATTTAGAAAATAGAGTAGTCGGTAACACCTTAGCTCTCCTCCCCAATTATCACAGTTCAAATCAGCCCTGACCAAATTTCCAACCCCACAACTAAATCCAATGACAAAACATAATTCGAATGACTTAACCCCCTCTTAAGATTGCGAGACCAACCTACCCCGACTTCTTCCTTTGATTTGTACCCTTTTTCTTTTGTCGTCTAATTTCATTGATTTCGATTACTATACTAAGGCGTAGACATGAAATAAAAAGGCCAATTGCTTTTGAACAAATAAGTTTTGACGTAATAGTAAGGTTTGGATGTTTACGTCGAACTTTTTGCATGCAAACGGATCCGTCGGATTCCCGGCTCTGGGGAACAATGGATTATGCCTCCTGAAGGTCAGAAGAACACCCAAGTGGCCGGATGGGAGAGGCTGCAGATGCCCTCCAAGAGGACGAAAACTAAACGATCGAGAAGGGATTGCAGCGTTCTTGTCAGTTGCCAGCCTCAACGTTTTCAATTTTATGGATTTAATTAGGCATTTACAAGCAGGTAATGAACTAATGATAATTAAATTAGTATACGTACTGAAATTTTCAAATATGTTATTATTCATACATAAGTAGATGCATGGAATGTGGGGTTTCATTTGTGCTTGGTAATATATATGTTGTCCTCAAGATTTTCGGCTGCTTGCTTGATCGAATATATCTTGTATTAGCAGCTTGATGTTGATATATGAAGATCCTCCCTCTTCTAGGGCTAACTTCGACATTGCACTAAGCTCCTTAACCCTGTTCCTTCTCTTTTCCATCTCCTCTCCTTGCCCCATCAATTCCTCAATAACTATGGTGACATCTTCTTTCTTCACCATCACTCCAATCTTCTCCTCTTGGCCCCATTTCATCGTGGTATCCACTCCGCTTTTCACTCCGATCTTTAGCACATCCGTGACCAGCCTCTCGTTGCAGAACTGATCTCCAAAAAGGGGCCACGTCATCAGTGGTATGCCGGCACATATAGATTCTAGCGTGGAATTCCAACCACAGTGCGTCAGAAACCCTCCGATTGCGGGGTGGGATAGGATCACGATCTGCGGGGCCCAACCTCGAATGATAAGTCCTCGGCCTTTAGTCCTCTCCTCGAAGCCGCTCTCGTCCACCCAGTTCAGTAGATCCTTCGAGGTTTCTCCACCGCGAACAACCCACATAAATGGGTGGTTTGACGCTTCGATGCCCAACCCAAGCTCTATTAGTTGTTGAGTCGGGGTGTTACATATGCTCCCTAGACAAACATAGATGACCGAACCGGTTTGTTGCGAGTCAAGCCACTTTGAGCATTCGGACGCATCCATCGCTGACCGGTTACCTCTTTGAGACTGTTCCAATTGATCTTTATGACACAAGGAGACGGGGCCCACACACCAAGCTTTGCCTCCCAACGCTTCTTTACACGCAAGAAAATACTCAGGCTCCAACTCTTGGAACGAATTGAAAACCGTTCCATAAGATAACGCCTCAGCGGCTCCGATCCTCTGACCGACTCGGCCGAACCCATTGATGGCCACAGCCACGGGCAGCTGGTTCTTGGTTAGCTCGATTCGATCGGGCAACCCGGGCACCACAAAAGGTTCGGAATCTGAAGCCACACCATCGAGAAACTCCTTGTTGACATTCCTTTGGCACAACGTGGCAAAGCATGAAAACCCAAGGAAGGTAATCCTAGGGATGCCATGCTTTTGGGCAAGAAAGCTGGTGTAAGGAAAGGACATGTCGGAGATTATGCAATCGGGCCTGGGCTCGAGCTCGTCAAAGAGGTTATCCACGGCCCGCCCCAGCAGCTCATCGGCCTTGTCCATGAAGTGGACCGCCTGGTCCAACGACGACAGCTGGTCCAAATTCTCACAGAATTTGGGCAGCCCAGTTTCCTCGCATGGTAACTCGATCTCCTCCATACGTATCTGGACGTCGTCGTTTAAGGACTCCATGGCACGTGCGAGCGTGGGGCGGACCCGTTCTGCGTTGACCGGGGTGGTGATGATGGTCACTGTGGCGCCGTGTTGGGCCAGGAGCTTGGCTATGTCGACCATGGGGATCAGGTGGCCTTGGGCCAAGTAAGGCGTCAAGACGAAGTGAAGCTTTCATGGAGATTCGAACGCAAGAGCCATGGATGTTACGAACTAGCTATATGAGATCAGGAAAAGGGAAAGAGAGTTTGAGAGATTTGATGAAGATTGGGTAAGTGACGAGGGTATGGAAATGGAATTGGGTATTGCCGATATATAAACTGTTTTTCAGAAGATATGCCGATCGAAAGCTTTCATTGGTGTGTAACCAATGACTGAAATGGGATAGTTTTTAACTAATTTTCATGAGGTTGATAGCCTTACTATTATATCGATCGAGTTTGTAGTATTGGAAATAGAAACATTGTAGATGCGTTTGGAAGGCAGGCTAAGTCCCATAACAAGAAAACATAACTAAAACATATTCAATAAGATCACTAACCGCGTCTTCTTTCTAAAATGGAATTGGCTCATTGCCAAAGTCGGCGAACATCCGTAAACCTTTGGAGAATGATTGATGTGATTGTGATGGGTAAGGGAATTGACAATGATATAAAACAAAATGTATGAGTTGTCTAGCGTTATGGAAATTGGGTTTGATCACGTCTAATTTGATGGCCATTTGGGGGCTTTTGAGTGTGAGAATTAGCATAAAACTGTGCTCGTCACAATTGTTAATCCGAGCGGATTCGAATCAGAATAATTTAACTTGTTGAAAAATGCGTATAAATATATCTTATATTATTTTGTTGGACATTAGTTTAAATAAAAATTGATCGATGATTTAGAAGTTTGTACAAAATCAATTATTAATATTGAATGTCGTTTATTAAAATTAGAACGCGATCTTTCAATCAAGAATTTAATATGTAAAAAATCAGTCGAATTCCAATCATATATTTCCCAACGTCACTTACAAAGCAATTTCATTATTCCTTCATATATTTGCAACTTATACAATGTTTAATCGTGCCAATTAGGTTTAGATTTAACTACTCCATTTGATTGGTATGGTTATACAATGTTAATTACGTGACATCATTTAGGTTTAGATGTAACAATATTATTCGATGTACATAGTTATGGTAGTTAATCTTCCTCATTTGAGTTTACCTTCAACAACTGATCAATCACTAGTTAAATTCCTGTGTATTTCTTCTTCTAAGTCATTGTAAACGGTAACGAGATGAGTCCAACTAAATTCAGTATTTTCCGATGAGAAAACTTGTCTTTCAATTCAGAAAAGGCACCTTTGAATTCTTGGATAAATAAATTTTCAAATCTTCTAAATTTAACAAGGAAAAAGTAATTAATTAAGAAACTAATATTTCATCATTTTTTCTACTCAACATGGCTTCCTCACATTTCTTAGATATATGTTGCCTGATGTCTTGGATCAAGAGCTTGATGTTAAGATAAGAGGATCCTCCTTCTTCAAGGACCAATTTAGACTTTTCACTCAGTTCTTTGGCTCTCTTCCTTCTCATCTCTTTTTCATCCCCTTCGCCCATTAGTTCCTCAATAGCTTGCTTCACATCTTCTTTCTTAATCAACATTCTTGTATTATCTTCTTCTCCCCATTTCACTGTGGCCTCTGCCCCGACTGGCACTCCGATCTCCAACACATCAACGACGAGCCTTTCATTGAGAAATTGATCCCCAAAGAGCGGCCAGGTCACCATTGGCACACCAGCACAAATACTTTCTAGTGTCGAGTTCCATCCACAGTGAGTCAAGACCCCACCGACTGCAGGGTGTGATAGGATCACCACTTGTGGTGCCCATCCACGAACTATAAGTGCTCGGCCTTTGGTCCTCTTTTCGAAGTTGTACTCTTCCATCCATCTGAACAAACCTTTGGTTGTCTCTCCTTCCCTAACGACCCACACAAACGGTTGGTTCCAAGCTTCCAGGCCAAGCCCGAGCTCTATCAGTTGTTGGGTCCGGATGTTACAAAGGCTACCCATACAAACATAAAGAACCGAACCGGATTCTCGAGAGTCGAGCCACTTCGAATATTCCAATTCATTGATGGCTGACCGAGGGTTACCTCGCTCGAACCGGTCCAACCGATCTTTGTTGCAGGACGAGGCAGGGCCAACGCACCAGGCCTTGCCACCCATGGCAGCCTTGTACCTCGAGAAGTACTCGGGCTCGAGCTCCTCGAACGAGTTGATGATCATCCCATACGAATAGCCTTCGGCTTCTAGCATCCGCCTACCGAGCTGGTCCATCCCGTTGGCCATGGCTAAGGGCAGCTGGTTCAACGTCACCTCGATCCGGTCGGGCAACCCGGGCACAACGAACCGTTCCGAGTCGGACCCCAACACGCCCTTCTCATTATTCAGCATCTCGTGTATGTTGCGGAGGCAAAGCAGGGTGAAACCCGAGAATCCATTGAAAGTAATCCTCGGCAAACCAAATTTTCTGGCCAAGGTGGCCGTGAAGGGCAAACACATGTCGGAGATCACGCAGTTGGGCCTGGGCCGGAGCTCTTCGAAGAGGTTCTCCATGGGCTTTTCGAGGGCCTGGCCCATGTAGTTGAAGAGGTCGATCCCTTTGTCCAGAGAAGGCAGCTGGTCCAGCGTTTCGCAGTGCTTCGGCAGGCCGACTCCGTCCGATGGGAGCTCAAGCTCGGCGACGGTTATTCGGACGCCGGTGGACTCCACGGCGCGGGAAATGGTGCCTCGGATTCGGCCGGCGTTGACCGGGGTGGTGACGATGGTGATTACGACGCCGTGTTGGGCTAGGAGCTTGGCGATGTCCGCCATGGGGAGCAAGTGGCCTTGCGCCATGAAAGGGACTATGACGAAGTGGAGCTGGCGTAGAGGCAGGGGCATGGAGGTAATTTCGGAAGCCATGGTGGACGGAAATTGGAGGAGTAGAGGGAGAGATTGGTTGTTAAATGTTAAGTTATTATGGCAATGGTTACATATGCATTGGAATTATATGCACAGGGATTTTGGTCTCTTTTTTTATTTTTATTTCGTGGATAAGAATACATGGGAATTTCATTGGAGGGACGGAGAAATGGAGGGGAAGAAAAAACATTGTATGTGGCTACAACTAGACTTCGTTTTTGGCCATCAATAATTTCAATATTAACAAGGTAAAACCGAATGAACTTGGAGTCTTGGACTGATAATAACTAAGATTCATAGTTTTCCGTTCAACTTTCCTTTGAATTCCTTGTTATAAATCAACTGATCCAATAACTAGAATTGTTGAGAATTTGGTTAATTATGAATCTTATGCCACTCTTTTCGATCTGAACAATCTTTTACAATGGATGAGAGCTTCTTATTAGCATTTTGAACCTTCTAAGTCTATGTCAGAGTAAAGTATCTATCTAGATACGAGCCATATATGATGGGTTGTGACGGAAACCGATCCCTTGCTTTGGTGAGTTAGATAGGACACATGTTTAGAGTTTAGACTCCTATTCTATACTCTGGTTCGACCGTAATACGATTCTCACGATCAATGAGAAAGTGAATAGGAAAAAAGGTTAGATTGATTAATATCTTCATTAGTTAATTTTAGATATTTTCTAGGTTTTTCGAACATTCATTGTAGCAAAGTACATATTGTAGCTAGAGCTAGTAATGTGGTTTTCCAATTTCTGGAATTCATTAGGATTAAGGTATATGCAAATGATTGGTCACCTTTTCCCAACGTCTCAGAATTTCCTCTATGCAATTGGCTAGTGATGGGGACGAACATGTGGGGAACAACGTTAGTACGTTACAACACAAGCGGCAAGTGTTGATCGCGTGGAGTTGTCTCGATATGTCTCTGTGGTTGCCATCAAAGAGGCTGTTATTATGTAATTTCGCATGCAGGTCTGTATAGGAAAAAAGATGGGGGCATGTTTGGCTGGTAGTCCCTGACTATTTGTATATTTCTATATCTTATTACATAGTTTCCAGAGATTGCCACATTTCGTAGTTTACTTTGATACGGAAAAAAATTCAAGCCACCCACAAAGTTTGAACTCGCCATAGCACATCATCTCGCAATTTTTTCTTAGATGGATTAGGTTTGTTCCAAAAGGATTCACGCTTGAATCATGGAGAACATATTGCAAGAACATTTCTTAAACTGACTTATTCAAATGTTCATAGACACATCATCTGTATGAAGCTCTCGAAATGAGACATTTGGAAACATGTTTTAGAGAAAACAAGACAGTTAGAATTGTTTTTACCTCTCCTAGACATTTAAAAATGTCACTAAACGAGACTCTACGAAACAAAATGCTTCGTACCCCTAATGAATGAGTCAATTGCCCCAAACATCCCAATGGAGAACACCCAACAACGTAGGAATGTAAAAGTATAAGGTACCAACGGCCAACGCTCCGATCAGATGATTCCTTACCGCATTAGAAAACGATAAGCGTTGCCAAATTGAGACAAGGTGCATGTTCCCATTCTTATAAAAAAAACCCTGTGCTTTTCATGTACAGTTTGGCGGATGTGGAATTCCGGTGTGTAGTCCGGGAGCTAACCAACAGTCCCACCGTCGCAATTGTTTACGTCCTAATCACGGCAATTAGTTGTTTTAATCGGACGAGAAGTCCAGTCCTACTAAAACACGCCGAACTCAAAACCTCATAGTCCAAAGGCTACATGCCAGAGTTTCACTGGCAAATTTGTTGTTATCGTCATCCAATTATTGGGCGCAAGCAGCAAATTTTGCTTTTGCTTGCAACGGCCAAGGAGACAAAATAAACAAGAATTCTGTGAGTTAATACGGAATCCAACTCGCCGAGAGCTACCCTTGCAAAAAATATCTTAAACGTCTGCATCTGCAAGCAAGTGCTTTTGTCACAAACTGATGTAGAAGAGTTGATCCGTCATGTGGGAAATGCAGGCGAGAGGAAGGTCACTCTACTCAACCTTGCTCAACAATCACACAGCAAAAAGCTAAAAGACAGGGATAGAGCAAACGTACCGTACCCCATGCCATGTGTGAGCACATGTAAGTTGCCGATTTTACGACGACGAGCATGAAGACGCTGAGTTGCCGACAGTCTGACATTGGACAACCCTGGCAGGCAATCAGACTAGAGGGGACACAACTTTCCAGCCTGAAATTTAAAGAAGAAAACAAACCAGCGGCTGTTCTGTTCTATCACACTACTACACACTACGGAACAACAAACTCATGCAACACACTAGAAAGGTGGTGGATGTGGTTAGAAGCATTGGGGGATCGAAGGTGAAGGTACAAACGCGGGAGGAGAAGCGCTCTACACCGCTATTTACGAGAATGCTGTACTGTACATATGTACTAGTGTGGTCCCAGACTCCCAGTATGAACAGGATCCCGTAGGGGTTTTGTTGGTCGGTTTGTTTGGGGGGTTGTGGTTTGATCTCAGTCACTAGACCTTCTGTCGAGGCGAGCGGATCTCCAGGAGACGGAATTGGAAGACTTGAGTAGGAGGCCGATTGCGGAGGAACATCTTGCCCTTACTACAGCGTCAGGTGACCGGCTCATTTTACCAACCAGCATCCCGAACACCTGAAGGGGAAAAAGGCAATGAAGGGAGGATATATTAGTTGAAGACTTTTCAGAAAGGTGTCGAAGTAAGATGGAAAGGAATGAGATTCTATTTTGGAGGACCTGTGAGTAGTAAAGGGATAAAGTACGCTGATCATCTGAGACTGATAGGAAGCTGCTGACCAAATATATTGCATTTGCTTGGATGATTGGCCATGGAGAGTCGAAAGCCTGCATAAGAACGATGTTCAGACCATTTACAAGTCAATCTAATTGATTAAAGTAAAGAACAAGGGTAACCAGGGACAGTGTTTTTCTCAGACAATCAAAACCTGTATTGTGAGTGCCATGTAGGTGTCGACTCTTGACGGAAGATGTTGGACGAACTGTTTCGTTAGTTCTCTCAGAAAGCCTTCATAGTCGGTCCTGAAAAAGTGACGGATTGGTTTCCCGCAACAATGTCAGATACCACTGATGTAATACCTTTAAAAATATTCAGGTGCTGAGAGTTTGTTAGTCCATGCCTGTGATCGGAGGTGAAGAAGTTGGAGTTGAATAAGGTAACTGATCCTTCTATCTCCATCAAAGGGGCGATTCGTTTGAGAGTGTTCTACTCACAAGCATAAAAATGTAAGGTTTTTCTGTACAAGAAGCAAAACCGAGAGAACCAGGGACAAGGGTGATCACTCACTCGGCATGCATGTCGGACACTAAGATCGTCATCATGAAGGTGCAGAACCAACCGGGGCATGGCAGCATGTATCTGCACCAGTCATTTCAGACAACTTAATATGCAGAAGAAAAAAACGATTAGAAGGCTACTGAATAACCAATTGTTTATGGCACTGAGCAAAACAGAAAGGAGTCCGCAGGAAAAGATACTTAATACGTGTTTTTCTGATTAAAATGTTTGATACATAAACAGAGATTTGATTACATTTTCAAGCAGGAAGTTGACAAAATAAGAGACCTGTTCAAGAAATGCCTCATGCTGCCCACCAACTCCATAACTGCTAAGGGATCCAAAGGCTGCAAATGCATTGGCTCGCATCTTTGGGTTCATGGACACCTGCTTTCAATCCAATAGAAGTTATTACCACTACCAGCATGCTGACACGTTACTATCACAAGGCATTAAAAATTTCACTATTTGAGTACTGGAGACGCGGAGGAAAGAACAGACTAATATCACACCCTCTCAATTTATCATGTTGGAACAGACAAACATAACAAGTAAAGAGACCTTAGTTAGCTTGTCCTCGGGCCAAGTCCGTGATCTTTTGAAGTTCATTCAGGGAATCGAGTTTAACAGAACCTACTAATCTAGGAAACAGCTTACCAGAAATTCAAGCTTCAAACTAGGGGAAGGCAAAGATGAAACAGAAACGCGGAATTATAGGTACAGGATTTCTGCAAGAATATATACCTGGAGACTGCGGAGTCTGACTGAAAGATTAAGCAAAATAGGCTCCACTGCGTCATTGGGGGAAGACTCAAGAATCTAAAGATATACAAAAAAGCCCAACTGTGATAAGGGGGAAAAAAAGAAGGAAAATCAAATGGTATAGAAAGAGCAGGGAGGATAAGAGGACCCACCATGAGTAAACAAGAAACAGCAGTTGATTGAACTGATTCCTCTGCATCATCCATCAATGCCACTATTACACCAAGTATTTGAGTTGTGTAGTGAGAAATATGAACAGATGGTATCTGCAACCCAGAAAACAAATAAGAGTTCATTAAAGCAGTTGCATGAATATGCACATTTTCCCGTCACTGATGAAGCAAAGAACTGTTCTTCTGAAACTCAGTCTTGCACATTTTTCCAGCCAAACACACCATGTAAAGACAGCCTGCATAACCATACAAATGAAATACCTGCACAAGCCCTCTTAAACAGAGGCGTCTGACAGTTGGAGACTCATCTGATACATGTCGACACAATGCCTCAACCATTTCCTCTAAAACAGAGCCGAATTCCCCACTGCAAGTAGGGAATGTACTGGATAAGTAGATTAAAACGCCTAAAATTGAAATGCAAGCCAGACGCAATAAGGATAAAAATAAACACCAGAAATTTCGAGCGAGCTAGTTATAATTCCTTCGGGTTTAAAATTAGTCAACCAATGCAGTATAACAAACAACCAAAGACTAGGAAAAAGAAAAATGTAGGAAACAGCTGACAGATTTAGAAAATATATATGTTTTCAGGGAAGATGAAAGTAGACGAAGGACGATACACGCAAGAATAAGATGAAGGCGTTCCATTTGTACTTTACATGGTATCCCTGTTTGTTACCTGTACCGAACGAACTCTGACAAGGCAGCAGCTGCAGCTTCTCTTTGAAATCTTTGATGACGGTTCAACGATTTAGTTAAAATCGAGCAAATGGTTTGGACCTGTAAATATTACCCATAACAGAAAAGCAGAACAGGCTTGTACATTAAATGGTGATAGATTGGAAGTAGTAGACTATAAAGATATCAAAGGTGGATTGGTGATTTAATATTTGTTTCCTTAGCAGGCATCTCTCTGACGCTCATTGAAAAACCTTCTAAAGGGGAAAAACATCAAAAGGATTGTTGATAGCATAATAAGTTACCTCTTTTGGTCTTTTTATGGAGATGCAGGCTGCTATATCTCCAACGACAGTAATCCACTTCTCCTTCTCATTTTGCTCTCCATCTCTGACCAGTATCTACATCAGATGCAGTAAGATTAAGGTGGGATCATATTTCAATACCCATATTCTCTCTTCATCACATCAGCATAGGTCGTAGTACTGCAGTTCAGTGGCATACCTTTCCCATTTCAAGGTCTCCAACACATTCACAAAAAGCACGGAACGCTGCCAGAAGATATCTGGCAATCAAAAGAACATAGATAAGTAATATGCTAATCCGTAGTAGAAAGGGAATAGATTCATCTTTCAGAGAACATAATCCAAATGATGCTGCAGACTCACTGTAATGGTTCAAGCTGACCAGAACTGGCAAGACCATGACAACTTCCAAACTGGAGTGTAAGTCCAGCAAGAACAGAAGCATAACTTTGCTCAACAGCCTTCTTTCCAACTTTACCCCCACCTCTGTAAAGGAAAATGAATGTTAAGTAGATGAAAGTTAAAAGAAACCAAGGAACGCAAATGATGTTGATACGACAAACCTAAAGAAGGCAGTCAGAGCGAACATAGAAGCTTGAAGAATCTCATCCTCCATTTGGACATCAGGGAAATTATGAGAGATCTCTCCTTTATCCAAATCCACTTTACCAACAGGGGTCTGATTAAGAACATATATCAGATGCTCCAGAAACTCCGATGACAGGACAGGGTGCTGAGAGAAGGCCTGCGAGAAGACAGAAGACATTTCAATTCCCGATCACAAAGTAAAAATGCGATTTTGAGAGCGGCTCCTGCTCTCTCCCAAATTTCAGGTATGTTACTCTGACTCATTTGGAGACCCTTTTGCATGGAGCACCAGTATGCTGAAGAAATATCCCATGCAAGAAAGCAGCAGCTAACAAATACTCACATAAAAAGCATCCTGCATCGGCCAGCCTCCTCGTAATCTAGATATGTCCTTTGTGATGATATCCTTTCCAGCAGTTGCTAATACTTCATTGAAGACAATTTTAGAACTCGTACTTTCAGCAAGTGAAGAAATCTTCACGCAGTTAAGGATACACCACTCAATTTGACTACCCAATTTTAAACAATATAACACAACAAGGAAAATGATAGATGGGTGACAATGTGCCTTATTTGTAGACACTAAGCCTAATTGAAATGATGAACCTCCCAAATGAATGGGTAAAAGGATACAGCTCCAATAGTCTCCAACCTCATATGCTTCTCAGTTACATGTATTGCGGCAGAGAGTAGTGACTGGGTTGTCCTGTGAATTGATATTGTTCACTGACTGAGATATTTACTTTAAAATTGATTACATCCTAGACTTTGTGACACTTAGGAGAGTCAAAAAGACACGAAGTAAAGACAGAAGGTAAAATTATCCCCTCAGGCCTCATCCACAAAGACAAGAAATAAGGTATAAGACTTTGAAGCATATTATGCTAGGATTGCATAGAGAAACCAAGGAAAAGATAGCACTTCAAGAAGCAACATCTTAATAGCTATGAGAAAGTATAAAATTCTTAGACAGAACCTTGAAAGATCAGCACCATTCAGTTCATGCCCCCTCTTAGTAACAAACTCAATAACTGCTTGTATAGTCCCTTCAGCTGACAGCTTGACCTTGTCACATATACCTGCTGCAGAACCATACAAGGTTGCTACAAGCTGCACAAATTGAACAGAAAAGATCAGACAATCATCTAAACTCAGCATAACGCAACTTTCAACTCTTCTTGGAATCTTTAGCGTACCTCGTCCTTTGTCAATAAAACACTCACAGAAAAAACAATTCGGTTGAAAACCTCTGATGGATCAATGGATGCATCCTGAAGTATGACAGTAATTTTAAGAGATTAAGAGAACTTCATTTTCCCTTCCACTGCACCAAAACCAGAGATGGAAAAGAGCAAAACACAGGAAAAGAGAGATAGAGTAGCACCCTTCTCAAGATGGCTATAACATCCTCAAGTGAGGATAAAGCCAGATATGACGATTCAATATCCACACTGGAGCTAGATCCAACAGGCTTCGGAAGTGAGAGAGCAATGCTGAACAGCTGATCAAGAATCTGCCAGAACTCAAAAGGCAGAGCTTAATCAACAATTTGCTTAAGACCAAGATCAATATGCTACCAAAAAGTTATGTTCCGATAACCCCACCCACATACTACAATAATATGTATTTTAAACAGAATAATTAACAAACAGCGTATACCTGAGCAGCAACTTTTCTAACTTCAGAATTAGTGTCTGCACAACGAGGTAGATACACAATGACTCTCTCCCCCAGTGAAAGAGCTTCACGACTTGGCAATACAAATGCGGCTGGAAAGTGTAACAATGGAATAATATGAGATATTTTAAGATAAATCATGTGTCTTGAAATTCAACCAAATGACACTTACATGGTAAGTTAGGAAAATTGGCCCGCGTGGTATGGTCCAATTGCTTGCCATGAGAGCAACTACCATGGCAGCCCAATGCACAATATCCACTCACACAAAGCATCCGGAATTTAAGAAGCATCTCATGCACGGCAAGACAACCTCTTTTCCGCTGATAATCAACCGCTGAAGAAACATATTGATCAATGTGTCTCAAAATATGCAGTAGCTGCTCTGCCCGACTTCTTCCATCCTCTCCGCTATTATATCACATAAGATGCTAGTACATAAGCACAAACCTTTTCATAGTGCCTTACTCCGCTAACTGTATCTCACAAAATAAAACAGTATGTTCCAAAGAGAAGGTAGTTCAGGAACACTACCTAGTAAGGAGGATTGCGCACAACAGAGTTATAAGGTTGTCTATTAGGGATTTTACGACATCTTCTGGCTCATTTGGCACAGCAAAAAATCCTAAGGTTGCCTGTCCAAATAATAGAAGGATGCATGCACAACTTGTAAGTTAGAGATAAACAATATTGCACTGATTCCAGAAGTAACATAGAACTGCCAGGAGAACCTTTAAAACAAGATTTCTTGTTTCTACTGTCAATTTTGGCTCCACCGAAACCAAAGTGGTACAGGCACTTAAAGCCAATGCCTGCAGATACAAAAAGGAAAGGGGTTAAGACATCTTTGGCTGCCAATGCTTACTCAACATGGAAATTGAGTACCAATCTTCATGGAAATCTACTCACCCGAGTTCGCAGAAGTTCTAGACTGGAATCAGCTAAATCTTCATCATCATCCCTGCCCATCAGTGTTAATATATAGTCCAGCAAAACATCTCTTTTTTTCAGGGGGAATGGCGCTCCATGTTCTGAAGCATTGATGACAGCACGACCTGCACCACCAGCAATATTACAAGAACACAGAGAAGTCACGAGGCATCAAGATTGAAGGCCAAGCATCAAAACTACCATATCCAGGGAAACTCCAATAGGGAATAGATAGTAGTTATGAAAGAATTGAAAGCCTATTCAAATATTGAAATCAAGGACAAGAACACAGTGCACAATAAGAATTATATGCGAGGAATTATGTGGAAGTTAATGTGAAATTTTGGAGAGAATGTGATTATCAAAAGGAAAAAGAAGATAATCTACAGCATGTATCTTTTTCTCCATCCCGATTGGTATAAATTTGTCAAGAACAGAAAGAAAAGAACGAGAGCATTAGTAATTTATTGCTTCCAGGGAACATATCTAACAACAACAAGCAGACCAATGGACAATTGCCTAGTGCCCATCAGCTCCACCATGCTTCAGTTAAACAATCTTTGAGCAGGGCGTTGAATACAAACCTAATAAGTCAATAGCAGTAATTACAGCCTGCTTTGCTGTAGGATGGCGGACATAAAGAAGCTCCGATAGCATATTAGTTCCCTGGGACAAATAATAAAGAGGGGAGAAAGGAGACTCGGAATTATAGAATCAATAGAAACATTCTGCATTTAAATATTAGTTTAGCAACCTTGGCCTACAGATAGTGGTCTCAAGGAAGTTCTGATTATGACAAATAGAGAGACAGAAAGAACAAAATTTTCATGTAGCTTGAGTTAAGAGTAAAGAACATGCATCCTTCCCAATGAAACTTTCTGCTTGCTAGTTTAGCTCAAGCACTAATAATCTGAAAAGACAAAAGACTTCTTCTCAACTCCGCCTAGTTCGGTATAAAAATTTAAACTACGGGACTACAGGCTTTTACTACCAGCCTAGACAAGCAAACTAGAATTTCTCAATAAGCACAAAGATTCCGTTATTTAGATAATGTAAAGAGGGTAAGACTCAATGAAAACGGAAATGGTAATAGACTCTGGACGCAACCCTCCTAGACTCTTCTAACAAGCATGAGTACCACCAGCAATAAGGCAAGGGTATTATAGCAAATTGGCAAGCTATATTAAGGAATGAGAGAAAGAAGCATACAACAAGTGCATCTATCCTGGCTTCAATAACTGTTGATGGAGCATATCTTGCAGCATATCCATACATCAAAGCTAATGCAGCATGTATGTCATCCGAGTCTTCAGTTTTACTACTATCAGAGAATAAAGACAACAATCTGCAAATATAGACCAAAATTCAGCAGAAAGCAAATAGGATTTACACAAAGAATAAGAATTATATTCTTGTACAGGAATTTTACAGAAGACCTCCTGACAAACTTAATCCTTTCTTTTTCTCTCTTGTATGTTACGAAACAGAAGAACAGCGAGTAAAATCTAGCTCAATTCATAAAGTTACTTTAGAGGAAAATGAAGTATTTCAGTTGAAGTAATTTGTTGTGCTGTTGTGCATAACTTCAAAATTTTGAACATTTACCTTTGGAAAATGCTTTGCCCAACATTAACCAGAATGTCTTTCAACTTTTCCAGAACCGTATCCAAGTGAGATGCGGCAACCTGAAAATCAGTAAAGGTATTAAAGATCTGAAATAGCAACATCACAAACTTTCATTTGAGAATTAAGTTCGTAAGAATGGCCAAAAGCCAGATACCAGTCCCATGGCTTTTGCCAGACCAAGTCTGTTGGATGGAATAGCAATATCAGCTTGTCTATACATCCAATTTATCTTATCTTGAACATAAACCTTGTCGTCAACTTTCTGCAAAAGCATGCCGAGGCACCTACAACGGAAAAGAACAACGATGAGCAATTCAGACAAAGAGGAATACTTTTCGCATTCTCAGCAAGTACAGAACATAGCAAGACAGTATAATGCTCAAGCAGCATATCTCTTTCTGACCTCTCTTGACCTATGCATATTCATGCCTATCACATGCGATGAGTAAAGAAACAAGGTAACAAATGCAATTCATGTCATACCAAAAGAGACTTGTGTCTTAGCAAACAAGGGCTTGACCTAGTTGCAATGCCACTAGTCTTGAACCTGGAGGTCCCAGGTTCGAATCCCTTCAGTAGCTCCTAACGATAAAAATCAATCTATGTCACCCTTATCCAGAAAAAAGAAAAACAGAGAGACCCGTGTCTTATGTTGCTAAGAGAAAGGAGAACAAATTCAAGGATAGATTTGAACATCCAAAAGTTGTCAGGCAGAAGAATGTGGGGATCAGGTGAATATTGATAATATTGTGAAGTTCATAGCAAACTGGAACTTGAGAAGAGAAAATGTATGCAGCTAAAGAAAGAATATAAGATACAAAATATGAAAGTGACGTCTGATGAAATTAACATACTGATGAAGAAGTCCAGAATGTTCATCCTCTGGTGCATACAGCTCATACTGATTTGTAAAAGCATTTCCAAGGGAAACCACCCAGTCATTGTCTTGAACTACATCTAAAGATTCTGCAAGAAACTATCACCCGTAACATAAATCAGTCAGTAGTTTTTAGAGCCAAGAAAAACCGTACACCTAACACATTCGTTCTTCAAAAAGATGACTTTAATGACATCCACTGAGACAACAAGAACGAATTTGACAAGCGTCTCAAGATCAAGATGCTTACATTGATTACCATGTCATCCCATGTCTCTTGGTATGAAGGATCCAGCTTTAAATCGTCCGTGTCGCTGACATATGCCTTCATTTTAGGAATCTAGAGCTTACCAAAGGAAGATATCAATAAGTAACACAAATGGAACATCATATTTTACTACTATTGACTTATGATATGCACATAATAAGATACATGTCCGAAGGACATTATTTTTATACCATGAGCAGAAGACTCCTGTTAATCCAATACATCAATAATTATGCAGGTATTGCTTATAGCAAGATGCCATATTTCTAATCCACAATTCAAAGCTTGTGCACGTGCAAAAACTGTTTCATTTGCTTACCAAGAACCATGAATTAAAGCAACACCACTGATACTAGTTACCACTAAAAAACACATGATGGCCTACCTCATCCTGCCAAAATAGGGTAATGTTTCTTGGGAAGAGAGGAGCCAAATAGCAAAGGACCTGAAAGGTAAAAAACAGTTCAGAAGACCTGTTTCTAAGCTTATGATGTTATCAAAGCAGAACACTAAAGTTTCATGGACAGAAACTGGCAACTGCCCTACAGCACACTTCAGCAAAGGAAACTCCCCAGAAAGAGACCAACATCAGATTGTGATGCCACATTGAATGGCAGAATCTGAATGTTGACTCACTTAAATATACGATAACTCCCAACAAAATGTCGATTGCAAAGCTACTTGGAGTATAGTGCAAGTGGAAACAGCTCAGCCTCTGCACCATTTGACTATAGTCTATAGATATGCTGTCATCAAAGCCTATGCTAAAACAAAAGACTATATAAGAAAAGTTGAGAGCCTGTCACTGCCAAATTCACTAGCTACATTTTATTATCATGTTCAACTCTAGTAAAGGACAAGAGGTGCTTACAGTCAAAATCTGAGTTGCTAACTGTGATGGAGCCAGGGGATCATGCAAAAGCACTAACAAGCGGGCCAAAAGATCCTAGACAATGAATGAGCATTTGATTATTGAAGATTGTTCGATAAACCAAGAAAATCCACATGCTTAAGCTTTAATGAAACCAAACTGCACCTCAGGATTAGGTATATCAGACCAACTTTTGCACTCAGAGAGTATATTATTATTAGAAGACTTCTGTCTACACAGCTCTGAGATGCATCGGCAGACCTGAAATAGCATCAAGTACCAAGCACAAACAAACATGAAAAATATTAACTGACATAATTTCACGCAAAAGTAAGATGGATAGCTAAGACTCACTGTAGCGACTGCACCAGTATAAGCGCGTGGAATAATCATCTTCAAAAGAAAAGGCCAAAGAATATGCTGCAACAACCAAGGCACATACAGAAATATCACCTCAAGTAACCTCAAACAGGAAAGGGAAGTTCAGAGAAGACACAAATATTTTGTCTTCCACAAGGGATCAAATGGAAGAAGGAAACTCATTAATACCTCCATCTCAGGAATAGTAATCGTCAAAAGGAGAAGACCTTTCTCACATACTGCCCTCAACTCTCCTAGGCTAAAATATCCCATCTTCATCTGAGGAAAAGAGAACTGGGTAAGCTGCAACTATCAACAGGAATGAGTAAACAATGTGATCACTATATCGGTCATAAACAAACCGACTCTTGAGAAAGGCCATAAATAAATTCATCCCCATAGAGAAGTCAAATAGAGGAATCCTCTCAGTTACAGAACATTGCCCACCTTAGATTTTCCAGGATCACTTCTTTCTGTTTCTGATAGAGCACAATGGCGCACGAGGTATTCAACAAATATTTCTCCAGATGGTCCAACAAAATAGCAGTGTGAGGCCATGACCACAATCAACTGACATCATAATGACAAGATTGCAAATTAGACAACACATTGCACGCATTCACACCACTCCATCACCTTTTAATGATTTAAAAAAAGGAAGAATCACTACACACCTCGGATAGAGCCTGTCGGACACACATACTTTGCTCTTGTAGCAAGGACTTTGCAGCTTCAACAAGTAAAGGCCTTTTATTATACCAAGCTTCAGACGACCTCCAAATTAAAACTTACACAAGTAAGATCAAGCAACAAGAAAAGTAACAAGTTCATTTCAAAAGCATGGGAAGAGGAAAAAAGGGGATGGCCATGCGCAAACACAACATACCTAGGGAGAAGATGCTTTAAAACGCATATGGCCCCAAAAGTCAAAGATTCTTCCTTCAAACGACATTTCTTTTAAGAATAAAGGGTACATAAAGATTCTGGTATAAGTCCCAAGTGAAACATAGAAACGACAACGATAAAAATATATTGACAATCTAATAAAGAGATCATACAAATGTTCAACAAATAGCTACTAGCTTCATTAGGATAGCATCTTACTAAATCTCAAAAAGGAAAAAACTCTGATACTCACATTTAAGAGAAATGTAAAAAGATCATCGGGGTACACCATGCCAACTATCATAAAGCATCGATGAACCTCATTATAGGTCTGTCATAAGAGAGAGACAACGTTAAAGAAGTACAGGTCAGGTTGTTTCAAGATAGTACGATATCAACCAAAACACACCGATTTCTCATGTTAGTAGATTAGGCATATACAAAGAGGTATTCACCTTAAGACCCAAGGAAAAATTTGAATGCCCTTTTCTGTCATTGTAGACGCAAACTACTGGGAGAAGAGTAGATAAAATAACCGTGAGATCCTGTAAAAGCATGAAAAGCAGAATTCAGTTCACAAGCGAATAACCTTCATCATAAAGAACTTTAATTGACTGCATTCCAAAAACAATCTAACAAATTATCTTAAGGAAAAACACAGACACACGGAGAAAATTCATAATCAGAAATGAATAGCACATCACCTCAAAATCAAGCATTGGTGGACCCGTTTCTGATAATAAAGCTGCATCTAAGAGATTGTGGAGAGAGATAGTAGCCAAAAGGGCAACATCTTGATCCTTTTTACACCTAATTGACATAAATTGCATAACATTTATATCCAATTAATTGTGATCCAAATTGTAGCTGTACCAGTGTAAATATAAAAAGGCTACATTGAACTTGGTCTTACAATTCTAACATAGTGGGGATAAGCCTGGGCAAAGCTGCCTTCAGTTGTGTACGGGTTATAAGACCAACCATTTGACCCAATGCTTCCACAGAAGATGCCCGAACCTATCCAAGATGAAAAATGGCTCATTTAAGCACAAATATAACTGAGAAGAGAATATGCAAGTGTTGAGGTCGTCAATGTACATCTGGATCGGTATATCCCACTTTGCAGAACAGACCTTATGTTCAGCTATGGAAATTGTAAAAGTACTCCAAAAGAATAAAAATATACTGGCAACTTGTTCTTCTTCCATGATTTCTAAGAATTTCTAATGTAATATCAGCCCAACTGTTGATAACAAGAAGAGGGATACGCCCTTCCTTTGAAGACATCAGGAAGGAACTTTTACCCAGAAGGTGTATCCTCTTTAAGATGAAATAGGCGAACAACTAGCTTCCTGTGATGCGCATTTAACTCTGGAACTTTATTAAATAGCACTAAATCCTATTTAATTCAAGATCCAACATATATAAAGACATAAAATATTTTCAGACTACAGTGCATGTGCAATTACAAGGCACAATAAGGTGCATTGTCCAATAGAAGAAAGCATAATAACAGAGAAGTTCAAAACAAAAGGAATTGCTCCATATACCTTTAGGTCACGTGAAGTTGCCCACACTCTCAATAGAAGCTCAAAACCGGAATTCAAATATGACCTGCATTAATTGCAATTTCTCTCCATTGACATACATTTTCCCAAAACTGATGGAAAAATAGAAGTAATTATATTGACTTACATGACATCACCATCAAGAAAGGTGTTTGACGGAAAATCATCATCGTACAGCCAAGCAGCCTGGCACCAACATTTGAATGCTACAAGAGCAACAGGAGTATAGTTCATAAAAAAAGAACAGCAAGAAGTATAGTCTATAAAAAAAGAACAACAGAAGTACAGCGCTCATTACTAGACTGATAATCACTAGAACAAACATGACAAAGGTGAAGAACTATTTACAGCACACAATGCTAGAACTTGGTTCAGGTGGCAGCTTTTGCCACTGAAATATAAGTAAACTTGACCAAGCAGACTAGTTAAATACTTTAACATAAAGTCATCGCAAATACTTCCTATTGTCCACGTAACTAATACGCCACTCGTTTGAAAAAACTTTATCAAATAATAGGACAACTGCCATGATATAGTTTTCGTTCATCCAACATTATATTATGATTTCTCCAGACACAAATCACAATAAGGCAATGCCGTGAATCCTACACTCGAATCTCGATGCCAGCCAACTAGACCTAGCTAATTGCAGCGGAAAAGAGATAATTCATACCGTTTGCAAAAATTGGCCGATGAACATCTCGTACATTCCCAAGAAGGGGTAGAATGCGAGAAAGTACACCTTTTAATCTTGGAAGGAACTGCACAGCTTTTGCCAAATTAAAAGGTAAAGAAGCTAAATCAGTTAAACAGAAAGAAAAAGTCAGTAGCCCAACCGCACTACCAAGTAATTAAAGGAAGCAAAACCAAATGCAAGAGAAAAGGTTTTAGATAATAACCATCAGCAGAAGCAAAATCTGCAAGTATTTGCACCATAGCAGGCAGAGCTGAACTAGGTCCAGACAAATAAAGAAAAATCTCCTCCATCATCTGCCATATCAATGTTAATCTCAGCTTATGGTTAGCAAAGTAATTACATCATAAAAATATATATATTTGAAGCCCAAACAGATGGGCCAGCAAAGAGAATCTCATCCAAAGGAAAGTAACATCTGAAAGGGGTAATTTGTTGAAAAATGAGTTAGAAACAGGAAAATTACTCCAAATGTTGAGTTGGATGATCTAACAGTTATTCATACAAACAAGCTGAATAAACTGCATTTGAGGACCCCAATTAATGACCACAAAGTAAACTAATTGCATTCAATAAACTGTTGAATAGAAGACCAAGCAGATAACAATATTTTCAAATCTGGATGTTCACGACTCGCTAATAAAGTCGTCAAAGAAGTCGCTGCCTATTGAACAACCTTTTCTGATCATATAAGTCCCATATAAATGCTTGCCAAACCCTCATCTGGAGCATTAAACTTGTGAAATGGGGAACAGAATCCATGAACTAAGAACTAAGAACTAACAAAAGTACAAGAAGGGAAGTCCCACCTGCTGGAACTCAAGAGTGCCAAATAAGCAACTACAATAGAACCCTGGAATTTAAACGACACTCCTATATATAGTTCTCATGTGGAGTAAGATAAGCAACAAACTGAAGCTTACCAGATCAGGTAGATGGGATCCTATCGAAACAAGTAAGCTAGCAGCAGCTCTTTGCCAATCTGTATTGACTTCCTGCATCAAATGAACAAGTGAAGTTACTGTGCAGAAACCAGTCATAAGGCCTCACATAAGTTCAAATGCTTACAACTTAATTAGAAATCATTTCTAGTAGTCTACAGATACTAATGTGAACTATCTCTAATTACCAGGACATGGTGCATAAAGACTGTCTCTGAAGGTCAACTTTATCCACTCCAGAAACTCAATATTTAACATTATGACTTGTAACCTTTCCATTTTCTTTCTCTACCTATCACAAATATGGAAAGAAACACAAACATGCTACCAACGATCACAGCAGCTGGAAAAACGATGCTGAACCTTAGAAGAGACAATTTCGGCAGTGGCGATCTTCGCGAGCTTTGCCATGAAAGAAGGATCAACATCCTCTTTATCCAACGCTCCAACTCCCATCGCCATGACTTGAAACAGTCCAGCAATGTTCCCAACCCGCTGGTAAACAGAAACCAAAAACGGAAAAATAAGTTTCAGCAGATACTCAAGCAACCTCTATTCCACATTTCAGAGTCCGAAAAAACAGCAAAGAGAAGTAGAGCATACTCTTCGACCGCCTCGAGAGACCGCAGAGCAACAATCAAGGACCAGAAGCGGGTTCCTAGACAGAATTCGTCGTGCCACGCTAGTTAAGCTCACGCCCAAAAGAATTAAACTCTCAAAGAGACGCCAAAATGCAGTGACGAGAGACTTACAGAACGGCTATATCCTTGAGAGAAGCCATGGCGGCTTTTCTGACCAGCGGCGATTCATCCGCGAGCGAAGAGACCAGAACCTGAACTGCCTCTGAAGGAAAGAAGATGCCGCGAATTGTAGAAATGAGCGCGGTGCGGGAGAAATAGAGCGGATTGAGAATTGGAAGCGGAGGTACCTGGCGCCGGAATTGAGCTACCGGAACTCGAAGAAGCCATTGAGATTTGAGAGTCGAAGCCGGAGCAGAGGGAATTTGCCGATCAAAGCAGTAGGAGAATCAAACAGAAGGAAAGAATAAAAAGGGGAGAAAGAAAGTTCGTTGGATTCATAATAAGCGAAGACAGGGACAGCTGTCGTAGAAGCGGAAAAATAAAAGAATAAAATGTAAAGTTCATAAAAAATAATAAATAAAATTAAAACTATAATAATCTAGTTAAATTTCATCATGTATTAAGTTAAATATTCATATTCTTAGACAGAATAATTCCACTTTCTGTTACATAAAAAGATTGAAATGATGATAAATAATAACAGCAGAAATAAAATAAAAAAATTATAATAACTTCCTTCTATTTTCTTACTCTGTGAAGGAAGAAAACACAGAGCTAAAGCCACAAAAGCAAGAACAAAATGCCGACACAGTTACGTTCACGGTAGTGCTGAGCGAATTGCCACGATCGGCTTCTTCTCCTTTGTCTCCGGCTACCAATTATCACAATTATTGAGGACAACGAAGAGTCAGTCAGTCAGTCAGTCATTTTATCAAACACATAATTGACATAATTGACACTGAACAATTTCTCACGGCAAGGAAACAATCGACGACCTGCCAAAAGACATCACGACGAAGCGCTAGATCTTCAAACTCTCTATGTTTCCTTCCCGGCGTCCTCACTTCCAAGAAGGCCCGCTGCCGGCATTATTGATCAGGAACAGCTTTACCTAATCCCATCGCTTCATTTCCATGGGGGATGGAGAGCCATGCTTGCAAAAGTCTGGTTTTCCCGCGCCACATCAAGTCACAATACTGCTACCGCCATGTGAATGATGTTCCCCGGTAGCTTGTGCTCTGAGGCGAGAATCGGGAGGCGGCATCGTCGATACTTCACACTTCCGATTCCCGATCTACTTCAGCGCAAGTGTTTGGACTTGAAAGGTGCGGACCTGTGATTTGTGAAGTGAGAACAGGGGCTGAGATGACTAACTAACTGGCCCGCCAAATTCAAATAACCTGCTGGATTGAAGCCCAAAGGGCCACGAGATTCGTACTGGAGTAGATTGGTCCAGTTTGCCCTTGGTAATTCGAATCAGGCCCAAATGCACAAAACCGGTCCGTTCCAACTATGGTTTCCAAACACTTCTAATTTGGCTACCTGAGTAGAATTAAAACCTATAACTAGCTAGCTAAAACCTAGATTAGGGTCGTTTCTAAAAAAAAAAAAACCTAGATTAGGGTCATAAAGACATAAACCATTGCAAATTTAATTAGTAATTCAATTGAAATATAGAATAGACATTCGGTTCCATTATCCAAAGAACACAAATCACAATTCCAATCTTAATCATCTCCGAAGGCTGTCTTATGACTAATAACTCTATTTTGTCACTAAGTATACAGAAATACCACTCGGTGAAATCTATAAATTAGCTATATATCATTTCATCCTCCACGATTTATAAGTCCTATCTCAAGATAAATCAAGCGATAATGACGCCGGCAACGCATTCCGCCGCTTCTCTTCTACTCAGCCTCGCTCTCGTCTTCATCATTTTCCATGGTAATTAAGTCAAGATAAATTAATCCCCACTAATTAATCTCTCCATTAACTAGGTTAATTAATCTAACTAAGTTTATGCTCTATAGGGGCAAAGGCGACGGTGATCACATTCACAAACAACTGCCCCACCACAATCTGGCCGGGGCTCCTCACCGGCGCCGGCTCCCCACTCTCCACAACCGGCTTCGAGCTGGCCGCCCAAGCCACCGCCAAGGTCGCCATCCCTCCGCCCTTCAGCGGCCGGTTCTGGGCCCGAACCGAGTGCTACTGGAACTCCACGGGCCAGTTCAACTGCCCCACCGGCGACTGCGGGACCGGCCAGGTGTCGTGCAACGGCGCCGGCGGCAACCCGCCCGTATCCCTCGTGGAGTTCACTCTAGCAGCCGACCCCACAACGGGAAACGACTTCTACGACGTCTCCCTCGTCGACGGGTTCAACCTCCCGGTCTCCGTGGCCCCCAGCGGTGGGACGGGGAGGAACTGCACCACGTCCAGCTGTCACGGAAACGTGAACGCCGTCTGCCCAGCTGAGCTGGCGGTCAAGGGCGCTGACGGGTCGGTTATCGCCTGCATGAGCGCGTGCGACGCGTTTCATCTGCCGCAGTACTGCTGCACGGGGATCTACGCCAGCCCCGCCACGTGCCGGCCGTCGACCTACTCCGAGATTTTCAAGGGGCAGTGCCCGCAGGCGTACAGTTACGCTTACGATGACACGACTAGCACGTTTTCTTGCGGCGGCGGAGCTAATTACGCCATCGTTTTCTGTCCCTCGAATTAAATTACATTGTTAATGATATGTCTTAATCAGATTTACGGGGAGGTTAATTGAAGTTTGTTGTATGTATTGAGTATATAGTAATACGAAATAATATATGATCATTCAAACTTCATAATCATTGTTATAATCTTCAGACTTATATAACTAAATGTATGTGATAATCATTTACGATTTATTTACATCTTAAGTATCTCTAAAACTTGTTCGTTCTATACAACGTACTTTAGAAATTCTCCTAATTAATCCTAATGATTATTACAAGATTAAATTTATGAGTTAAAAATACATCAATTGATCCTAATTCTAAACTATATAATCTAATACTACAAAATTAAGCAAATGTCTATCATTAAAATTTGATAATTGGAGTCTGATTTTAGGTTAAAGTGTATTAAATAATGCAACTTTAAAAGCTACATTTGCTTAATATTTCGAATATAAGATGTAATTTACCTTTCCAAACAAAGAATCATAATTCCCCCTTAATCAAAGATTACAAAGGAATGTATAAACCCTACGGCCGCAACAAGCTCAAAAATTGGCCTAATGTTCAAACCTGACTACAAAATTACGTGTTATGGACACGTTAAACTCTCCTACCGCTAAAAACAAAAATAACGTCTTCAATTTAATCAAGGACAAAACGTGACCAAGTAATTGTCGCCGGTAGGACACGTGAACGTGCTGGTCCCATCATCATAAGCATAGCTATAAGCCTGAGGGCACCGGTCCTTAAACAACTTCGAGTACCCCGTCGGCGGGCACTTCTCCGGCGTGTTAAAATCCCCACTGCAGCAGTACTGCGGCTGGTTCAGCGCCAGGCACGCGCTCTTGCATCCCATCACGCTCCCGTCGATTCCCGTCGCGGCGAGCTCCGGCGGGCACGCCTCGTTCACGTTGACCGCACAGCTCGTGGCGTTGCAGCTGTGGTTCCCCAGCGGCTGGACCGAGACGGGCAGGTTGAACCCGTCGACGAGGCTGACGTCATAGAAGTCGAGTCCGCCGCTGCCGCTGAGGGTGAACTCGATGAGGGTTGCGGGAGGGATGGCTCCCGCGCCGCTGCACTCGACCTGGCCGGAGGCGCAGTCGCCGGTGATGCAGGAGAATTTGCCGGTGATGGAGTTGGTGGTGCATCCGGTCCTTCCCCACATTCGGCCGCTGGTCCAGTTGGGAGGGACCTCGAGGGTGGAGGATTGGCCGGAAGGGAGCTCGAAGCCGGTGGTGCAGAGCTGAGGTGCGCCGCCGCCGGTTAGGGTTGCTGGCCATGTCGTGTATGGGCAGTTGTTCGTGAAAAATATTGTCGTTGATTGAGCTCCTGCATTAATGGGGTGAAAAATCAATAAAGAACATAAGAAAAATCTTATATACTATGAAAGAATTTGTATTGTTATGTTATGACTTATGATACAAGTTTAATTTATACGTATCATAATATAAGTATATAAATTCAATTTGTAAGATAAAAAATGTATAGCTACAATATATATCATATTTCGACAATTAACTAATTTGACACTTCGTGTTGTAGAGAAGTCAATCGAAACCTAAGCAGTAACAAAAAAAAAAAATTACAGCACCGTAACATAAACAGTAAAATAGAACAGCTGGTTCAGAATTAATTACCGGCGATGAACAGTGCGGCAAGGGAGAGTAAAAGGGATCCTTGGAAGGCCATTGTGATGATTAAGTTGATAGCTTGGTATTGAGAATAAGGGATATAAGGTCTGCTCTACTTATATTAATATAGAGATGGCTATATTGACCTAAAAGGGAAGAAGGGGCTGAAAAACCCTAATGCAAAGATTTCATACAGGCAAAAAGGTCTTGGTAATTAATACAGAGCAGTTTATAGTGGAAACTTTTATTTTCCGTCAACTCTTCTAATTAAGACAAGTAATTAAGTAGTTACTAAAGTCCATAATTGAAGTGGGAAAAAACATTAATGAACCCACTTTTTTTATAATGGTGAAAATATTATTAAAAGAAAAGAAACAAGATAGAGTCAGAAAGTGTCTGGGAAGGAGGTTCAAAAGAGCTGAACCAGACCCGCCCCCAACTAACAATCAAGCAAAACAAACAAAGCCCTCATCACTGAAGCACACCTCAGTGGACCAGGCCACTGCTGATGTGCACAAAGGAGAAAGAAAACCAAATCAAGCAACCATGCTCAACCAAGGGGGGAGCGAACAGACAAACAGCCGCCATCCCCCAACCACCCATCCCCCGAAACAAACTCCCTGCCACTTCAACACAGCAGAGACAGCAGCCCAGCATCCAGCACTATGTCCGCCAAAGCAAAACCCAGGCCCCACCCCACTCAAGTCGTCCTCACCGCCATCGATCTATAGGTCCTCTGCAACATGTCCATCTTCTCTCCCAGCCACTGCAAGCCCTGCTCCTTAGAAACTTTGTTATGAGCTGTAGCCCAATCGATAGTAGCTCTAAGTGCATTCCGGGTCACGACAACAGGTACGCTCTTGGAATCCCTGAAGATTCTTCTATTTCTTTCCAGCCAAATCTGCCACCAAATAGAATGTAAACCACAATACATGAACCAATCCATGACATCATCAGGCTCATCACTCATCCACCTATCAATAGATGACAAAACATCCATGCTAGGGGGGACGAGGCTTCCACACACTCTCTGCAACAAGCTCCACACATCCTTGCTGTAGGCGCAACTAACAAGGAGATGATCAACAGTCTCCTCCTCTTTGCAGCAAAGCTCGCACCGGTTTGCCAACGCCCATCCTCTCCTCTTGAGATTGTCAGCCGTCAAGATCCTCTTATGAGCAGCTAGCCACACAAATGCACAAACTTTGGAAGGGACGACACGCCTCCAAACCGACATGGCAGGGAAGTTCTGAACCCCTTGAAAGCGGCTGTCCGTAAGATTCCTGTACATGGAGCGCACTGAAAAAGAACAATCTAAACGGGGAGCCCAGACCAATCTACAAGGTCCGCTGCTCACCCTGTTAGTACCATGAGCATTCAAAAAATTCATAAGACTTTCCCTTTCCCTCTCAGCCCCCCCTCTCAAATTAACAGATAAAGGAATTTCCCACATAGGGGCCTCACCATTGCAGGTTCTAGAATCTGAAACCCAGGCATCAGGAAAAGCAGCAGCAGCAGCGACACGAGGAAAGGAATCCGCCAGAGTTGCTTCAGGAATCCATCGATCATGCCAAAAAGAAACCCAAGCCCCCCTGCCTGGATCAATGTTTGCCAATTTCCAAAAAATGAACCCACTTAGGTACGATGACTTAGCTTAATTAGAGATTTGAGCTATTTTAGGCTAATATCGCTCTTGAAAAGGAAAAAAATTACATCCAATTTTGGAAAACGGAATGCACAAATTTAACAAGCTAAACAGAGAGACCATTATTAGTCTTGGAGACTCTCTCAATGTTTTTTCTTTCATTTTCTTGATATTAAAAATGTATCCTAAATCCTAATTAAGTGTGAGACCCGCGCAAAAGAAAAACTTATGTGAGATTCATTTTGTTAATAAATTAGGATATGATGGAAACTTCGTATTCTTTGTTTTGGAAAATGAGGAGGGATTTGGATCGTTTGGTTTGTGAGCAACGCTGAAATAAATTAAAGGTGCATTTCAAGATATTCTATCAAACATAAACAAAAATCCAATCAACTTTTTGGTTCAAATGTAAGACAAATAAATTTTAAGTTCAATTATTAGAATACAATTTGACTAAAGTATATTGCATACTTATCATTGTATATTTTATTCAACCCCATTTAACTACATTAGAAATTTCAAATTTTGCGTTGGAATATTATTAATATGTGATGCAAACAAAGAAACATAATTCCATTTAATCAAAAGATTACAAAGGACGATCAACACTCTATGGCCGCAAGAAGCTAAAAAAACTACCTAAAGTCCAATTCCAACCATGACTACAAAATTGAGTGTACCGAATAAACGTTAAACTCCCTTAATCCTGCTAAACACACAATTAGAGCCTCCTTAACTAATCACGGACAAAACAAGACCAAGTAATTATCCCCGGTGGGACAAGTGAACGTGCTGGTCCCATCATCATAAGCATAGCTATAAGCCTGAGGGCACTGAGCCTTAAACAACTTCGAGTACCCCGTCGGCGGGCACTTCTCCGGCGCATTATACTCCCCACTGCAGCAGTACTGCGGCTGGTTCAGCGCCAAGCACGCGCTCTTGCAAGCCACCACGCTCCCGTCGGGCCCCGTCACCGACAGCTCGGGGAGGCAAACGCCGTTCACGTCGCCAGCGCAGCTCGTGGCGTTGCAGCTGTAGTTCCCCAGCGGCTGGACCGAGACGGGTAAGTTGAACCCGTCGACGAGGCTGACGTCGTAGAAGTCGACCCCGTTGCTGTTTCCATTGAGGGTGAACTCGAGGAGCGTTGCGGGAGGGATGCCGCCGGCGCCGTTGCACTCGATCTGGCCGGAGGCGCAGTCGCCGGTGAGGCAGGAGAATTTACCGGTGGTGGAGTCGGTGGTGCAGCCGGTCCTGCCCCAGATTCGGCCGCTTGTCCAGTTAGGAGGGACCTCGAGGGTGGAGGACTCGCCGGAAGGGAGCTCGAAGCCAGTGGTTGAGAGCTGAGGTGCGCCGCCGCCGGTTAGGGTTGCTGGCCATACCGTGTACGAACATTTGTTCGTGAAAAACACTGTCGTTGATTGAGCTCCTGCGTTGGGGGTGAAAAAAAAACCTATGTTAAATGCTCGAATAAGAAAAACTGATAACATGCGATACAAATACACAAATACATTAAAGGAGTCACACCGAAGAAAAAGATTGTTTTGACGTGGACTATATACTAAAATATCATTACGATATTTATATCAATATTCGTATGATTTACGTAGATCTAAACTTTGTAATCATCACATGCAACATCACTATAGATCTTTGTACAATTTGACTTATCAAATATGTTGAAAATCGTTCAATATTCTAGTCTTAAATTAGGAGAGAATTTCATTTAAGTACCAAAAATATAAGAAAATAATTATAGGGCCGTAATATTTAGGTTTACCGGCGACCAACAATGCGGCGAGGGAGAGAACAAGGGATGTCCGGAAGACCATTGTTGCGATGATGAAGTTGGTAGCTAGGTTAGTGGCGACAATAGGGGTCGATGGTAATATATGTACGTATGTTCTACTTATAGTGCTTGTATCTTTATCATTATGGACCAGAAAAGGAAGAATGCGCTTCTGAAAATATAACCCTAGATTATAGTCTTTGGACAACCCCCAACGCAAAGATTGCATTCCCAAACAAGAAGTAGTAATTATGCCGTGCTAATTGTCAAACGGTTCTGTTTCACCTACTCATTAATTAATGAAATAATACATATTATATGTAATTTGTGGAAGAAGAAAAAAACACGGCCGTATGATTTGTGCTGAAATCTTTCCTTTTCGGTCGGACTCTCTTCTAATTAAGATTGAGGGTCTAGAGTAATTAACTAATGTTGCGGGAAGTATTAATGAACATTGAACACGCTTAGGTACGACGACCTAGCTAATTAATTGGAGGTTTGAGATTTATGATCCATCATAATGAATTATGAGATTCTTTACCTTTTTAAGTAACAGTTCATTCCAATTACCGATGTAGATGATAAAACTTAAAAGGTGGATTAATTAGATTGGCAAAAGAAAACGAATTTGTAAGAAAATTATTAAGGGGTCGTTTGGATGAAGCATTCTCATGGAGCAATGTGGCCCAATTGACTCAAAATGAGACATTTGGGCTAAATTGATCCATTTGGCAACAAAAAATCAGAATGAGGCAATTAGACATGGGGAAATTGACATTGGCTCATTATGGGTCAATTCTAATTACCTGGGTTGGGGGGAGGAATTGTACATTGCCTCATTCTTTTGTCCGTTTACCCGATCTAACCCTCCTTTTCCTTTCTCTCTCTCTCTCTCTCTCTCTCTCTCTCTCTCTCTCTCTCTCTCTCTTTTCCCCATCTCTCTCACTAGCACCTCTAACCTTCTAATTATCTCTTCCCTTTCTCTTAGCGAAGCAGAGAAAAATTGCAGAATGGGGCCAGTAAGAAATATTTTCCGGCGACTATAATCAATTGGTTCTCAAAGTGATGACAAGCACACGGAGAGGGAAACTAGGTTCGTTGCTCGATCTGGGACTTTCAGGTTGTTGCATGTGGGTTTTCAAGAGAAGAAGAAAATGCTCACCATCGCAGTTGAACCCCCATTGAAGGCTTATGCGCAACAGGCAATCGCGTCCCCGACACCCAGACCCTTCACGACCACTTCCGCTTAAGTCAACAAAGGAGTTCAAGCCGACAAGTAGATTTTTTCCCGTTCTCTTTGCGGCGAGACATACGTCTTCTTGTTCTTTCCATGCCTTTTTCCTCTTCTTTATTCAAATCTCCGGCAGTCTCTGCCAGACCTTTAAGAGTCATGAAGAAATTGGAATTGCAACCAAAGCTTAAACCTCTCTTTTCTGCCTCGATTTTGTTGGGTTTTCGGTTATGATCCTTAAAATTGTCGATTTTGTTTATGGGGTATATGAAATCCCACTTGTACAAAGAATCTATCCCTGTAAATTTGAAGCTCGTCGGAGCTGGACAAGAAATTTGCAGAAGAAATAGATGATATACCACTTATAGATGGTGACTTCTAGGGGATTTCCTGAGATTTACCGAGAAAGAAAACCCATAAATAGGGATGGGAAACTTGCAGCAAAACAGGGGTGGGAAACTTGTTGAAGATAGGGGTAAGTTGGTATTTACCCAAAATGACCCACTTATCTCACAACTCAATCCAAACGTTATATTCTTGGCAGATTTCTTCAATCAATTGGCTCATATCCTAAAATGAGTCTTTTGTTCAAGATTGTCTCATTTTGAGAATGCTCCATCCAAACGACCCCTAAGATCCATATCTCATTTCTGAATAATTTGAGTTATTAAAACTAGTGGGTTTAATTTATGACAGAAATTAACTATAGAATCGCCGTACATCTACTTATAAACCAGTCTCTTTGTCTTATTTTTACTCATTACACCATCATTAGTTGAATAGATTTCAAGATCGTACACATAAATAACTAAATATCACCGCGTGATCATTACCCTGATTCATTATAATCAAGGGCAAAATGTGATCAAGTAATCCTGGCCCGTGGGACAAGTAAACGTGCTGGTCCCATCATCATAAGCATAGCTATAAGCCTGAGGGCACCGGTCCTTAAACAACTTCGAGTATTCCGTCGGCGGGCACTTCTCCGGCGTATTCAAATCGCCGCTGCAGCAGTAGCGGGGCTCGTTCAGCGCAAGGCACGCGCTCTTGCAAGAGATCACGGTCCCGTCGGGGCCCTTCACCGCGAGCTGCGGCGGACAGGCTGCGTTCACGTCGGCCGGGCAGCTGGTGGCGTTGCAGCTCCCTCCTCCCTGCGGTGTGATCGAGACCGGCAGGTTGAACCCGTCCACGAGGCTCACTGTTCGGAAAAAAAATAAGAAAGTTTATCAACCTGATCTTCAAAATTTATATATTTTTACAGTACTATATAGCTTCTGATAAAATTGAGTCAAAATCTACTATTAAAGATTAAAAATTTACGTTTTTACATTTTCACGTAAAATCACGATTTTAACTACATTGAACCTGACCGGTTCGGTCCAATCAACCAAACCGTATTACATCAAAATAGTTATTTTAGCAGTAGTACTGACCATCGTAGAAATCGAGCCCGCCGCTTCCGTTCAGGGTGAACTCCACGAGGGAAGCCGGAGGGATGGCACCGGCGCCATTGCACTGCACCTGACCCGAAGCGCAGTCGCCGGTGAGGCAGACAAACTTGCCGGTGGACGAGTCGTTGGTGCAGTGGGTCCGAGCCCACAAACGGCCGCTGCTCCAGTTGGGAGGGACGTCGTCGATGCGGAATGACGCCTTGGAGGCTAGGACGAAGCCGGTGGTGGAGAGCTGAGTCGAGCCGCCGCCGGTGAGGGTCCCCGGCCATACCGTGTACGGGCAGTTGTTCCTGAAGGTTAACGTCATAGGTTCAGCTCCTGCATGCATGTGAATGGTCGTTAAAGGATCACAATGGTTGCTAAATATAATTTAACCATGATTGCTTTTACCAAAAAAAATTTTAGTGACAAATTCTTTTTCTCCAAGTTACCATGCGACCAGCTCCAGTCGAACAAACTAAATGGACAGGGAATGTATGAAATTATTGAACAAAGTGTTACAGCATGATCGAATTGATTGGTTTACCTGGAGTGAAGAGGGCGGTGAAAGCTATAAGAAGCTTTGCGACTGCGAGAATGGACATTGTGGAACTAGCAATCAGCTGAAAGCTCTTTTGGAGTATTGAAGATTGAGTAATGATGAGATACTTTAGGGGGCTATGTCCTGTGCTTGCATTTATTTATATCCATGGATTCGAATGTGGGGGAAATGAAGAGCACGAGGGGTGTTTCCGTTAACCTAATAGAGAGATTTGATTCACCGATAAGAAAGATTTTAGGTATGTCACGTGCATGTGTTGAGTATACATCAGATTTATATATGTATGTTTCGTTGTCGAAGGAATGTCTTCTTTCTCTTTTCATGTTTTGTGCTATATAACTGAGATTTTCGAGTCTCTGCAACTTGATCATGGCATGTTGGCTGGCTCATAACTATCAAATTCTACTGTAAATTCATTTTCTTGCCCAACTTAATGAATGAAATCAAGCCAAACAAGAAGAAAGGAGGACGGGAATAAACTTTCTTGAAGCAAACGCAAGTAGAGTTCCACTAGGAGATTATTTAATTTGCAGTTGGACAAAACATGTGAGAAGCGTTGGGTTTGAGTACTTACCGTTACTTTTTTGCACGTTACATGTTGCGAGTCGTATGTGTTTGCTTCAAGAAAGTTGGGTTAGTGAGAGATAGTATATAGGAGCTTTGCAAAATAATAGTTGCTAACTTGCAATGGTTTGTTAGATATTCAAATGTTCATAGTTTCTATCTCTCTTTTGAGATGTGCATTTTGGTGGTGGTATTTTTTTTTTCCCCGGCGAGAGGTAACCTATTGGTTAGAGGTAGCAAATGGATTGATCCATGGATTGGATTGGAGGATTCATGGATTAAATGGATTGGATCCAATGGATTGGTGGATTCATGGATTGGTGGATTATCCATGAATCCAAATGACATCTTCAACCAAGGACCAATATGTAAAATGTGAAAAGTTTAGGTACTAAAATGTCATAATGAAAAATTTCAGGTACCAAAATGTAATTTTCCAATGATATTTTTCGTATATAAAATTAAATTTTTGGTACCAAAATGTAAAATATAAAATATATAGGTACAAAACCATAATTTGTCATTTGGATCCATGAATCCACCAATCCAATTGGATTTGGATCAAATGAATTGGATTTAAATGGATTGGATTAGGTGGATATTTTTAATGAGTTGATGGATTGGATTGGTGGATTGGATTGAGAATTACCACCTCTACTATTGGTTGATCTTAAGCTTAATGAAATTGATTTAATCGTAAAAATATATTTTTCACGTCAATTTCATCCCATGTTTTTTTATTTTATATTTGGTCACAGAAATCTGATTAATAATCAAACTATATCATCAATCATTTTTTATTACCCACGGAGGAACCAAACAATTTAATCCTTGACCTACACCCGTCAATGTACATAGGCAACAATTGATGTCTCACGTAATCAAGGGCAAAACGTGATTAAGTAATTCCTCCCGGTCGGACAAGTAAACGTGCTGGAAGCATCATCATAGGCATAAGAATAAGCCTGAGGACACTTTCCCTTAAAAATCTTCGAGTATTGCGTCGGCGGGCACGTCGCCGGCGAGCCATACTGTCCGGTGCAACAATACTCCGGCTTGTTCAAAGCCAGACAGGCGCTCTTACACGCGATCACACGTCCATCGGGACCCTTCACGGCCATCTCCGGTGGACATACGCCGTTCACGTCGCCGGGACAGCTCGGCGTCCGGCACACCCCTGGACCGCCTCCCCACTGGTTGACGGCGACCGGCAGGTTGAAACCGTCGACGAGGCTGATGTCGAAGAAGTCCAGCCCGCTGGAGGCGCCTAGGGTGAACTCCATGAGGGTCACCGGCGGGATTGCCCCCGCGCCGACGCAACGGATCTTGCCGGAGGCGCAGTCGCCGGTGAGGCAGGAGAATTTCCCGGTGGAGTCTGTTGAGCAGCCCGTTCGAGCCCAGAACCGGCCGCTGGTCCAATTTGCGGGGACATGGATGCTCGAAGACGACTTGGATGGTAGCTCGAAGCCGGTGACCGGTAGCTGAGGTACACCGCCGCCGGTGAGTGTCCCCGGCCAGACCGTGAAAGGGCATTTGTTTGTAAAGGCCACCCTCGTGGTTTGAGCACCTACGACATATATATAAGGATAATTAAAAGTCGTATCATGAGAAATTTTGAATGGTAATTTTGTCAAAACTAAACATGTATTTCGTCGTTTTTTTTATGATCAACGAGTATGGTGTATGCGTTTAAGACTATATAAATACGAGGTAAATTAAAATATAATAACGGACGAATAATTGTCAATCATTTTCTATTATTAAAAACGATTTTCGAACATCAATTCTACTTCTCATAAGAGTATGTCAAACACAATAACCTGTAGTTTAATTAATTAATTTATTTATTTATACCGACGATGAAGAAGACGGCAAGGGCGAGAAGAAGGGCTTTCCGGGGATCCATTCCTTGGCCAGATTTTGCTGCTTTAGTGTTTACTTAACAATGGATGATAGAGGATATAGGATTCAAAATAAATTATATACAAATTAAGAAGAAGATTTATGGTAGCTAAATATGATATGATGGCATGTACATGATAATGGGCCAAAATCTTCCATCTATTTAGACGGAGCAATGTAATTAGCATAATATATTACCATATAAAATAGATGGAGCAATGTAATTAGCATAATATATTATCATATAAAAAAATTGGTCGATAAAATATGAAATTCGTTCACGGTGGGACTCGAACCCACAATCTCCCGCTCCGGAGGCGAGCGCCTTATCCATTAGGCCACGCGAACATATATTACTTTTTAATTTCGGTAGCAAATTCTCAACCTTTTAAGGGTATAATTATTTACTTTCCATTTATTAAACGGTCTTATTTTGTTAGGGCTACATCTCTTAAGTTTTTAAGAAAATAGTTTATTAAATTTGAGTATGGGAATTTAATATCATATATTTTTTCCGTTGATATGTATAATTCTAGAGTTAATAGGATCGAGATCAGGTGAGGTGATGAAACTAATTTAAGGAACAAAGATGAATTTCAACTTATGTGATACATGCACCATATAAAAAAAGTGTATGCAAAACTTGACTGATCTAAATATATATGTTTAGTCATGCAATTTAGACAAAATTTTAATGAAGGGGCTAGAACGCTGTACATTTTGTTAAAAGGAGTGGAGGTGTCATCATAAAAAGAATAGGTATCTGATTTGCACGGAGGCCAGACCATGAGGAGCTAAAGGAGAAGATAAAATTAAGGTGACGATTAAGGAAAACGGCTCTTTTGTCTGTGTGCTACATTTTGAGCGGCAGTGTGAGCAGAGAACCGTTGACCATTCTCAAGAGCGATAAAATCAAAGCCGAAGTCAAAAACTCACAGCGCCTCCATCGCCGAATGCTCATTCGCACCAACGTTTCAGTGCGCCTGAATTGATTTTCGAAGAAGAAGAAGAAGAAGAAGAAGAAGAAGAAGAAGAGAAGCTGAGGAGAAGCCCTATCGAGGAGAGGAGAAATGGAGTTCGCGGAGCTAAGAGACGCGATAGAGAAGGTACCGCTGGTGGACGGTCACGCACACAACATCGTCGCGCTCGATTCCTCGTTTCCGTTCGTCAGTGCCTTCACCGAAGCCGCCGGCGAGGCCTTGTCCTTGGCTCCTCACTCCCTTTCCTTCAAGGTAAAAGCTCAAACTCATCCCTGCCTCGCTCGAACGAGGGACGGTGCAGCATAGCTGTTCGATGAAATTGCTTGGACCAGTCCGTGCGTTTTAGGTTGATTGTAGTGGTAGGAGAATAGGAACATTGACTGTTAATGGCACACTGCGGTTGATTGAGATTCGTAATCGTTAGCATTTGCAAGTAAGTCAACGCTTTAGTGGCGGACTGGTCTTCTCTGTACTTTAGCTCTTGATGTAGACTTCTGGCATTGTTCTGCTGAGAAATCTTTGATTGGTCTGGTTCAGATCTCATTCTATCGACTGTTGAACTTTGCTTGGTTTCAGAGAAGTTTGAGAGAAATTGCCGAGTTATATGGATGTGAAAATTCCTTAAAAGCAGTTGAAGAGCATCGGAGGTCGTTAGGATTGGAATCCATTGCATCTGCTTGCTTCAAGGCAGCAGGAATCTCTGTCGTACTCATCGATGACGGCTTGAAGCTGCACAAGAAGCACGAGATTGATTGGCACAAGAGTTATTTTCCATATGTAGGCAGAATATTGAGAGTTGAACGATTGGCAGAGGAAATTCTGGAAAGTGTGAGTTATGGATTCGGATTAGAAACATCCTTTCCGTTTTTCTGTGCTAAATCGGTGCTCTTTCAACTTTTAGCTCTCTTTCTAAGTTTGGAACTTATTCTCTTGTTTTTATGCAGGAGATTCCTAATGGATCAGCCTGGACGTTGGACACATTCACTGAAGCCTTTGTGGGAAGTTTGAAATCATATCCTTTTAGTTTCTCCTGTGGATGTTCTTTTGTGTATTCTTGTTGAATCCGTCGTGGTAGTTAGTTCCTTACAGACCGCTACAGTTGCAAAGGAGATACTTGGTTTGAAAAGCATAGCTGCATACCGTAGTGGTCTAGACATCAACCCAAAAGTGACTAGCAAAGATGCCGAGGAAGGTCTTGCTGAAGCATTATCTTGTGAGTATATGACTGTAGATTTGGAAATTTGGTTTTGCATTTTCCTGATCCCTGAGATCTGACTTGTGTTTACCATCTAACAGCTGGGAAGCCTGTTCGCCTAGCGAATAAAAATATCATAGACTACATTTTTGTTCGGAGCTTGGAGGTTGCTTTGTCATTTGACTTACCCGTGCAGATACATACAGGGTAAATGAAACATTCATTGCATTTCTAGATTAGTTGTAGTTTCTTCCATTGGTCAATGGTTCAGAAGTATGTAGAAATGAAAGTGGATACAATCTCTATTTGCTATATATAATGAACTCTTGCCATGACCATTTTATAAGAAGTCCTTACATGACTGTCTTCTGTGTGTTCTGGCTAATTCGTTCAGTTTTGGGGACAAAGACTTGGATTTACGTTTGGCCAATCCCCTCCACCTAAGAGCAGTCCTAGAGGATGAGAGATTTTCCCAGAGTCGTCTGGTCATTTTGCATGCATCATACCCATTTTCAAAAGAAGCCTCATATTTAGCCTCTGTTTATCCACAGGTGAAACACTTAATCTTACAGTTGGACTCAAAACCTAACGTCCTCCTGCACCTATAACTGATGCTTTGCTAAGATTATCAGGTTTATCTCGACTTTGGACTTGCAGTTCCTAAACTTAGCGTTCATGGGATGCAATCTTCAGTCAAAGAGCTTCTGGAGCTAGCTCCAATAAAGAAGGTGATAATTGTCCCAACTGACTGATGATAATTGGGATATTGAACAGAACTGATATTTTATGAAAGTGAGAATACAAAATTATTTTCTTTGAAATCTCTTATTTCTATATCAGACGTGTGGATTTTTCATCTGTAAGCTAGTAGAGTAGTTTCTAAAGATTCTATGGAATCTCTTCTTCATCTATTAGCTCTCTGATGATGGTATGTATGGCACGGACATGTCAGTTTCATACTTCATTTACCAGTCTAAAGCTAATCTGAATGTTAGAGCTGCACTTTTTTACCTACATTCTTGTCTCTGTTATTATTATTTCTAATTAATAACATACTAATACAGGTTATGTTCAGCACCGATGGCTATGCATTTCCTGAAACTTACTATTTAGGTTTGTTTTTTACTTATTTTCTCCTTTCTAATGCATTTCTCCCATGAAGTTTCACTGTTAAATGCTCTTGGTTCTACGATCGTTGTTGATTTTTGTGTTTTGTTAATTTACAAAGTTGGAGAGAGCATATTCTTCAGATCCTGGTTCTCATTGAGATCATCTTTTTTAACACTTTCTGCTTGTTTCTGTAGGAGCGAAAAAAGCACGTGAATGTGTTTTATCTGTGCTACAAGATGCATGTCGGGATGGTGATCTAACAGTGGCTGAAGCAGTTGAAGCTGCTAGGGATATATTTTCCCAAAATGCTATTCAACTTTACAAGATCAATTTCAATTCAGATGCTATTCAATCAAGGGAAGTTGTCCCTACCAACTCTTTGAAGTTAGGTGATAAAGTGCCTGCAACAGGCGTGTCTTTTGTTCGTGTCATTTGGGTTGATGCATCCGGGCAGCACAGATGCCGCGTAAGATCCACTCTACTCTTATCCTTTTGTAATTTTCCCCCTTTTGCTTGGTCTTTGTGTAGGCTTGGTTCCTTGGCCACATCATATAAATTAGCTTTTCATGCTCCTGGTTCGACTCCCTGTGTTTGCAGATGCTAACTGTACATTTTTTCAGGTTGTCCCTGCAAAGCGCTTCAATGACATTGTGAAGAATAATGGCGTTGGCTTGACTTTTGCATGTATGGGAATGGCTTCATATATTGATGCACCCGCAGATGGCTCTAATCTAACTGGCACGGGTGAGATCAGATTAATGCCTGAACTCTCAACTAAAAGGAAGATTCCATGGTAAGCAGCTTCTTCTTCTTTTTCCATACCTGTTCTAATTGTTTCTGGTTATGCAATTGTAAAAGCTTCTCAATTTCCCAGCAGAAAGCCTGGATTCTGGTTCTCTGTATACTCTGGTTCTTTCTTCCAGAAATTATATGGCAACTTGTCAAGTAGTATTGATTTTCTGTCGTTTCCTGCATTTATGTTTCTTCTGCTCAATTTTCTGCTTACATAAACTCCTGTCACTTTACTTCATTAGGCTGGAGAAAGAGGAAATGGTTTTGGCTGACATGCATCTCAAGCCTGGTCAACCATGGGAGTATTGCCCAAGGGAGGCTTTAAGGAGGATCTCAAAAGTTCTAAAACATGAATTTAATTTGGTATGCTAAACATTTTCCATCTCAATACACAGCGGTGAACTGTACATTCTCATGTTTTTTGTTGAAAGACACTAATTTTGTAACTGACTGCCATCTCAGGTTGTGAATGCAGGATTCGAAAATGAGTTTGTCGTCCTAAAGAGCGTCTCAAGGTTGGTGACCTTTCTGTTCTTTTAGGATCAAATGGGCATAGGCATTGGTTGTTGAATGTAAGCACTGGCATTTTGCAGAGATGGGAAAGAAGAATGGGTACCACTTGAATCAACAGCTTACTGCTCCACCACAGGATTCGATGGTGCTTCCCCCATATTACATGATGTTGTTGCTGCTCTCGATTCCCTAAACATTCCAGTTGAACAGGTAGGTTGAAAAGATTTCCTACCTTTCAGTACCATGCTTGATCTTGCAATCTGGACTCGGTGATCCTCTGACCCCAAATCGAGTACCTTGCTTGTCTAACTCTAAACAATCATAACTGCTGCAGTTGCATAAGGAAGCTGGAAAAGGACAACTAGAGATAGCATTGGCCCATACAACTTGTTCAAATGCTGCTGACAACTTGATCTATGCCCGTGAAGTCATTAGGTCCGTCGCAAGAAAGCATGGACTTATGGCCACCTTTGTCCCAAAGTAGGTTCATGGTTCTCTTAGATCGTCAACTACACAACACGAAATGTTATAAACAAACTCTGACTCCATCTGGGTTACATGATGATCTCTGCTTGTGGACAGGTATGCTCTAGATGACATTGGCTCCGGGTCGCACGTTCACCTCAGCTTATCGCAGAATGGAGAGAACGTATTCATGGGGACCAACGACGGTTCATCTAAGCATGGAATGTCCAGAATTGGGAGGTGTTTCATGGCAGGAGTTCTGCATCACCTTCCTTCAATCTTAGCCTTCACTGCCCCTGTGCCAAACAGGCATCTTCCTCTCCTCCCTCAACTTTTGTAATCCTAATCGTTTACCTCTTCCCATTTCGTCTGACAGTTAGTTTCCTAATGGTCACAGTTACGATCGGATACAGCCCAACACATGGAGCGGAGCATATCAATGCTGGGGGAAAGAAAACAGAGAAGCTCCATTGCGTACTGCCTGTCCACCTGGCATCTCGGATGGCCTGGTCAGCAACTTCGAGATCAAATCTTTTGATGGATGCGCCAATCCACACTTAGGCTTGGCCGCAATCATAGCAGCTGGCATCGACGGCCTCAGGAGGCATATCGAATTGCCAGAACCCGTTGGTAAGACTTCGGCTTGTTTCATCATTGAATCTGCTTTGCATCCCTCAGTTCAGCCTTTCCTCTTCCAACACTAACTCTCTATCGTTGCCTTTGTTGTACCCAGAGACGAACCCTTTCCTCTTCGAAGGGAAGCTTAAGCGACTGCCACAATCTCTCACCGAATCTCTGGAAGCTCTCCAGAAGGACAAGGTGTTCGATGATCTGATCGGGCAAAACCTTTTGGTTGCCATTAAAGCAGTACGCAAGGTATGTGGAAGGCAGCAATAGTCTTGGCATTGTTTGCTTTGTGATCCGAAAACTGACCATTTTCGGTATTATTTGCAGGCCGAGATCGACCACTACTCCAAGAACAAGGACGCCTACAAGCAAATGATATTCCGTTACTAGTCATCATATCAGTAAATCTTGTTTGACAGTCTGAAAAAAGAACCATTTCCTGCCAAGAAAGGTAATAGACTCGTCCTGTCAAAACTTCCCCAACAACATGATGACATTTTGTTTATGAAAGACAGACTGATTTCACATTCTGGCATTCTGCTTCATTCATGATTTGCATTTCTAACACAGTTTAGGAAGGTAGGTACAGATAGGGATGGTAAGACTGTTCGGTTAGTTCAACTGACCAGCAATGGTTCGGTTTCGGTTTGAGAAAACCTAACATCGTTTGAAATCAACCATTATCATTTAGGGGGAGGTTTAACAGAACATAAACAATTAGGGAAGCTCTAGCTTTGGCTGGCTCATCAAGTTTCTATAGTGACTACTTCCAGCTTATCTGCATAAATTGTCAGAGTGCCATGTTTGGTTAGAAACGCGCTTCATTTGTACCATGTAGGATGTGTCTGTTTTGATTTTGTGTCATGGTTTCTATGTGAACATGTCGATATATATGTCTATTGATGCCTCCTGAAATGCGAGTATCTTTTGACAAAAAAAGATGTATATCTAGAATAATGTACTGTTATATATTCTCGAAATAGGAACAAATCCGCGCAGAACTGCTTCATACATCACACAAATAATACACAAATAAACCCGGAGACTATAAGAGCAAAAACTCGATAATTGCAAGAAAAAGGCCGCATGCACGCGGTAATTAATTAACACAAATCATTCTTCATAATCTCAATCCTTCCCTGAGAGACCAGCCTCACAACCAGGCATACGATGAAGCAACAAGCACCATGAAAAGAGTGACAGGCAGCTCCATCCTCCCGACGGCAGTGCTCGCACCCGAGGTCCCAATCGTCGTCGGAACATCAGAACCACCGTCCGAACCTCCGTCGTCTGAGGGAGTGCTCGGGGCTGACCCGGCGGGTGTCCCGGGGCTACCGTTGGACGAATCTGACGGTGGACTCCCTCCCGCCGCAGGCGAACCCGACGGCGAATTCCCTCCTATAAATTAATTCCACATATATACTTCAGCCAACATTTATGGGAACCTTTTACTGTGTGTAATCGATACTGTCGAAAAGTTTATTTTTCCACTTACCGTTGCAGCGGCTGACGGGCGGGGTTTGGACTTTACAGGCGGAGGGGAGATCGAGGGCGCGGGTTTGGTTGATGGTGATGCCTAGCGACGAGCCGCCGCCGTTGACAAGCTGGCACAGGCACTGCGGCTGCGACGAGACGACGCTGCCGAGCTGCGAGCAGCAGGAGCTGGACGGGGTCGAGGTGTTCCCGGAGACGTAGTTGAGGCAGGGAGAAAGGCTGATCAGGGCGGTGGTGCATCCCGATTGCGCCGTAGCGCCGGTGTAGAGTAGTGCCGCAACGGCCAGAACCAGGCCGAATCGGAGCCCGCTTGAAGCCATTGTTGGACAAGGTTCGAGCTGTTTTCGTTGGCTGGTTTTGGTGTAGGAGATTTTGATGTGTTTGGAGGTGGGTGTGTTTCGTTTTTTGTTGGGTGTTTTGGAGGTGGAAGAGGGGCGTTTTATATATGTGGGTGGTTTAGGGGACGACCAGAGAGGAGTCAATTGATTTGGTTGGTAATTTGATGGCCAACTTTTGTGGCTGTAAGGTTGTTAGTGGGAGTTCAACTACTTGGTGCTGGTGGTGGTACTATTATTTATACAGTCGTGATGTATGAGGTGTGGTTAATTTACAATTTTACAGTTTGATATGTTGATCCATTGGAACATATTCCAAATTATAGTAGGAATGTTTATAAAAACAAAATTATAGTAGGAATGAGATTGATAAATTTCGTATTGATGCTTATTTAGATTGGTGGTGGATGGATTGCGAATTACGCGAATAATTCACATTTTTTTTTTCACATGACAATGATCTATGTGCTAATTTTTCAAATTTGAGATCTAAATTCACTCAACCACTCCAAGCCCACGGGTCTACACGCTAATTTTTCGAGGAGATTAGAAAATATTAGTTTTGGTTTTAACGGCTCATCAGGTTGGAGGGGAGGTTGTAATCAGCGTTGACTGCATGTGTTGGGGTGTCCTTGTTTTACAGGCTTCATGCAAAGCGTATGGCCATTGTTGGGTGGCCTACTTTTTTTCCTATAAGGTTTGGCTTACTTGGTTTATTAATATTGGAACTTCCACACTATTTTTGTTGATCTTACCATCAATTAATTGTTCCAATATGATGACCTTATTTTTTAATAGTCAGTTATCTGGTAGAATATATAACCGTGTTGCAAAATCGTATCGTACCGCCTGGATAGGAAATTTTTCTATTAGATCTCAAGTCGATAGGCAATTTTAATGGTATATATGAAATAGTTGAATCGTATTTAAATCACTATTTCTGCATAAAATATCACGCTAATGACTCTTCGGTCATTATGCTTTTGCAATCCATGATATATTGATCCATATAATAAAGAATGATATGAAACTTCCTCATTATAAATATCTTTTCAACACTTGCAGTGGAGGCTCAGGTAGCAACTAGCAACAATACTAAGTTACTTCTTTCAATTACCATTATTCTAAAAAAATAAAACTCATGTATAGTTTTAGACAATATCTAGTCGATTTCCAGATCAAATATACATACAATAATCAAGTTGGGGTTCAAAAAATTGGATATTGTTTTCAGAGAATTAAAAAGAAACTAGTGAGTTTCAAGAAGAGGCTCTATTGATAGATGATGAATAAATTATGAATTCGAAACTAAAATAATGAAGTTAGAAACTAAAATGTATTATATACAATGATGACAATTAAATTCATCATTTAATTATTATTTTCTGGTATGGATAAGTCTCTTGAAGAGTGATTTTTCTTCTAATTTGGCAAGTGTAGTGATTTTCCCGTTTCTAATTTTCTAGTGGTACTCCGCCATTTCTGAGCTGCTGCAGATCGGCCAAATGCCGGTTCCTACGTTTCAGTGTTTCACGGGGAAATTACCCTGTGGATATATATAAAATGAGAAATCTACAGCCTCATTCGGATGAAACAAAGAGGAGGGAACAAAGTCACTCTGATTAATTCTCCAAATTTTGTTTTGGGCTGTAACTAAACATCCTTATTTCTTTGCGACGATGTCGTTTTGGAAATACGTTATCCCTCCCGGATGGGTATTTCTTGTATTGGCTCTCTCTTTCCCGGCGCCGGTGAAAGCCGCCGACACCATTAAAGTGCCCGGTCCCTGGAAGAGAGCCCACGCCACATTCTACGACGGCGGCCCATCAACATACGGTAATATCACATTCATAAAAAAAAATAATCATATGGTAATATCACAGAGACAGCATCTCTTCCATTTCACTTTTCTCTTGGGATAATATTGTTATAATATGGTCATGTTTGGATGCATTAGATCTCTTTATCAGATGTTCTATCATTGACAGTTTCGTTCAAAATAGTGAATTTATGCTTTGAATTTTCTTTGGAAAATATTGTATTTGTTTAATTTGTTTCAGTTTGTATTTATATATGATCTTTTCGTACAAATTCTTTTATGGTACAAACCGTTTCACATTTTTGTACAAATTCAGCTAATATAGTTGTACTTATATATTTTTTCGTACAAATTTCGTTAAGGCAAATTGAACCTGTACCACTAGCGTTATGGTACAAATTCACGGTGTACCTATATACCCTTTTTCATAAAAAAAAATCTTTAACGTATAAAATAAATTTGTACCAGTACAAATTTTTTTACCTATACATTTTTTTGTAAAATTCTTTATTGTACAAAATTTAGACATAGATTCATAATTTGTACACGTAAACACCGGTGGTGGTTATTAGCATTATTGTAAAATTCCTCTTCACGGGGTTGCATGCATGCATGCATGCAGGTGGAGCTTGTGATTTCAAGGACGTGGTGCAAGAAGGCTACGGAATGAACACGGCGGCGCTGAGCGGCGCGTTGTTCAAGGAAGGCGAGGCCTGCGGCGCGTGCTTCGAGCTGAGATGTGTGGACGACCCGCAGTGGTGCAAGCTAGGCAAGCCGTCGCTCATCATCACCGCCACCGACCACTGCCCGCCCAACCCGTCGCAGCCCAGCGACAACGGCGGCTGGTGCAACCCACCAAGGGAGCACTTCGACATCGCCCGGCCGGCGTTCAAAACGCTGGCGGAGGAGAAGGGCGGCATCATCCCCGTCGAGTACCGCCGGGTTCCCTGCAAGAAGCAAGGCGGGATCCGGTTCACCATCCTCGGCAACCCTTATTTCATCGAGGTCAGTGTCTAAGGTTAACGGTCAACCTAAATTCGTCCGATGAGAGTATTTTTTTTCCATAGGGTGATAGGGGTTTAATTTTATAAAGTTAGTTGTTATTTAAGGTATTCGAAACTAAGAGATCAATTATTTGAGATGTTGAGAGAATGTTAATTATGCAGTTTAGATCACTCTATTTCACACCCTACTCAAACGAAAAAAGAACCCACACGAGTTTAAAATTTGCACAAACCTTTCATACATTGTACTCTAATCAATCGTTAATATTGAGGATCATGTAGATTCGGACTCACGAACATTTGACCAAACCAACTCTAATACCATGTTAAGAATCAGTTGGTCTCAATAACCTAAGTTATTGGAAGAAGGTTAAAATATGAATCTGAGTGGCGGAGCCAGAAATCAGAACGAGAGGGGTATGACTTGAATTATCGTAATTAGAAGAGGTGGCTAAAGCCTTACCGGTTACTTTAACTCATAATCTTGTGCAAATTTTTACATATAATTGCCTAATATTTCACGCTCTCTTATATTACGCAGGTGGTGATTACGAACGTGGCCGGCGCCGGGGACGTGACGTCGGTGCAGGTGAAGGGCGACGACAAGGAGAAGTGGACGGAGATGCAGCGTGACTGGGGAGAGACGTGGAAGACCGGCGAGCATGAGCTGGTCGGGGAGTCGTTGACTTTTAGGATCACCACCGAAGACGGCAAGACGGTCACGGCGTCGCACGTGGCGCCTAAGGACTGGCAGTTCGGGAAGACCTACGAAGCAAAGGAAAATTTCAAATAAATAAAAATCTCCCCGGCAGAAAATAAACGGCAGGATATTTTGAGATGATGAGGGGAAGTATAGTGTATGAACCAGTAATTTTGATGAGGGTATTTGTAATCATCATCAAGTGTATGATGAGAGCTTATAAGTACTATAATAATTTTTTTTTTTTTTGTAGAGAAAGGAATTATGTTATCTCATATCGTTTAATTATTAATGGGAAATGCAAAATTCAGGAAGTTTATCGAGTATCAAAACCAACATTTTAAAGTTATGGCTCTGGAATGGTATTGGTGAACTACAAACATGTTGGTTATTAATTAAGGCGAACTAAAAATTATTCATCCTTATGAGACATTGAAGTGAATTATTCCTACGTACGTGCTTGCGAAAGAAAAACTTCAAAAAAATTCTCAAATCTCATTTGGATCAAACTGATTAACAATCTTCATTAATATACTATTTTTCGGTGCTTGGCTAGAAATTTGTTGGCCATTAATCTAAATTAAAACAACTTTTCTTTTTTATCTTGATCGAAACTTGTTCCCATACCACCCGTACCACCTATACATTTCGATACCAAAATGAAATTAGAAAAGCGATATATTATGAGAAATGAAATACCAAACCATGCATTGAGAGTTGAGACTCGATCGAGCATGGAATTGAATATCATTGGTATCCATCCTAAATCAATTTAGATGGGAAGTAATTTTGTTGGAATTGGGTTGCAGCTTAATTAAGGAAGGGTACGTAGTGAATGATATATAATTCGCAATTGAACATCTCTCAACAATTCGAGTTATTAAGACTAATTAATTGGTTCATGACATGTTATTGGAGTTATTGAGACTAATTATTTTGTTAGTGAATAATTGAATAATATATGATCGACAATTGAATATCTTACAACAGCTCGAGTTATTGTAACCCTACAAGAATTGATTAAGTCATTCCTCTTTCAGTTTCCTCTTCCTTTTCTTTGGTGTTTGGTATCCATTGATGAGGTACTGCATGCTCTAAACAAAGGCTGCAATCTAATTCCTATTTCTAGCCTTCTAGCCCAAAACCGAAACTCAATCAGACAAACAGCCAGTTCTTCTTTTCTTTCTTTCTTTCTTTTTCCGAATGGTCGATTTTGCAGTTTTCCTAAAGTTGATAACCGTTGATTTTTGGGTTTTTTGGCCGAGTGGTTGGCCGCCTCCTTCTGAGCCAAAATTCACGTTCGTGGAGGGTCACTCTTCAAAAATCCCTACAACGTAAATCCCCTATTTTCGGTACATAGGGTTTTTTGGTATAAATGATGATGAATCTGCAGACCCTCGTTAGGATGATTTAGCAAAGAGAGGAAGATAATTAATCAAGGATTATATTCATTAAGCTGCAGCAGAAGGATATTATATTATCCTTTTCGTTGTGGCTCTGACGATAACTAATAAGCATTTCATTCATTCTTTAATCTCTGCGATGACGACGACGACGACGTCGTTTCGGAAGTACGTGAGCATCCCGGCTGCATGGATCCTGCTGGTTTTGGCCATCTCGTCGTTGCCGGACGACTGCCGTGCTTACAAGAAAGACTCCATCTTTCATGCGGTTAGCCGGCACGGTAAAGCGAAAGCCAGTAAACCGGTTTTACCGGGCCCGTGGAAGAAAGCCCACGCCACTTTCTACGATGGCAGCCCATCCTCCTTTGGTAAGACTACATATTCAGTTTGATAAATGAATAAATTAAGATCAACATCCGATTTCATGCCTGCTTTCACCGTCTAAGAATAATGTGATGGATTTTACAAGTTAGATAATCGATCAATTGATTAAAAGGTTAGAACATAGGATCGTAGCAATTTTAGTCATATGATAGATTTAGTTTAGGTAATGTGTGCATTTCCTGGTAAATGTGATGAAAAGGAAAAATATGAGGTTGGTAGAATGGTAATTAAGAAGAAATATGTACAATTATATGGGACCAAAGGAATAATAAAGGGATAAAATTGGATATTAAAGTTAAGTTATTTACGTAACAAGGGCTTGAATATTACTATCTAATGTTTTAATTAAACCGGTTGAGTAAAGCTCTATATATGTTATGCATGGAAATGGAGGTGGAGCATGCGACTTCAAAGACGTGGTGCAAGAAGGCTACGGAATGAACACGGCGGCGCTGAGCGGCGCGTTGTTCAAGGGCGGCGAGGCCTGCGGCGCGTGCTTCGAGCTGAAATGCGTGGACAACCCGCAGTTCTGCAGGCTAGGGCATCCGACGCTCCACGTCACGGCCACCGACCACTGCCCGCCCAACCCGTCCCTCCCCAACGACAACGGGGGGTGGTGCAACCCGCCGCTGGAGCACTTCGACATCGCCCACCCGGCGTTCGGCCAGCTGGCGGAGGAGAAGAGCGGCATCATCCCCGTCGAGTACCGCCGCGTCCCCTGCCAGAAGCGCGGCGGCATCCGGTTCACCATCCTCGGCAACCCTTGGTTCATCCAGGTAAGTGGCGGAGTCAGTAATCCGAATAAGAGGAGCTGACTTAAATCCTCGTAGTTGGAGAAAGAAAAGGCCAAAGCCTTACCAACTATTCTATTTTCTAAATTTTTAATTTTCATCTATATTTCAAAATTGAGAGTGGCTACAGTCTCATAACTTCAACCTAGCTCCACCGTTGATTCAGGTGATTGTGACGAATGTCGCCGGCGCCGGGGACGTGAAGTCGGTGATGGTGAAGGGGGACAAGGTGCCGTGGACGAGGATGGAGCGGGACTGGGGGGAGACGTGGAAGACCGGCGTGCATGAGCTGGTCGGAGAGTCATTGACTTTTAGGGTCAAGACTACCGACGGGAGGTCGTGCACCGCGTGGCACGTGGCGCCTAAGGACTGGCAGTTCGGGCAGACTTATGAAGGGAAGAAGAATTTTAGGATGTAAAATGAAATTCAGGTAAAAGAATTAAGATGGGTATTTCTGAGATCGATGATGGAGGTGATTGGGTATGAAAATGTAATTCGGATGTGGAATATTTGGTAATGGTATAGGGTGTTGCTTTTGTAATTAAGTATGATCAGTATAGTGCGGTAGATAAACGAATTTAGCGTATGGAATGGAGGTGTATGTATATTTTGTAATGTAAATAAGAGAAAAACTACAGGATGGGAATTAAAAATTATGCCTAAGAAGGTACTTCAACTTTTTTTGGGTAGAAAGTGAAACTAAAACTTGGTATTGGGTAGAAATCGGCTTGATCATAATATTTTGTAGTTGGCTCATGTGTTATGAGATCGTACATTAAAGAACCATAAGAGTTTCGAGATGATGATCGAGACAAGATTGTCATCCACTTTATCATAGCAATAAGATTTAAAGAATTTGAGAAGGAAGAAAAAAACAATTGGGAATGTAAATAATAGATGAGGAATTAATGATAACAAGGAAAGATATACAAATATAACAGAACATAGAGAGGAGATCATTAAAACTTTGATTCTAATTTTATCGATAATTCTGATGTACATAATAATCAAAATACCACATGTAGCCTCCGAACTGAAATTCTGAACAATCTAACAACATACTAAAATACCCTTTTATAGTTTCTTCCAACATCATATCATATGCATTGTAAAAAAAAATAATCATACATTGATGGCATTTTCTTACATAGTACACATATATCACATATATATGGACAAAAACTATAATCAACTTTGGGGTTACTCTTCTTGTCTCTTCCTTCAAATAATCCACATTTGTACTCAGCCATGAACTGGAGCCCTAGATCCTTTCCCATTGTCGTTAGTGTCATGAACCAGTTGGGCCCAATAACTCGAGTTGTTGGGAGAAGGTTATGCTGGATCTTATACCACTCTCTAACACGCCCCCTCAAACGAAAGCCAACCCACGGGCTTGAAGTTTGCACAGGCCCACCATACCATGTGCTTGAAAGACAACGGTTAATATTGGGGGTCGTGGAGATTCGAACACATGACCTTTCGGTTCTAGGCTCTGATACCATGTCATGAACCAGTTGGGCCCAATAACTCGAGTTGTTGGGAGAAGGTTATGCTGGATCTTATACCACTCTCTAACAGTTAGTACTTCATGATCCTTGATTCCTTTCTTCCCAACAAAACAAATTCTCAACAAAACAAAGAACAAAACCCATACTTAATTTTTGTACAAGACAACAGCATATTACACATACATAATTTAATAATCCCATAGTCAAGAAGGGGAATTACACATGAAAACAATAATTATTCGTTAATTAGAATCAACTTGGATCCATCATATATAAAGGAGGAAGCAGCTGAAGGTCAATAACCTCAACCAAAAACCAAAACCTTAACTATAACGATGATGAAACTAGCCACGACAATGTCCACGACGCTATTGCTTCTTTTCTCGTCGCTAATACTTCATCCCGATTGGTCCCTCGCGGAACTCGACGACGACACCAATAGCGACGGTGGCTCGTCCACTCATGCGCTGGGCCGGTATTACCAGACAATGAAACATCACGGGCGGGGCGGAAGGCACCGGCCCGCGTTCAGGCCCGGCCCATGGAAGAAAGCCCACGCCACTTTCTACGAGGGCAACACCCGAACCTACGGCGGAGCGTGCGACTACACCGACGTGGTCGGGGAAGGATACGGGATGAACACGGCGGCGCTCAGCAACGCTCTCTTCAGGGACGGCAGAGTCTGCGGCGCGTGCTTCCAGATCCAGTGCGTCGACGACCCGCAGTGGTGCAAACCGGGTCAACCGCCTCTGCTCGTTACGGCCACGGATCTCTGCCCGCCCAACCCGTTCCAACCCAGCGACAACGGCGGGTGGTGCAATCCGCCCCGAGAGCACTTCGACATCGCCATGCCCGTTTTCAGCCACCTCGCAGAGTATAAGGCCGGGATCATCCCCGTCCAATATCGTCGGTATGTGTTTATGTGACTAAACCAATCAAAAAATGAGTCAGTATAACCGTATTCACACACGTATTGTCATTAGTGTTTATAACATTTTATTGGGCTTGATAAAAAAAAATAAAGTCAAGTATCGGGCCGTAAGTTTTTATGCTTGTTGGACTTATGTTGAAATAAAGTCAAGTATCGGGCCGTAAGTTTTTATGCTTGTTGGACTTATGTTGGTCTGATTTGGGCCGGGCTGCAGGGTGCCATGCAGGAAGAGAGGTGGGATCCGGTTCACGATGAACGGCAACCAATGGTTCTACGAGGTCATCGTGTCCAACGTGGGAGGAGCCGGAGACATCGTCGGCGTCCAGGTGAAGGTCGACAAGAGCAGGCTCCGGTGGACGTCGCTGGACCACGACTGGGGCGCGACGTGGAAGACCGGTTTCCCTTTGCAAGGAAAGTCGCTGAGCTTCCGGGTGAAAGCGAGCGACGGGAGGTACATGACTTCCATGCACGTCGTCCCCAGCGACTGGCAGTTCGGACAGACTTTCGAGGGTCGGAATTTTAAGACCGGGAGAAGAAGCCGGAGATTCAAGTCCGGTGGGAAGAGAAGGAAGGATGTTGGCCAACTTTAGGTGCTCGTTAAATTAATTTTATTAATTTATATGGTCAAGTTGTTTTTAAAGGCGAGAAACAAGATCGAATCGCCTGCAGGATGGTAGTCTCATTATTACGAGTTGCTAACGATCGAGGCGTAAGAAAGATTGGTATTCAAATTGAGTTATGGATCGAATAGGACATGTACAATATTATAAATTGCAAGTTGTAGTTATTGGTTTCAGTCCATTTATTATGGATATGGTTGTAAAAAATCGTAGATCGCGATATGTCTAGTTGTATTAACCGTTATTTTAAATGTGTTGTGTACTCCTCGATGAGGATCAGTTCTTGGGCCTATTGAATAGTCTTGACTGAATCTAATTTGAGGAATGGTGTGTATCTTCCTATTATTTGGATCCAAGTTGTAACAGTCTCACAAGCAATTTGGTTCCTTGCATTGTAAATTGTAATGTAACAACTTTTCACTAAGCAAAATTTTCAGCGTTACTAGCTGTGTTATATGTAATGGTACATTCCTGATTGGTCAAGTAGGAAAGTAATTACAAGCAAACGAGAGAGAAAATAGTATATGGTTTAAGTTAAAGCTCACTCAATATAGTTGAAAAGTCCTCCCCTGCATTTGCAAATTGCAGACCTGGTACAAAGAGTCATTTCTGGGATGAGTTTTTCTCGAGCCAAACATCAATCAAGCTGTTTTCCGACCAGCAACTTGGTTCTATAGCAGCTGTTGGAGCAACTGCTGAGTCTGAAGGTGCAGAGATTCTGCCGACTGAAAGTTGGGAGACTTGAAAATGGATGTCTATTTCTTCTGTTTCTTCTTTTTTCGTCTCTCTTCTTTCGTATCTGTTCTGGCTTCCAAACGTTTCGAATGATGAGAACGGATTTCCTGAAGCTTTGCCTTTGCATCTTGGAAGAGTGCATCCGACCTTGAGGCCATTAATTGCTGTCGAAAGAGAATCAGACATGACAATTATTAGGAAACCAAGCATTGAGAGGAGAGAATATGGTTTGGTTTATTAAATGAGGAACTGTGAAGTGGGAAGATCCCACAGCATTTCACCTTCAGATGGTCCATTGCTGCCAGATTGAAACCAAGAGTATCCTTGCATTCCTGGTGAAAGATCAATTATCATCAGGCTAATGTAGACTCGTGAACATGTGACATAAAATGTTAAGGCGGTGAAGATCAATGATCAACATTTAAACAGTATGGGGTTACCTTGACTCTTGAATGGAGTTCATCCTTGAGAGCAGTCAAAACAGGCCTAGAAGCGGGAGTGCTGACTAACTGGTGATAGTTAATCTGCAACAGCACAGTAGCAACTCTGCTGACAAGCTCAACCTGATGCATCATGGTAGAAGTAACCAATCATCAACGGATCATTTTGATTTTACGAAACGATAAAAATTTAACATTACAGCATCAACCGATGATCTTTGTCTACCAACCTTGTCAGGGATTGATGACCAGTCCTTCAGGTAGGACAAGAGCTTCAAAACATCTGAGAATGGTAAAGCCTGCAAGAAAAAAGGAATCATCAACTCCAGGAAGTTAAATTACCTTAATCCGGGAATCTGGGAGGCCGAAGAAAGAAGGAATGAAAAAACAGGAAATTGATACCAGAAGTGTCTGCTCCAAATCATTTGCCTGAACTTTTGAGAGTGCATCAAGAACATAATCAGAAGGCAACAGCCCGTTCATGGTAGGGTTTGGCTGGAAGCGAGTTATTTGTCCACTTCTCCGCTCCTCCTGAAAATTCATGAATGCATAAACCAATCTTTAAGTCTTCCTAGTTGTATGATCACAATCCATTTGACTAGCTAATAACCAATGATTACTTAAAATTCAAAAGGAAAGTCAACAAAATTAGCACATACTTCATGTTCAGTAATACGCTTCAACTCCATTTCCGCTACATCTAGTGCTTCAACAATCAAGTCGGTTGCTGTAAGAGTTTCTTGAGTTTTCTTCCCAGCCAAGGCAACAGCTCCCTCTTCTGGGATCTCTTCTTTTGGTGCAAATCTGTTTTCAAATGGATTCTCCAGATCAGCTTCAAACATTTCTTCCAACCTCTTCTCCTTCTCTTCCTGCAATATACAATAACACATTCATCAGGACTACCTAGAACAAGTACAGAAAAAAGACGATATGCCAAAAAAAGAAAGGAAATGATTACCTCGATGAAGAACGGCTCCTCAGTGCGATCCCACCGACGTATAGATCGATCATGAGAACCCGTGACAATAAAGTCACCACGGCTACCAATTGCAAGGCACCAAATATCAGCATGGTGGCCCTCCAGAGTTAGGAGCAGCTCAAATTTGTCAGCATCCCAGTACTTTACAAGTCGATCTTTTCCAGCACTGAACATATAGTGGGTATTTCGCACAAATTGCACTGCCATTACACTGACCAACAAATAGTTTTATTAGAACACTGCCAGCTCACAAGAGAATATTATTGAACATATCATATAATTTGTACAGAGGAGGCACCTATCAGCATGAGCAAATAGAGATTTGTGACAATCGCCAAAGTCCAAGCCCCAAATCTTCAAGTTTTTGTCAGCTGAGCCAGTGACAATTAAATCTCCATCTGATGAGATATCCATGCACATTACGGGCAGCTTGTGACCATATAGTGTAAGAAAAAGTTTGAGCGAATCTATGAAGAAAACCTGAAAATTGGGAAAAGAGGACTCGAATGATTCAGAAAAACTAAATGCTGGCAGGTAGCAGGGACCACTTCAGAGGATCTTAAAAACAATGAGACAGCAAGCCAATAAAAACAAAAGTACATAAAATAAAATGCAAACTGAAGACAAATCAGATCGACCTTCACTGTGCAATCCAACAGGGCAACCGCAATGTATTTAGCATCAGGGCTAATTGCAACCACTAGAACATCATCGTTCATCTTCAGAGACCTCACATTTGATACTGTGAGCTGCTTTGAATCCTGCCAGCCAAACAACAATCAGTACCTCAGGAATCTTACTTTGAAATACATATTATACAGGGTATTGGAAAAGTAGGACAGGAAAGTATCATCCTCCTAAATGAACATTGGTACTATATAAAGTGCATAGTCACCCATTGATAGGCATTTTATGTCAAACACAAGATAGTGAGGAACACAATATGTGGCATGACACAAATATTAATAGAAGATATGAGAGATCACACCTGACCAGGTTTCTGTTTGATTTGATACTCCCAGAACTTAACATCATGATCTGCACTGCCTGTGACAAACCCATTTTCATCTGGAATCGCAGTAATAGAACGAATGGCACCACCATGAGCTTCCACTTCCTCAATTCTAGTGGCACTTCCGATGTCAATGATTTCAACAGTTCCACCTTTCGTCCCAACAAGTGCATACCTGTTATGTGGAACAAACAATCCACACAGTCCATATCCAGAGTCAATAGTTCGAAGACAAGAACCAGTGCTTGGATTCCAAATCTTTACTGCATTGTGACTAGTGGACAGCAAAAGACTATTGTCCGAACTGAGTGTAAGACTCCTGACATCAGACCGGTGCCCGTGGAGTTCAATAGCTAGATTCTTTTTGTTTGCATCATTTTCAATGGAATAAAACTCCAACAAGTTATTATTCAATGACAATGCCAATGTAGCCAATGAGTTCTTTGGTGTAACTGGGCTGAACGATATGGAGCACACTTTTTTGCCTGCTCGAATGGTTTGCAGAAGCTTAAAGATATCAGTTACAATAATCAGAGTACCACTCCCATCTTCTTCTGTAGCAGGCTCTTTAGTATTTTCAGCAACCTCAACTGATCCTTTTGATGACTTCTTCTCCTTCTTCCTATGAAGCCGACGTTTAGCCTTGCGCTTTGCTTCAACCTCATCAAGGACATTGAATATCTCCACTATCTTCCCAGCTGACTGACAAGCAAGCAAATTACCCGACAAATTGAACCTCACAGTTCCAACCCTATCTTTTGTTTGCCTCTGGATCTCACCAAGAAATTTTACAACTTCCCATTTATTGGCATCCCCATTTTCATTGCCCACGTCTTTTTTGCCTTCTGCCTCGTCCTTAATTGTGTAAAACCGAATTTCAGGGTCTGCAGAACCACTAACCAAGTATCTCTCTTCTGGGTCGACATCAATTGACCAAACCTCACTGTGATGTCCGCTGATAATTTGCACGCAATGCTGTGTTTCAAGATCCCACACTCTCAGAAACTTGTCCTTGGATGAAGTCACTAGCTTCTTCCCGGACTCCAAAAACACAAGGTCAGTAACCTGCAATGCCGATAAACGGAGAGAAAAATGGTTTAAAGATCTGGAAATACAATGCACAAAAACCAACCAGGAGTTGACCCTCGTAAGCTTCTTTCACCTGGTCACGATGTCCTCGAAGGCGAAAGAGGCCAGTCTCCCCAACCACATCCCACAATATAACATCATTATCTTTACTTCCAGATGCAAGCTGAGCACCAGTTTTGTTGAACCGTAGAGCAGTCACCGCACCTTTGTGGCCATTCAATGTAGTCTCGCAGGTTCCCTTGTCACTATCCCAAATCCTAATACTACCGTCGGCATAACCACTTGCTACCTGTACTTGGAAAAATCAGAAATTAGTTCTTGTCTTCAGCATTACTCCCCATTCTCAAAACCAAAAACCTTAATAGAGCACCGCTCCAAGATCTGAAACCTATAAATCATCCTAAATGATTCAGCTAACCAACGGTTACTGAACGCAAAGTGGGAAGACTTCGACTTCCAGTAATTCCATTAATTACCAGCGGTGAAGACAAGGAGGCGGCTATGGAGGTGACTGCGAGAGAAGGCCCACTACGAGAAGCCGTCGAAGGCTCTAGCGTCCTCGTGCAGATGCCTTGCCGGACATGCCAAACTCCGACCTTCTCGAGCGCCGGAGCTAGCAGGTGCTTCCCGGAGCTGTCGAAGGCTATGTTCGATTCGACTGAGGCTATCACGCCGAACGAAGCCCGAGGCTCGTACCTCAGGTAGGATTTCACCATGGCGACCGCCGCTTAGTTTTGCTTCCTGGCCTGCTCTCTCTGTTCTGGTCGCGGCAGTTATGGCGGCTGAGGTTTTCCAAGGGTTTTAAAGAAAGGCGCCTTTCTCTCCTCCGTCGCCTTCCTTTCTGCGCGGTGCTTTGGTTTATTTTTTGATTTGTTGTAATATTCTTGTGTTTTGTAAAATTCCTCAGCGTTTTGGGCCGAAGCCCAAGAATAGTAGTAAATCCATTTTTCTTTACCGGGTTACTTCTGCTGGAAGGCCTGTCAATGGATTGGTTTCCGATAGCGGGCCTTAAGCCCGATCGTGAATCTGATCTTGCAAGTGTAAATAGGTCAATTCTTGCTACGGTAAAAAAAAAAAAAAATTACAAGTCGTGTCCAGCATTGGATTCTTTACTTGTCCAGTTGTCCATTTATCACGTCCCCTACATAACAAAATCAGAGAGTTGACTAGAGAAAGAGACACTTGCCGTTTGTAATGTACGCGTTGATGCTGTATTTTGTGTGTATTAGGTCTCGGTTCAAGCTATAAGTTGTTTAATTATAGAGAGTCGTTGTCTTTCAATTGTATTAAGTCTTTTTCTTGTCAAAATGTAACAAGAAGATTCAAGGGGGAAAATGTAACAAGAAGACAACAAGTAGAAACAAATCAAACCTATATTACAAGACAGTTGACGAAATTGAGACACACCAACTTTAAATTAGACAAAGCGTTAGATTTTACGTATCACTCTATGTATATTATTTAAATATTTATTACAAATTTCAAAAGAGTTGAACGGAAAGTTTTAAATAAATAATGACTTATAATTAAACTAATAATTTACATGTTAACTATTTTGTAAGAAAATTATTTATAAAACTCAATAATTTTTAGCGCATCTCCAAACAAGTCGATATAATTAGGAGATTGGTTCAAACTTCAAAGCATATAACACTAGTGCAATAGTTAGTGAGAGACCCCACGTTCGAATCTTCATTATCTCTGATCTCGAGAATCGATTTATGCACACATACGATATTCTCTTTCTCACAACCCGAGCTTCGCTATATCCATTTTCTTTTATCCTGTAAACCAAGAAGAGAGACCCACAAGTAGAGGTGGCAAATGGATTGGATTGGTGGATTGGATTGGTGGATCCATGGATCAAATGGATTGGATCTAATGGATTGGTGGATTCATGGATTGGATCAAGTGGATTGGTGGATTATCTATGAATCCAAATGACATCCTCAACCAAGGACCAATATGTAAAATGTAAAAAGTTTAGGTACTAAAATGTCACAATGAAAAATTTTAGGTACCAAAATGTAAAAAATAAAAATTATAGGTACTAAACCGTAATTTGCCAATGATCCATGGATCCAATCCATGAATCCACCAATCCAATTGGATTTGGATCAAATGGATTGGATTTAAATGGATTGGATTAGGTGGATATTTTTAATGGATTGATGGATTGGATTGAAATTGCCACCTCTACCCACAAGTCTCTGCCACTTCTTCATCGAGTGCTGCTTGTTTGGACACCATAAGTCCATAACAAGACCCATTGCTGAGGAAATGGAGCCGTTATATTTGAACAGTTTGGAAGCTTTCCTCGTTGTCCGAGGCCAAAGACATTGAAAAGACATCATCGTATAATATATAAAATCGATCACAGCATGGCATGTGATGATGATGATACATATATAGTAGGGCTGGCCATACTGAGAAACAATGGGGTCGACTGTCGATATTTGTTTCGATATCATCATCAGTAAGCTTCATCTAGTAATTCAGAGCCATACCTTTATCATCAACGCACCACAAAAGGTATACCTCCAATGATGGGAAAAAGGGGTGAAGAATGATTCATCGTGACAGCATTGATGACATGTACGTTATATAATGTATAAGTATTCGATGAAACCCTAAAACGCTTGGTTGTCACGCCGTCTTCCTGTCGGCCGGTTCAACCGGTACAATTGGAACCGTTCATCAAACCTGTTTGAAAAAACCACTATTCAGTTTTGGTGAAATCCAGTCAATATCAATTAAATCTGGTCAAAACCGAAAATACCGACAAAGGAGACCATAAATTGGATTTCAGTATTTTCACTCATGCCCTGCAAAAATAATTACCCATCATGCGATTTGAACCAAGTACTTATATTCGTATAATTTCATTCACGTCCCTTTTATTTAGTATTTAGCTATTTCGATTTTGAGTTTGAATCTACCGCATTGGAACAAAGAGAGATAAAAATCAGACGAGAAAAGAGACATAAATTGTTACCAGCGTACGTTTTTATTTAGTAACTTGCCTATAGAGACGTCTTACAATTTATTTTTTTCATAATCCGCCACATATATTGCAGATTGTTTAGTTTCTTCACTTTCCAAGAGGTGATTAATTAGTGACAGCCACACAAGACATGGACGATCGATGCTGCCCATTTCTGGAGCTTGTCCTGTTTCTCCATACGAATCACATATCGCACCAGCTGGTCTGGTATAATAATATATATACTTTCGAACAATTTGGTTTCACCTCAAAGCAACAAACTGACGAAACTACACAGCTCATTGACAAGTATGGTAACAATACAAAATCGATTCAAATGGGCATATTTTATTGCTGGTTTCTTCGATTCCGTTGGGAATTGAATATGTCTTTTGGCCAGCAGAGGAGGAAGAAGAAGAAGATGCATGCATCTACAACGAACTTCCATATGTACGTGCGCATGGAAACCCTAGCTAGCTAACCTTGTGAGTTGGGGTGACAACGAAAGCTTGAAGTCATTTGTGCCGTAAGTATAATAATTTCATTATGTGGGGTGAGAGTTTAGACAAATATGTGAATTCTTCTAACTATTGTGTTCATATTGATAAGATATCATTTCGAGATTTTTTTTTTTTTTGTATATTAGGGTGTTACTGAGGAAGAGTACAGAAACGAGTAAGCATATTATGTTATTAGGTACTTGTAGGATAGGAGTAAAACATTGGTGATTGATGTCGAGAGTGTATTATCGGCTTATCAGTGATATAATTGACGTAGGCTAGAGATAGAGGATGTGGATGTTGAAGTTGCCAGGATTCTACTCATTTTACTCTTGGAATGCATAGGTAATATAATTCCCACAATTTGTCATTCGGTAAAGGCGGGCGTTTTGATTCGTAGCAAATGACCTTTCCGGAGCTTAAATTTGTGAGTTAGAGAGAGAGAGAGAGTCTGTGAAAAATGAGGTTGTCAATGAACAATGAGGTATGTTTATAACTAAGATAGCATTGAAATTTTTTAATTTTGTTCCGATCATCATACACCTATAGGAGTTCATATTACCGTTTTAATACGCTGTTTGGTTTTGACACCCTCTCTGCTTCTATTTTAAGCTTTCTCTCTAGACTCTAACCATGAGCCTATATATATATATTCATCTAAAACATGATCCTTTTGGATACTTCAATTGATATTAAACCGAGTAGTGAATTCGAGTCGAGTATACGTTAAACCGAGTTCGGACAAGTCAACTCATCCACTCCTTATCGACCCCAACCATTTTGGTGATGAACAATGAATGTAATAATAAACCCTTTGAACGTCCGTCTCCAATGGCAATTTGGCATCCTCTGTCTGGCCTGATGGAGATAGCAAGATCTAGCTATCCCATGGGAACATGGCGGGTCCGCCGGCCTTTTTTGATACCACAAAGTGGTGGACGATATTTTTTGCACGGTGTGAGCTCATTTAGATATAGACGCCATAAATAGTTTTTTGGTGAATTGATATGGACGCCATTAATAATTAGCTATAATAATGTGCTCTATAGTAAGATATTTAGCATTATGGAAATTTAAACAAAATAAAATCAAAATCGGTGGTGGCAAAATGTTTTGGTAGCCGTCACTAGAAAGTGATCGGGGAGCCTCCTGAAGAGGACATACCGACCACACCATTATTTTAATCCGGTTATGGAAATTCTGGCCTATCTTGTCTTCTTAATTAATTTCTAAATATTTTGGCCATTTTGATTTGGTAGTTCATTTGAGTATCCTTCAACATCTCTATATATAGTGGAATATTATAAAATTCATCTGGTTCCAATGATTCGAATTTGGAAAATGATGATTTTGATTTACCGATATCATCTTTGGATTTCAACGTATGTAAATCACAAGTTGGAATTCCAATATGAAATTTCTTCTTCCCTTGAAGAATCCATTTAGTAGCATATAGAACAAAATCAAGTTTGTTGGTTAAATGACTAAAAATTAAATTAAACTAGCCAAACTTGTAACGGTCCATCTAAAATCCTTTTAACGTGTCATATGAGTCACAAATATAAATAATCAATTAAAAACATTAAAACATGATGTATTGAGTGAATTTTTATTATGAAATCTATGAGAAAAAAATATAAGTCATTCAGTCTTTCTTAGATCAATTATATGTGTGCAATTAGATCAATAGAATTAGTGATGACAATTTTGACTTGACCGCCTCTAACGAACACATCCAATCTGTTTTGGAAGGGGCGGGCACATGAGTACTCGCCACATTCCGGACTCGATAATTATTGTTAAGAGTCTCACATATAGTTCCTAAAATATGTATAAATAATTGATTGTATAGCAAAAACTCTTGTGCTTGTCTATCTATTAAAGGAACCTTGACTTATGAGTTGTTACTCTTTCACTTTATAGCCAAACCTAATTAGTTAGCAATTCCATTATACATACGATTTACCATAAAAGGAATTTGTAGTTTTGTACTTAAGCTGTATACGGGCACGGTTCCTCCGATAATATTCAACAGGTCAAGGACGGCCGGCCAAAGGCATCTATTGATCTAGCAACCATATGTTGGGTGATCAGTCATCATCAACTTCCTCTAAACGGAGGATTCTTTAGCAATTTTTTGAAAGGAAAAGTACGATTCCATGCAATACAACAAAACTAAATGGTCATGAAAAGTTATTAGTGATCATTTTGGTTCTTTTAGGGTCCATTTATTGGGCTTCGAAAACTGAACTTTTTTTTGTATGACTTAGCATTTAAAGTTTAAAGCATGTATCAAATTAGCATTTTAGTGATATTTAGTTGTTAGAAAAAGTACATGTATGAAATTTAACCACTTCTTACAACATTATAAACATGTTTTTTTCCCTATCCGAAATTGATTAAACAACTTATTTTTACCATGCGAGAACTTTTCAAAAATTCACTCATATGTATGTTTATCAAAATTTTGAATTCTATGAAGTATGGTAATGGATGTATAATCACATCAGATCTACTAAACCATAGATAATTTTGACAGTAACAGAGGTATATATGTATGACACAAAGCGAATTGTAAACCTTCACTATTTAATTTTAGATTACAAATGTTGAGAAAATATAGTAAACAGATATTTAAAAGCAACATAAAAACTCTGTATTTTTAAGGTGTAAACCTAACTCACGCATGCACACATATATATATATCACTATCTTCATATAGTTTCCCCTATTTCTTGGTTAGATCGATAAGTTGTATCATTATCTTCATTAATTAGGTCTCTTAACTTGATGATGAATCACGATTAGCCACGAAATAGGCTTGGAACTATGTAGTGGAGCCTTTTGATCAATGGTGATAAGTTTCTTTCACTTCACCACCCTTTCCTTAAAACCCACCTTATACATTTGTTGGCTTCGAAAGATAGTGCTATAGTGGAGATATTAGATATGTACCCATAACCATTTCTTCTTCTTCTTCTGTCACAATCGAGATCTAACCGGCCATGTTTCTTTTGAGTTTCATGTGTTATTCCTTTTTGTAAGAGAAAAGGATGTTAGCTTTCTATATATTCTTGAGAGAGGGTGAAAAAGAGAGATCATGGAGTTGGAACAATGAATTGGATTTTGGAAGGTGTACAAGTTATATAATGTTATCATGAGAAGGGAAAGGAAAGGTATATGCGCTATGTTAGGTAGCAAGAGCACACATATGTAGTATAGAATATAGATCATGCACGCATTAATGCTAACTAGTTAGATAGGGGTTAATTGTTCTTTATTAGTCCTTAATGCATGATTAGTGGACAAACCTCATGTTTCATTTCTACATGCTACAGACCTCATTGTTTATATTTTATCGATATTCAACGAAAAAAGTAGGAAAAGTAGTTATGTTCGATAGATAATTGCCGGGTTGTTTATTTGTGTGTGATGATCAGGGTACCGATAGACAATACTTCAATCCAAAAAAAAAAAAAAAGTAAAACTGAATCGATTGTACTAGATTGAAATAAGGAGAGAGAATTAAGATTCAATAACCCCATTCACAAGTATAAGCTTGGTAATGTTGTCGTCAAGCCAACTCTGTAGTCATAAAATCACCAGCCTACATGAGATCGAGGTGTCTCAATTAGGTGCAAAATGACCGAATGAAGAAAACACATTTCAAGATTTAAAATCGAGAATTTCAAATTTAAAATATGACTGCACAATCGCTCGACTATGCCTCATTATTGGGCCACATGTACATGATCGTTTAGCATGCTAATATTCTGGTTTGGATACTTCTATTCCTTTATCGTTACTTTTGTTTCATTACATGGAACTTTCTGCTACCCTAAAGCTACAAATTTGCATAGTAAGTACTCTATAAATATAATGACTAATGAGTTCTTCGTTGCTTTTCATTTTTGGCATATATATTGTACAATCAAAAGGAAGGGCAAGTGGATATATATCTATATATACGAACTTCGAGATTCTTCTTATTTGCATGTTGACCTTATGAAGCAAAAGCCTAGCAAGATTTTTAAAAATTGTATATTTATTGTGGTCATAATAGGTGCATAAATTAATGGGTACCACTTTATAGGAGGGGTTAACAGATTAATTATAGATTAATATGGTTTGTTACTTGTTAGTGAAATATACATAGATAATTGGGTGCTTATCCATAAATCTAGGGTTATGAAGGAACGAAATTGAGTAAAATAATTGCAAAGGTTGCAAACAAGGGCACCCTATTCCCTCTTGTTAATAATTGAGCCGGGCTATTGAAAAAAAAAATGAAGAAGTATATTTGCTTCATTTACCCCTTAAATTTCCCCATAATATATGTACTGGCTTTGAAGGTATTAACACATCCCTTCTTATTATTCTTTTCTTTAATTATGATTAATATTGTTAATCATCTCACCAAACCACTAACCAACCCCTTGTGTCACCACTCTCCTAATAGTTATTTGTCATTTTCCCTTACTTCGTTTTCCAACACTCTTATAAAATGACTAATTCCCTACCGTATAGTCAACTAATTTCTTCATACATGATTTGTTTTTTAGTCATCAGGATAAAAATTGGTGTATATGACTATTTGTTTTGTCGAATTTTATGTGTGCATGAATGAATTAAATGGTGTAGTTTGAGAAGAGACAAGAGCAGTAAGAACTTGATTCGACTCTATTAGTTAAATTTGTGTTGGTTCAATTAGTTCTAAAATATATTTTTCCTCCTTTTCAAATGTCCGAGGCATCAATGTGTCACCTTAAATTCTCCGACGAACTAGTCAAGCAAATTAACTCCTAGAGGGGAGGAAGATCAACACTAGAGAGTGCACTATTTGATCTTTGAATTTGAAGTGTGTGGAGGATGAGTTGATGAATCTAATGTTAGGAGTATATAAACCTCCCTTTCAAAATCAAAGTAGATAGCATCCCAACATAAATTTATAAAAAATTTATTGACATTTTTGTTCTTTACATCATATTGTCAATTTTTTTTATCCATAAAGAAATTGTCAAGTTTTTCAATGTGTCACACAAAATTAAAGTGATGATCTACTACGGTTACTAGATTAGGAAATACATGAGTTTAACATCTCTGTCACAAAAAAGTTTGTTTACCTTCTATTTATTCGACAATAGAATGCAATACTTTTATGCATCACATTTATCAACGAGTAATTATATGAAGGGAGCGTCTTTATTATATCATTGTATAATTATAATTTTGATTCGTCTCAAAACAACGCAATCATCGATTGAATAACAACAGGGAATGTGTGAAAATCATTTATATAATTTATGGTATTTGAAGTTTTTCTTAAATGTATTTTATATAATTTCATAAACTCATTTAATTACCATAATGCAGAAAGATTATAATTAAAAATATATAAATTAGTTACAATCTAACTTATATCATCAAATTTTTGGTATACATGCAAAATCATCAATAATGTACCATATAAATATGTTGTTAACAAAACCTGCCTATGTGGCAGGGGGTGAAAATTTGCGTTTTGGTCACGACTGACAGTGGGGAAGCCATTTGTAAAGGCGAGAAAGGTCGGGGATTCGATCCGTAATATATAAACTCATTTTGTCTTTTTATCATCAATTCATCATCAGTCCCCATCGGATTTCTTTATTCATCTCCAAGGCCACATATAAAACATTACCCGCTGCCCAAAAATTCGAAACGAAAAGAAGGGTGAAAAGGCTCGAGCGAGCAGCGGCAGCGGTTACGGCGGCTTTCTTGTAGCAGAGCAGAAGAACAATTTTCAACGCGCTCAACAACAACCACGGCTACGAAATACTCCGACGACGACCGCTACTAACCTTCCACCACTGTAGCTGACTGAAAACTTCTCTTCATTCTCTCCTTCCCCGGCTTCTTCCGAAGGTATAATCTCTCTCCCTTTCCCGCTTTCCGGCGACTTCTAATATGTACGGTAGGTAGGCGTTTCGGATTTCGATTTCCGGAGATGGACGATGTTTTCTTTCTCCGGTTTGTTTTGGCGAGAATGCTTTCACTATGAGATCTGGAAGCGATGGCGGAAATGAGTGTTTGGTTACTCGGGGAGGATGCTGAGATAACAGCTGCTATACCGATACAGTTCCGTTTTCGTGTTTTTTATTTGATTATTTACTTTATTTTATCACTGTCTTGTTGTAGTTTCTCATCTCTTTTGCGTTTCGTTTTCTAGCTTGTTTTGGAGGTTTTCGATTCTGGAAATTGTTGCTTACGGTAACGTCAAAGCGGTACAGTTATCTCCTGCCTGTGTTCTGATTTCATCAGGATTTGTTTTTGTTTCCGAGCAAACTCTGGTTTCCTTTTTTTGGTTCGACTTTGGATTATCTGTTGACTTTATGAGTTCTGTACGTCATTGATTTGTGACTGTATACAATAGTGAATAGTTGATCATCAATGGAGGGTGTAAGCTTGTGAAATTTTCTTGGTCCTAACAGTTAGATTGTTAGAAATGGAAGAATATGCAAATAATGGTGGATTCTTCTGTGTTTCTTTACTCCTCCGTGTGCTTTGTTTTGGTTTGATTCACAGACATTTGAGTTTCGTTTGTTTTTGTGTGGTGATCGCTTTGTTCTGTGGAACATGCAACAAAGCTGGATTTTGTTGGTGTTTTATCATTAACAGCTGAAATTCCTCTGCTATGTATTGACAGGTTGAAGGGAACGGTGGCGTTCAAGTGTTACGTGATCGGGGTAGATATCCCTATTGAAAACCTGAGATCTGATTGTTTAGAGGAACTGGTTTATCTTTCAGGCATTATGCATGTCTGATCCAGTGGCCACCGTGGTTGATGTGCCAAGAGGACTTAATTTGGCTGACAGAACAAAATCTGTTGATGCAATATCCAGCAGGGACTTCTCATCTCTATCTGTCAACGGAGAAGTACCCCACAGATTCTCCGAGAGCCCCTCGTTCAGAATCGGTGAGCTTTTTCTCACCAATGGGGAATCATATTTCGGTTCATTGCTGGGAAATGTACCGGAGGGTAAGGGCAAGTATGTCTGGTCAGATGGTTGTATTTATGAAGGTGAATGGAGACGTGGGATAAGGAGTGGGGTTGGGAAAATCCAGTGGCCTTCAGGAGCTGCCTATGAAGGCGAATTCTCAGGTGGTTATATGCATGGTGCTGGTAGCTACATTGGTGCAAATAACATTACATACCGAGGGAGATGGCGGTTGAACCTCAAGCATGGGTTGGGATATCAAGTTTATCCTAATGGAGATGTCTGCGAAGGGTCTTGGCTACAAGGAACACCAGAAGGACCCGGGAAGTACACATGGGCTAATGGAAACGTCTACATGGGGAACATGAAAGGAGGGAAAATGACCGGGAAAGGGACTTTCACTTGGGTGAACGGGGATTCATTTGAAGGAAGCTGGTTAAATGGTATGATGCATGGATTCGGAGTGTATACTTGGAATGATGGTGGTTGCTATGTTGGCACTTGGAGCCATGGTGTGAAGGATGGGAAAGGATCGTTCTACCCCAGTGGCAGTCGGTTTCCTTCAGTACAAGAACGATACCTCAATGCACTTAGGAAAAGAGGGCTGCTCCCTGATATGAGAAAGCAGAACCAAGCACATATACGTCATGCTTCTTCAGTGGGCATGAGGAGTATGAAGGCTGGTAGAGATCAAAGGTCCCATCGTGATTCGTCAGGTAATTTAACCAAGGGAAGCTTGATGAGCTTGCAGCAGCAATCTCATAACAAGAATGTGTCGTTAGAAAGACGGTGGAGCCTTGAGGTATCGATTGAACAGGTGATGGGACATGATTCATCGATTGAGTCATCTGAATTTGATGGATCTAGCCTCCCACCGATCCTGGAAAGAGAATATATGCAAGGTGTTCTGATTAGTGAGATTGTACTGAATGACGACTTTTCATCAATGTCCAGAAGGGCAAAGCGCAAGCAAAAGAAGTTTGTTAGGGAGATCAAGCGACCTGGTGAAACTATACTTAAAGGGCACCGTAGTTATGATTTGATGCTCAGTTTGCAGCTTGGTATCAGGTAAATGAAACAATAGTGTTTGTTCCACAATTTTTACTCTCTCTTTGTCCCTTGTAGAATGAATGTTGAATACGGTGATGTGTTATCACTTATCAGGTATACAGTAGGGAAAATTACTCCTGTACAGAGACGAGAAGTCCGCGCATCCGATTTTGGTTCAAGGGCGAGTTTTTGGATGCATTTCCCAAAGGATGGATCTCAGTTGACACCTCCTCATCACTCAGACGATTTTAAGTGGAAGGATTACTGCCCTATGGTTTTTAGGTGTGTTATGTTGGCCTTGAATTTGATATTATAAGAATCTCTCAGTCTCTGCTGTTCTATTTATGTTTTTAAATCCTGCATTGCTTTTCCAATGCTTAAACATACTGCTCTGGTTTGAATTGTAGGAATTTGAGGGAGATGTTCAAGATCGATGCTGCTGATTACATGATGTCTATATGTGGCAATGATGGTCTTAGGGAACTCTCTTCGCCGGGAAAAAGTGGGAGCATTTTCTTCTTGTCTCATGATGACCGCTTCATGATTAAGACGCTCAGGAAGTCTGAAGTCCAGGTTTGTTTATAAATTCATGTGCTGCTTGTTAGTTCAGGAGCTGTTTATTGGCTTCCAATGCATGCTGCTTCAGATCTGAATGTTTTCGTCCTGAAATTGTTCTGATTATGCAGGTACTTCTGAAAATGCTCCCTGATTACCATCATCACGTAAGAACATATGAAAACACACTCATAACGAAGTTTTTTGGGCTTCATAGGATCAAACCTACAAGTGGTCAGAAGGTACACTAAATGTTCAATCTGGCCTTACAAGTTTGTGTCCTTACAATCTTAGTTTACCATTCTGATTTGCCTTTCTCTTGCAATTGCAGTTTCGTTTCGTGGTTATGGGAAACATGTTCTGCACTGAATTGAGGATCCATCGGAGGTTTGATCTGAAAGGTTCCTCACTAGGGCGATCCTCAGAGAAAATAGAAATCGATGAGAACACTACTCTCAAGGATTTGGATCTGAACTACAGCTTCTATTTGGAACCTACTTGGCGAGAATCTTTACTAAAGTAAGTACATTGTCCGAATAACTACTTCTGTCATCCTGCAATAATTTTACAACGATTTTCCGCTCTAATCCGAACATGAAATGTAACTCCCATTTGCAGGCAGATAGAGACAGACAGCAAATTTTTGGAAGCACAGCATATCATGGATTATAGCCTTCTATTAGGTGTGCATTACAGAGCACCGCAGCACCTTCGGCCCTTCACGTCACTTCAGAAGAACGAAGGCTTAGGAGTTCTGGCCGAGGAAGGTAAGCGTCTCACTCTGGCTCTATTCGATTAAGTATCATGTAATGGTCTCCTTAGTTCATCCAATAGCCAATTTATATATGAAATACACCATTCCAGATTTCAAGTTTACGAGTTAACTATTGTGCATTGTCAGACACCATCGATGATGAAACATACCCACAAGGTCTAGTCCTCATCCCTCGAGGAGAGGACGATGGCAGTGTCGTTGTTGGTCCTCACATCAGAGGCAGCCGATTGAAAGCCTCAGGTGATGAGGAAGTTGATCTCCTTCTTCCTGGCACTGCAAGGTATTGTACCAACAATCTTTAAATCACATCTCAATAATACATGCATTTTGAAATGGGGTTCCATAACCCCTTGGCATCTTTGGGTTATGGAGAAAACTCTTAGTAATAGATTATTAGTTTTCGCTGTTAACCCGAAACCTCTTGGGGCGCAGGCTTCAGATCCAGCTTGGGGTTAACCTGCCAGCAAGAGCAGAGCAGACTACAGAGGATGAAGCAGGGAAAAAGAAGTTCAATGAAACATACGATGTCGTTCTTTACCTTGGCATAATCGACATTCTCCAGGAGTACAACATTAGTAAGAAGATCGAGCACGCTTACAAAGCTTTCCAATTCGATTCCTTGTCGATTTCAGCTGTGGATCCCACGTTCTACTCCAGGCGCTTCCTGGAGTTCATACAGAAGGCATTCCCTCCCAATGCTGTCACCCTCTAAGAAGCCGTTCCCTCCATCTTCCTTCCTTTCACTCCATGAGGCACAGCAGATTCTTGTTTTTTGTCGAACCGATTGGCTCAATGGCGACCACCACGAATGATAATTCGACTTGTACATTACAAGCCTTGTACAAACACGACTGATTGAGCCCTATACATATGCATCATTTCATGTAATGCCATGCATCTGCTGATCAATTGCTCTCTTAAAAATTTGATATGGCCTGAGCAGTATTTGATCCTCTCAAAGATTTAACACCTCTGGTAAAACATTAAACCGCAAATCACAACATTCAGAGTTTCAGATGACGACGACTAACAACTTTGAGGTGAAATGTTTAATCATGAATTTCAGGCAATCAAAACAAAGGCTTGTTCTGAAGAGTAGCAAAGCAGAACAAAACTTCCCAATTCGCTTAAGCTAAAGAGTACAAACACTTCTCTATCGTATGATACAAACTTATCCCATATTGGGTGGAGGTGGAGGAGGTGGATGGACGCCTTGCCCTGGGAAACCCTGAGGCATCGGAGGTCTGCCCATCTGAGCACCAGGAGTGAAATTAGCCATCCCACTGCCGCCTGGCGGTGGAGGCGGAGCTGGTGGAGCCTCCCCTGGAGGCATAGGTCTAGGACCGTTCCCCATTTGGGGTGGAGGTGGAGGTGGCCTTGCTCCTCCGTCTGGAGGTGGGGGAGGGGGTAGACCCTGCGGTGGTGGCGGTAGGAGAGTCCTTGGAGGGACGCCAGGAGCAGACGTGCCATTCGCTGTTGCCGCACCAGCAGCTGGAGGTTTGTTGGTCTCTGGTGGCTTGGTCTTAAAGTATAGCTGTAACTGTACATTGAAAACAGCGTTGTTATATATCAAAGAAATTGTATAACTGTTGCCCCGGTCATGCGTACAAAATGGAAACAATAAGGAGAAGCTTACAGTGAACATCTTAGAGTCGGGATCCCAATGTGAGAAGAACTTGGGAGTTGACTTGTCGATTTCTGTGCTGGGGACCTTGAAGGCAACAATCTCATATGGTTCTGCTGCGAACAGAAGATACTGGTAACTCTTGTCATAGGACTGGACTTTCTGAAATATGTAGAGAGCACAACACAAGTCAGAGACTTCTCAAATTTGACGTCCGATTAATCAACCATAACAACCAGAAGATAACTTCATACCTGCTCATAAGATGACATAAACCTGTGCCTTGGCTTTGTGTTGTCTTCGATTTCGGGATACTCGATCTAAATAAGACCCAAATGAACCATTGTCAGCACAGTGCAGGGAAAATGTTGAGGGCATAGTGTCCTCTGGTTAGGACCAGGAATTGAGTGTAAATAAACAAAGTACCTGAAAGAGAAGAGATCTCTGCTTAGTCTCCGGATCAAACTGCTTGGTCACACGGTACCCAGGTCTGCCGATTTTGACTGCAAAAAGACCCCATTACACATGAATCCGTCAACTAAAACACCATATGCAGTTGACACCACGAATTCCACAAGTTCACTTTGTAATGCTACAGATTTATTCCCTCAACCACATCAAGACCACTCCCCAAGTTTATTCGAGTTCAAAAATCGAAACCGAGTCTCGAGCACAATTCTGTACATAACACTTCCCCTCACGCTCCCATACTTTCAAAAATGATAGTTCATAACCAGGACTACATCTTAACTTTCACTGCCGATCACTCTTCTGCCCACTATAGAAACCAGGTACCAAAATCCATCTTTTCTTTTTTGGGTAACAAAAATCCATCCTTTCAGGTGCACGCTAACAACTGAATCCTGCTCCTAGGAGTAACCATTTCACACTAGCTATCAACAAACAAGCAACTCCATAAAGCTCCGCACTGACTAACAATCCAACAATTCCCTGATTCTCAAAACCCTAATTGAAATGGAGAATGAAGGGTGGGAAAGCTTCCAATTCTCAACAGAAAGAAAGAAAAGCTTGCCTGTCTTGCGGATGTTAACTTTGCGCTTGTTAGGCTGCGGGAGAGCTGGAGCTTCCTTGGCCTCGCGAGCAGCTCTCTTCGCCAAATTGGTCTGGTGACGCTTCCCTTGGGTGTGAGCCAGGTAGTTCCCTTCATTGTTGTGCAAAGTCAGACACAGCTTACACTCATAACTACAAAATCCCAACCCAATCAGCAGAAACAAACTCGAAACAACCAAATTATCCATTAATCAAATCCATCACTCTTCCTCGACGAGACGAGACGAAGAGATCAGGAAGCGGCCTATTGAAATCGTGCGTTACCTGCCGAGGTGATTGCGCATGAAATAGGGGTCTTTGGCGAGATCGATGGTCTCGAGGGCGAGTCGCCGGAGACGCTCCCGGCGGTCGATTGCCTCGTTCTGGGAGGAGGCGGCGCCTCCGCTGCCGGGCTTGGAACCCCATTCTCTGTCCATGGCTGCGTTTCTCTGTCGTCTCCTTGCTCGCTCTCTCCAGTGAAAGTGGACGACGGAAGAGGAAGAGAGATGATATAACTGAAGGTTTGATAAATGGCGGTAAAGAATGGACTATCCCGTGAAGGGCCCAAGTTTTAGCCCAGCCCAATAATTTTCTGAACGACAAAATCCGAAGCAAATTTGGGCATCTAGCCCAAAATGCTTAGAAGCTAGAACGACTTTTAAAAGGATATAAAAATCTGCTTCATAATGTGCCAAATAATTCAATCCAAAGTCAAAGTGTGTTGAATCAAATCAAAGGTGGGGGGTCAACTAAATTCAATGAAATTGTGGGACACCTAGACAAAGGGATACATAGCCGAAAAAAGTAGTCATCTAATTATATTTTCTTTGGCAAAATTATGAGAAAATATAGATGTGAATAATAAATATCATCCACTATTTTATTGAATTTAGTTGAGTGAGTGATAAAAAAATCTTGCATAATGTAAAAACAGACAAGAATGTGCTTTGACAACCTATTCTCTATTATATTCCCTTATCAATATGTACGAGTGATACTCAACAATCAATCTTCAACTAATCCATCAAATGAGAGAAGATAGTAGCATTATTAATGTGTATTATCTAATATAAAATAACCCACACACTTAGAAAATGCAAGTGATTGAACTTAAGTTATTTTTGTTTACAGCCAGTCAAAATTAAAGCTCTATAATGAATGAGATTCCTAATCCTTGTTAAGTGGGCAGAAGGAAGGAAGGAAGGAATAAGTAGGGATGGGGACGTAATCATTTGTGATCAACAAGCCTTAATCAACATCAGTGCAGTCGCTAATCATTGTGTTTGGCTTACTTTACATCATCCCCACTCGTGTTAATGTGGTTAATCAAACTCCTAATTATTCCATTTGTTTTGGGAAAAATCGTATACAGAAAGTTGCTTAAGTTGCAGCTTAAGGCAAACCTAAAAGGGAATCCTTTGCTTCAGATTGATGAGGTGGCGTCGTATGAGTGGGCTGATCCCAACAGTATGCCAACTGTGACCAAATTACTCAAGTCTCCCGTGGGCCGTGACAGCGGCCCATCACCTGACTTTCTTACCCGACCGTATGGCCCATTCAGTATTTACCTAATTGCCCTTTCATTTCTTACGAAATTTCGACATCAGTTCAGTTAGCATTTTTACCCTAGTTATTCTCTATGAACGATTCATTCAACGATTATAAAATGAACGAAGCGTGATTCAAACCCGACTAGTCTCGGCACTGATAAACCATTTTTAGATGGAAGGTGTCGAGGTGATTATTCGAAACTGATAATTTACTATGCAACCTCTAACATGGACACGTGTAGATCCATTTTAATTCTTATTGATCCCGGATTAACGTAATTCAATATTATTGTCTTAATCAATCAAACCAAATTGGGTCGACAATGACAACGAGTTGAAAATAAAAGAGAAACAATTTCATACATAAATGTTGAAACCGAATGAACTTAAACTTGAAAGATTCTACTCCATCTTTAACCAATCGAGTTGTAACCAAATTATTGTCAATTTCATACGAGTTGAATTAACGTAATTCAATCGAATTTAAACTTGTAAGATTCGACCCGGATTTTAACCAAATTATAGTCAATCCAAGTCTATCTTAAACACACTCATAAGATTACTAGAGAGCATGTCACAAACACAAATTTGTAATAAAATATTGAGTTCCCAGAAAATGGCATCGCGTGCACATAGCATAAGAACAACAGTTGTTAATGATGAGACGGGGAAATAATGAAAGCAAAGAAAACAGGACGGAACAGAACATGAGAGGAGCTTGGGAGGGAGAAAGTAAAGAATGACGTTGGATTGGAACGGATGCTCTGCTCACTCAGGTGGGCTTCCCCCTTTCACTTCTCCTTCTCTCTCTATTAAGTTAGCCGTTTTCTTCATCTTTAGCTTCTTTCTCCTCTCCTTCACTAAAACAACCTAAAGCAGAAAACTTTGATGCCATTACTACTTTCCCTCCTCTTCCATTCTCCTCTCTCTCCTTTTCCAATATAGATACATTACCCGCATTTCCCTTTCACTCTATCTTTACAGGGATAGAGAGACTCAGAAAACCCCAGAAGAGAAAAGGAAGGTCTTGACTGCCTCCTTTGATCATTATTAGACAGATAGAGACATAGCAGCAGGGGGGAGTTGTTGGGAGAAAAGATAAAGAAAAGAAAAGAAAAGAAAAAGCTTTGAATTTGAGAGGAGAAGAAAAGTTTGGCTCATTGCTGTTGGAATTTTTTGGGGGAATGGGATCTTCATCAGGGCAAGGTTCAGGTGGTGGGTATGATCTATCCTTCAAGATCCTATTGATTGGAGATTCTGGTGTGGGTAAAAGCAGCCTTCTTGTCAGCTTCATTTCCAGCTCTGTTGAGGATCTTGCTCCCACCATTGGTAAATACTAACCACCCTTTTGGTTTCTGAGCTGATAGTGAAATTGGGATCTTCATTGGTGAATTGTGATCTTTCCCCAATTTGCAGCAATGCCAAACTGTGCTCTTGAGTTTTTCCTTTGTGGTGGGATCTTACTGTTTGCTTATCATCTGAAGGTGTGGACTTTAAGATCAAGCAACTGACTGTAGCAGGGAAGAGATTGAAGCTCACAATTTGGGATACTGGTATGGCTGATTCCTAGGCAGTTACTTTGTTTATTCAAATTCCCCCTTGGTTTTGGTTTTCTGCACTGCAATGCAACAGTTAGGAAGTAGGACCATGCAATTTGGACCACTGTACTTCTTTTTCTTTTGTAGATTGTGAGAGATATGCTGGGCTTTGAATGAGTTCAATCAATGATCTGTTCAAACCTTTCTCACATTTTGGACCACTCCTCTTTCACATGGAACATTCTGACAAAGGAAAAGGGGATTTGAGATTGTGATGTGTAATTGAAAGGGCATTTTGGTTTATTGCAGCTGGGCAGGAGAGGTTCAGGACTCTAACCAGCTCTTACTACAGAAATGCCCAAGGAATCATTCTTGGTACGCTACTTGACTGAATCAACTCTTTTTCTCATATGATTATGCGTGTTGCCGAGTCAAAAGGCCTACATGAATTACTGTGATTTGGTAAGAGCAGAATTTATGCTTGTTTCTGAGTTGAAAGGCTATATGCATTACTGTGATTTGGTAGAGCAAATGTCCACTCAGGAGTTTGATATTCGTTAGTAAAATAAAGAGGTTTCATATCAGTTTATATCAGTTTGTTGAAGAGACTCATAAGGCATCAGACATGAGCAGGTGTTGTGAAACAACTGCGGAATAAGATCGTTGATGATATAGTTAAAGTTACAAATTCCTTTTATGGTATCATCAGGCTTAACCATAAGTAGTAACAACACCATCAAATTCCTTCACGAACTCCTTGCATAGCCCTCAAATAAAGTCGTATCTTACCTCTAGACTCACCCATTGCTAGTAGTATCCTTATTCATAAGCTGCTGTTGTGATTATTAGCAACTTCTAACAACCATGCTGCAGTTTACGACGTGACTCGGAGAGAGACATTCACAAACCTCTCAGATGTGTGGGCTAAAGAAGTCGAGCTTTACTGCTCAAATCAGGATTGTGTCAAGATGCTGGTTGGAAACAAAGTTGACAAAGTAAAGTTGCTAACTTTAGTTGTCATCTCTATTGGTTTTGAACCAATTTCCAAATCAACCTGCCTCATTCTCATTTCCTGTATGTCTGATATTTTCAGGATTCTGAAAGGGCTGTAACCAGAGAAGAAGGCATGGAGCTTGCCAAAGAACATGGGTGCTTGTTCCTTGAATGCAGTGCTAAAACTAGAGAGAATGTCGAGCAATGCTTTGAGGAGCTCGCAATGAAGGTAACTCAGTTAATCACGCTTCTGAAGATTCATCAATGCAGAAAGTTTGGTAATAAGATCTGGCAATGTCTTGATCTTTTGCAGATAATGGAGGTTCCTAGTCTCTTGGAGGTAGGAGCTACAGCAGGAAAGAGGAACATTCTGAAGCAGAAATCAGATCAACAAAGTCCTCAAAGCGGCGGCTGTTGCACTTGATGATGATGACGATTGATGGATTTATGTATGATGGGTCTGTTGTTTGTTTGTTGTTGAATGTTTGACTCACTGTGACCCAAAATCCATCAAACTGATTAATGTATATGAGATCAGGCATTGCTGTCTTTATTTCTTTCTCTGTTTGTGATCTCAAGGGTGCCTTTTGGAGAGTTTCCGATTAGTTTGTGCCATTGCCAAAAAGGAGGTTAGAGAGTGCACCAAGAGTGACATATACTAGATTGTGTACATTTGGTTGGTGAGTTCCACTTCTTGGTCAATGCATTCCATTGATTCAGTTAATCCATGTGCCATGTTTCTTCCAGTTGAGTGGCCATGGAACTCCCATGAATCATGAGCTTCCTAGGACTTGCTACAAGCATGTTAAGTGGATGGTGGGCAACAACTAAATTGCACATTGGTGTCCCACCCCATCTCAAGAAAGACAGCATGTCTGCAGAATCATGGATGAATGGGACTCTAATGAAGCTCATTCCATCATTGTGGTTTGTATCTAATCATTTACCATTTCGTATGACCAAGAAAACGATAGTTGTGAGCTATCAGAAACTCTCACTCATGGGTTGGACTTCAAATACCTAGTTGACAACTTGACATTCACATTAATCCTTTTGCCTATAAACCCCTAACAAACAATCAATAGAGAAATTTCTCTTCATCGTCAATCTAATTTCGAAAGCTAATCCTGAATTCAAGATTCTTGAGCATATAAACAAAAAAAGAAAAGAACTTAATAAACACAACTGAGTACAGGTAGCAGCAAATGTGATTCCAGGCTTAACTCCAGCTCGCCGATGATCATCCCCTTAGACAATGCTTAAACTGCAGTCCACTCTCCTTAGGGCACCCCCAAAAAAAAATTCACAATGCCAACTCAGCAGCTTCCAAGATTCTCCTAGCTTCTGTCTGTGGCTCAGCCAGCTCGCCCGGAGTCTGCCAGTATCGATCAACCACTCGGAATAAGCAAAAGCATCGACAAAGGAGTATATCGTGAATTCAGTGGACAATATTAACAATGTGCAAACCTTTCCATATGAGTTTGTCCGAGTGACTGAAGCGCCGGCAGCCAGCAACAGGTTGACAATCTCCGTGTGTTCACCTCTTGCAGCATGATGGAGTGGCTGCAAAAGAGAAGAGGATGCAAAGTGAGTTCAAACAGGCATTCTAGCCATGAACTTTGTGAAGGTAGAAGCATAAGCTATATCGTCAGTTTGACTGAACTAACAGATGACCTTTGAGCAGTAGATTAAGACAAAAGTTCTACACATTCACATTATATGGTCACTCACAGTATCACCCTCATCATCAACTGTGACTAGCATCCTCTTCACAGTCTCGGCGCCACTTGCATGGTTTAGCAAAAGCCGCACTATCTCAGTATACCCTGCAATGGTGTGATAAACGAGCAGCAAAAACAAATAAGACCACCATAAAACCATTCCACACATAAAGATTCTTCCAATGGTAGTCGGGTTACCTCCAGCACAAGCATCATGCAGAGGAATCGCACCGTCTTCATCCTTAGCCTCTACATTGGCTCCCTTCTCCAAAAGTACCTAATTCAAGGAATGAAAGATCATCAAAATCTCATACATCAAAAAGGCAACAAACAACATAAGAAAATCAACGAAAGCTAGCTACGAACCCTGACGCAGCTCAAATGGCCATACAGACAAACAAGATGGAGAGCTGTGTCACCATCTTCCAATGGTTCGTCAATGTTACCATCAAAATTCTCTGCGCCAACAAGATTAAAGCATCAATTGGACAATTTACAATTGATTCTTTCCATTACAGGGTTTCATTCTGTCACCCTTCAGAGTGGCTATTATCAATCCTAGGGTTTCCTTCACAATCAGGGACGGACTAACAACTACCCTGAAGGGTCGAACAAAATTCCATTAAAAACCAAAACTTTCGGCAAAATTCGGTCGAACGAACCTAAGGCCTGCGTGAGAGCTTCGGCATTGCCGGAGCGAGCCGCCGAGAGGATTGGCCGAAGAGGCTCGGACACGTCGAGGTCTAAGTCGATCGTGTTCTCTTCCTGAAACAGGGCGTTGTCCTCTTCGTTCTCTTCCTCGTCGATTAAGTCGTCACGGTGAACCGCCATGTCTGTGGACTGTGGTGCTGCTTCCGCAGATTTCACCTCTTCCGCCAAGCGATGGCAGTGGCCGTAGCTCTCAGATGAACGGATTCCCGTAGGGTTGTGCTGCCGTCTGCCGCGCTATTTATTTTTTTCCTTATTATTTTCAGCGCCATGTCAGTTGTCACTGTGGCGCGAGATTACACGTAGTTCGGTCACGTGCCCGCTGTCCATTAAGATGATGGATATCGGCTTGGGCCCATAAAACTGGGCTTGGATTTTTCTGCTTTGGGTGGGCCACAAGGGTTCGGTTTTTCCATCAGGCACGAGGTCCAACTTTTGGTTGAGTTCGATAAACCCCCTAACCATGCTTATGCGGTGTCAGTGTGCTGTGTTGATATAACTTGAATCAGATTATCTGTTATCGATTCAAAGTTATCAAAATCTCTTTTGTAATCAATTGTTCAATGCTTTATTTATGATCCATTATGAAGACTTACAAACCGTTTGGTATCAAATGAATTGAGAATTCATTTCATTGTAAAATGAAATACCGTGTAGAATTCATTGTCAAATGAAATCCTATGTTTGGTATGTTATATTCAAATCATTGAAGTGAGTGTAGAATTCATTGTCAAATGAATTTCTGTGTTTGGTATGTCATATGTATAAGTAATTTAGTTAATAAAAAAGGATAATCATGTCATTCTATTATAATTAGTAAATACTTGTGGAATTCATTTGGAAATTCTATCTCAATTCCTCGGAATTGCTATAACTAGTTCCAATTCCGTAGAATTGAAAATGAATTTTTTTAATACCAAACACAAAAATATTTCATTTCAAAATAAATTCCTCAAAACTTATGGAATTCATTTATACCAAACGGTATGTTAGTTATGTAACATGATAAAAAAAAGTCAACCACAAGTAAAGGCTCGGCGGAAACAAAAGTAAAGACAAATCAAACTTTACATAAAATTTTAACCTAAAATATGAATTTGCTATCATGAAGTTGTTTTACCGGTTTGATTCATGATAGATTGTGAATTTGAAATCAATATTTAGTATATTATGGGTTCAATCTCAATGTATTTGAATCAGACACTTGCACGATTTGATCGGACACCGATCCGGAGTAGAATTTGCTATCCATTCAATGTACACCTTCATCAAAGAGAATTCCAAGTAATCATGTGGAAAAAAAAAAAAAACACTAAATATCGTGACCCATTCCCATGATCTCTAGCTCCTTTATGTTGCTGCAGGCTGGCTGATGAATTGGTGCTTGTGAGTCGCCAGCTCGATCCTGTTCTAACTTCTAACTTGGAAAAGGTGCACCACTTTTTCTCTGCCATGCAGAATAAAATAGTGTTGGAAATCCTATCGTCAAATCATTCCTGGCCATGAATGGTGGCGCTGTATCCTCTCTACGTGATGACATTAATCATGCAACCTTGCCTCATAGTACATATATATACAATTTATATTCTTTCTCTGGCTCCATCAAAAGTTGCATACCATCACATGTAAGTAACACTGTCACTCGAAAACACAGTTTCCTACTCTCGAAGCAGTTGGCCTAGCCAGCTAATTGACTTTCTGCATTGTAGTCTAGTAGTTATGTCACTTTCTTTCCCCAACTGTGCATTACATTTCTTAGGATTAGAACAAGTTGATCGTCCAGTTGATTTGCTGATATCAGATGGAGTATTTATTACTGTTGGGGTATGGCATGGTTTGGAGTTTGGACCGTTTCGTCATACGATTTAGACCGTTGGATCGACTTGGTGACAATTCTGATCTGCGTAATAATCTAAACCGGGTGGTTGTTACTATTCCAGCAACAACGGTACTACGTACGTACTTTTGCTTGTTCCACACTTCATCGGCCAAGTTGCAAACCGAAACTGCTCGGCCGGCTTAACGTAAGAGTGATGGAGGAGGGCATTGTTTCCGGATGATGTTCTTTCCCTTTTTTGATACCTTTAGCTAGCTAGCTAGAGCTATTCCTTGTGGTTGAAGGAATAGCTAGATCAAAACGTTGATCGAGATAGATTGAGCGTCTGGGTTTCTTTGGTTTTATTGATCTAGATTAATCGTTTTTTAACATTTATCTACATATTTTATGAGTTTGATTCACGTATACTATGAATCATTATTTGGTTTGGTTAAATATGGGCTTTTTCGTTGATTACTACATACAAACACGATCCTCTATTTTAGCTGTGGGTATTAATTTTGGTTAATCTAAATAAAAGTCTTATCCCCGCGCTAATCAAAACGTTACATTCAAATTGGATCCTAATGGGTTAACATGTTGCTGGTTGGTTGAAGAATTGGTCGCGACAAATCAAGCATCAAGCATTGACGTACTATTGGAATGTCAATGACAATATCGATTCAAATCAAGCCATTTGACGCTTATCTGCTTTCATGAATTTACTTTGTGTTTACTATAAAATATAAATATAAATAAAATTCGTCGAAATGACCTTTCCTACGCCAAAAAAAAACTTCTATTAGAAACTTCAATGTTATATTGATTGATGAGAAGTGTTGTACATGGAGGATTGTAAGGTAGAGCAACCTTAACTTCCTTGCTTACACCAACTAAGTTTGAAGCCACCTAAAAACAAAGCCACTTACACAACAAATTAGTTAAACTATTAGCAACCCAATTCTTAATTCATCATCAACATAGTGTGCAAGGGACTATAATCAAGAAATAAGAATTTTCTATTCTTCAATTTGTAAAGAAATAATGATGATCATGATTATACATTACAATTAGCAAGAAAATTAAACTAATTAATCAATGCAAGTTAAGAGAAGTGTAATAATCACAAATTTTACACATTGAATGGTCATTTTAATAAATTTGGTGAATCAATTCATCACCAAACTAAAATAATTGTAAAAGGAAAAGAATCAAATTTTCAGAAATGGCAATCCACCAGAGGATTGGCCGCCGAGAACACGAGCTGCAGTCCTGTCGCCGGGAATCGGAACTTATTAATCGGTTCCCTCCCGTCCACCCCTGCTTCCGGCGCCGGCAGATTGAGATCCAATTCCAATCCGTTTCTGACGGCGGTCAGCGCCGCCGCCGCAGGCGGTGCCGGAACTACCGTCCTGTGCCTCCTCATGTGTCCTCCCAACGCCTGCCCTGACGAAAACCCCGCCCCGCAGATCGCACACTCGTGAACCTTACTCGGCTTCACCGCCGCCGTCGTCGTCGGAAGATTATGATTGTCGTTGACGGCCGCCGTGTTCACAATCCGCAACGAAAGGGCCAATTCCTCTCCGCCATCCTCCCTCAATTTCTGATTCACAGGTTTAATCACGGCCTTGCTGCTATTCTGATTGTTATTGTTGTTCTTGTTGTTTTCTTCCCCGCCTTCGCCTTCGCCGCCAGCGATCCTCGGCTTCTTGTGACTGGCTCTGTGCCCGCCGAGCGCCTGGAACGAACTGAAGCACCTGTCGCACGTCTTGCACTGATAAACGAACACCCCTCGCTGCTGCTCCGCCGGAGCCGGAGCCGGCCCTTCGATCGACGCTGGAGGCGGAGGGCTGGCGCTGCGGCGGCCCTGAGCCAGCAGAATCAGGCAGTTCGCCATGTCCTCCTCCTCCGTACACGTGCTCTCCGCCGAGCTCTGCGCGGAGGACGTCGCCGTTGACGAAACGTAATTGCAGTTGCTCCCCGAATTCGTCGCGGCGGTGGCCGAAATTGGCACCGGCCGCGGCGGGGGGAAAGGCAGGGGAGACGGCTGCCTCTGTCGCTTCGTCCGCTTACCTTTAACGATCATGTTCGCCGTCGTCGTCGACGCTTCCTTGGAACAGCTCCCGCCGCTGTCGTCGACGACCAAGACGATTTCCCGATCCATCACCATTTCAACCATGAAATTGTTGAGACTTGAGAAGAGAGAGAGAAGAACAGAGGATTGAGAGAGGGGGAATGGTGGTGTACTGTATTTGCGTGTTTTGGTAATGTCTGGAAGGTGTTCGACGAAATGCTTATATAATAAAAGCGGAGGGAAAAAAGGAACAGAGTGGTGCTTGCAGCTGGGTGGGCGGTAAGAGAGGGGGGGAGGTGGTTTGGAGTGGGAGGAAGCGATAGTGAGATGAGATTCGGTTGGCTTTGAAGCAAACCCAACAAAAGAAAAACGTTATTATTTTATTTTTTTTTAGTGTTTCTCTAGAAACCCACAAAAACTGATTCCCTGGTGTGCAAGGCTGGAACCTCCCCACAAATTGCGGTTACTTAGAGGCAAGCCATGGGTTACTCGATCGGATCAAAGCGCACACTTAACAGGAGGCGGTTATTTTGATCCCGATAATAGATAATCGTTGGGAAATAAGCAGGAAACAAAAGCTCGATCTAATTTACTTACAGGGTTCTATTATTTTCATTGAATCATTACATAAAACGTTTTCAATTCGTTTTTTGCAATTTAACTAACTTTTTACTTGATGCACCTCACAAATAACTCACACATTAAGTTGAAAAATGCTCCTCGTAACTTGTTTGTTTTAAATTTTAATTTATTTATGACACTACCATCTTGCCAACTTGTGTGTGGTTACATAAGCCTTTTGTGTTTTGTATAACAGTGTAGTTTTCAATAATAAGTGCTTGTAGCGTTTTCATTTGTTTATTTCATGGCACAAGTTGTATATATATCTAATAGTCACAAGTGAGATTCATCAGAGCTTTGCTAGTTGGTAGACAGATCTCCAACAAAAGAGGGTGCCCATACCCCTACAAAACTTTGCTTTTTCCTTGGCTTTGTTGTTACATAAGAGGAAGAAAGAAAAAAAAATAGCGGAGAGAATTAATATGAGTGAAATTCGACCTAATATATAGTTTGTTGTATAACAAGTTTCAATTATGACATACTTCTCTTAATACGTCGAAATCCTAAAATATATATTCAATGTTCATTTGCTCATTGTTGGTTATTGTTGTAGCATCTCAATTTGCAAATCCATCCTTTATTTGGTTATCCATCAATACATGTTATAGAAGAAACTACTTTATTTCTTCTCACTAAGAAACAAACTAGTCGCTCAACAAAATCGATCGCAGAAACTCTGTATTTAAGTAAAATTCGACAAACGACAACAAGCGAAAGAGCAACCCATTAATTCGCTTCCTCTCTTAATTAATGTGTTGACCTCAACAATACGATTCCCCTCATTGGATGCATTGATTCATCAATCGCCATGCCAACTTCACATTCACATTAGTGGTGTTTGCTAATTAAGTTTATATATATTTTAGGGTTTGGATGATGGATAATGAAATGGACAACGACCCAACAATTGCGCCGGCACTCTCCTCCCTCGACCGATCACTCTAATTATTCGTCATTTTCACACACTAATTAATAATCATCCTCCACTTATCATTTCCTTAACCTAATTAAACTATTGTATTCTCTCCTCACCAATCATTTGGGGTTTGGTATCGTGTGACTAATTCCTCTACACGTATAGCCGCCGCGGAAGTAGAGAGCCAAAAAAATGCTCAATCATATGCTCCTCGGCTTCCAACAAGCTACCTTGCATTCACTCCACTACTACTAATCCATTAATCTAATTAACAATCATATGGGGGGTACTTAGTTTAAAATTAATAAACATTGTTAACATCCAAAACATGACTTTTCATCCAAGTAATTTGAAGTGTTTCAGAAATGCTAGTAAGGGTAATCACGATAGACTGATTATCTAGCAAGCACGAAACATGATGATTCATACTTGTCGACACTAGCATTATGAACCTATTTTCGACGATCCGCAACTCTTTGCTAGTTGATTCGCGGTAATTTAACCTAGAAATTTCACTTGAATTGTGGTATACTCCATGAATACGTCGTTCATTAATTAATCGTTACCATATATATATATAATATTATAATAGTTGATGGTGGAGATAGCTAGCTAGCAAGGGCGGTGGTGCCATGGAAAATTGGGTATTCTTTCTTTCCCACTCATTATGATTGGCAATGAAAGGGCATGGAATGTACAGACTACACAGAGCAGGTTAGTGGAGAAGATGGATTGAGTAGTGTGTATAGTTGGCAATAAGTTGAAGACTGAAGAGAGGAATAATATTTTTCAATATTATTATTTAATAATATAGGTAGAGAGATGCAATACAATACCAAGAGATTCTTGCCGTAAAGGGAGGATTTCAACCAATCCATCACATTATATATATAATAATACCTCAAAAGAATATTTATAAGTACATACTATATGGCATTGTGAGAGGCACGTAATGTAAGAATGGGGGCAAAAAATTTGTTGCCTGGCTGCCCTTTGCTAGGACCAAGCTGTATAGTTAGCATCCTCAAAGTAAAGCATCCATCAAATTGATTATTAATTATTATTATTATGAATTCCCTTCCTAATCCCAATATGGCACAGAAGTTTAGGGACATTTTTTTGTGGGTAGGTGATGAGCTTATAACGTGCTTGGAATATAATATTAAGGTTTTGATAAGAGTAGAGAGGTTCCTTTCTTATATGTTTGGGGGCACTTTGGCTTGCTTTCTTGTGGAGACTCCTATTATTTCTTCCTTTCTTTCTTGGTTACTATACACACTCCTCCTACTCCACTTCTCTTCCTTTCCTTCCTTGCTTGCTTGTCTTCCAATGTTCAACTAGCTAAGACTAGCTAGCTAGTTACTTCATGACACATTGTTCCTTCTATTCCTTTCCCTCTCTTATTCTCCTGATAACTGGAATAAAGTAAGCGTTGGAATGTAAATACAAAATATTGAAAATGCATATTACATATCGAGACGTTCGGGTTTAAGTTTATTGAATCGAACTTTCGAAACCCATCTAAATCCCACGATAATGGCTCTAACTCTAATCATATATTAGGGCTTGTTAGCCCTCCGATAGAGGGAGGGGCTCCTCATTGCACACACGTTACTCTCTCTCCAAATTCGAGCTAACTCTCCCTACAAGTGACAACTTCGTATATATATCTTACATCACCAAGTCAAGATTATTGATCATCTCCCGTCCTGATAAAATTGTATGAACGGAGTTCGGATAAAAATCCAACAATATAATCATTAATATTCTAATTTAATCCAGTTCAACCAACTTTGCTTAAACAAGAACCTTGCTCTTGCATCTTATATAATGTAAGTTGAGCTGCACATCATGTGTAGCTCAAAATTGAACTAGTGGTATCTTATAAACGTGATCCAATCCAATGGCCCAATGGAAAAGCAAAAGAAGAGCTAGGGATGTCCCTATTCCCAACATTCATTGGGATCACCTGCCGAAAAAGTTCCAAGGATCCAATTCCTGAAGTGTTTGGTTGTGGCCCTAGCTAGCCAGATGAATTGGATCCATCAACGAGAAGGCAGAAAAGGCAAAAAGGGGATTCTTTGCCGCCAAAGTCACACTATTTCTTCATCTCCGTTTAGCATAAGGAATGCTGAAAAAGCGATCCCTTTTCAAAGAGGGCATTTCCCACTTTTTGCAGTAACTGAAAGAAACTAATTCCGTTATGTGATCAAACTTTTGGTTCTTTTCCAAATCAATGCTTCCTTTCTCTAACCTACTTACCCATTTGCCTATTAGCAATGATTCTTATGCACTCACCATTGAGTGTAGCATCAAGGACATGGTAAGAGAAAAAGCAACGCAATTCCTCAGGTAGAGAGTTAATTTCATGTTCAAAATTCTCATCACTCGAATCGTTATGATATTCTCAATTATGAATTCTATACCGATTCTTTATACATTCTTGAAAACGAAATTCAACCGATGAGGCCGCTAAACTCTGTATAAGACATCATCATATATTGTGTTTCCCAACCAATTTGTTGTCTATCTCTAGTTAAGAAAAACAGCAGAAAAATTAGAGATGAAAAAAGTTCAAATATTCGAAACGATAATCTAGTCGGCACGAAATATAGTATGTTAGGGACAAACTTACATGTTGAGGTGGCTTGACAGGCTTGTATTATGAGAACCACTCGGTTCCTTGGGCCAAACCTTAAATTGTCCAACATGCACCAAGCCTATTTTAATTTTCTGGTATACAATCCAAGACCACAACGTATAACTAGTTGATATCTTCAGTTCTTTCTCCCCAATTGTTGGGCCAAGCTTACTTATGGGTTGGACAGTCTTAATGGGCCTTGTGAAAGTTGAGCCTATCGTGGCCTTAGTGCAGACCTCTACACAGTCCATTCACCACTAGGCTTGAAGAAGGGAGAAGCTGGGCTCATTCCCCTATCATGATTCACGGCCTATATTAATCAGACTTCAGACCCAATTCGGCCACTGAACACTCTTAGCATCTTAGGCCTTTCTCTCACAAGAAAAAAAAAAAAAAGCATCTTAGGCCTTTCTTGTCAAAGCAAGCATGCCACTAGCAAAAGCGATTCCCCTGGTGAGACTCTAACAACAAAAATTCGGAGTAATATTATATAATGAAAAGGAAAGACATTTTCGAAGCTGATTCTTTTGTCGACTTGTTTTGACCAACACTTTGTTCATTCCTCTTTGACATATATATGTCCATTTTGTGCCGCAGCATAACATATTTACACACGCAAGTGAATATTATAATGTGTATTCACATACTATAATCATGAAAAGTTCTCTCGACGGTCAGTGGTCATCGACAAAGTTGCATATACGATCTCGGAATGCTTATTGTTCTGATACATTTGTCAAATACTATTTCACCAAGCGAGAAATACCCTCAAACATAAATAGAAACAAATGAGGGTAAATACTGGGATGACACTCCTTCTGACTTCTTTGATAT